TGGACACGGAGGATACCAGCGGTGGTGGGACACAGTGGAATAGGACTAGGAGGACGAGTGGCAGCTGTGCTCCAGGGATCCACGTTGCTGGACTAGGCCACGTGGCAGTTGCATGTCAAAATTATTGTCATTTACCATACACAACCCAACAGCCCAAGAATTTTGACGCAAAACTACCGTGTGGCCTAACCCAAATATAATAAATACGGATAATTGCATTGGCTACAAAAACCTCTGACATATACCTTACGGTTGCGCTATGTGCCAGAGGCAAGCGACGTGGAGGGATGGCGGTGCCTTGGACGTCGTTAGCCACGACAATGCGCCTACCCTGGTCGCGGAAGGCCGTCCTCCACTCCGTGAAGCGATGCACACTCGTCGTGAGGTGTGGCTGCCTAGTGCCATCTAATGCTGACAATATTTTCGCTATAATTGGCAGAGAAGGCAGCTCAGTGCATGGTCTCGCAGGCAGGAGGCTGCAATGCGATTGGTGTTGCATTGGTAAGATCGTTCGACATTGCTTGGCTGAGCCAGCCTCAGGGCCACCCTCAGCCCAATCTACTTCACGGCAATATCTGGCAGACGGAGAGCATGATGCCAACATAACAATACCGAACGGCAGCTAAAATATTGACAACTGAAAAACGTGATGCAATGGGAATTCACATGAATGTAAAGTCAATATGTTTCATTCCAATTAAAATAAGCCGTTATGGGGTAGAATGTGTACTAATTGTGGCAAAAGACTATGAAACAACCGCACCAAGAAAACTTGGCTGAAGCCCAGGCTCGCGTTTAGAACGTGATTGATTTTTTAATTAGACTAATTGTTTCAGTGCAGCAAGTGCATCTGGCTATTGAACCAACACCACTGGCTCTGGCTCGAGTAGAATATCACGGAGCAGCACGTTACATCAAAGTCTCGCGTAAATCACATCACCACACTCGTGCAGCCAGGACGGCTTTCCTTAATATGCCACGGGCAAGACCGTACATCACACTAACGCACGGATAGAGCCTCGCACACCCCATCACTTCCACTTTTTAAAATCATCCTTCTCTTCTGTTATGGCAAGACACCTTGGCTTCGGAGTGATTTGATATTTGCCATATCCACAGTTTAAGGGCTATGGGACATAAATTGCAGCCTAACAATAAACGTGGCGGCCTTGCAATATTACGACGAGCACATCATCTTTACAATGACAATTATTTTAGATTTCTTTTACCATGCATTTCATAAAAATTTAATTTCACGGCAATGTACAATAAACGAGCGGCAGCCACTTACGTGCGCTATTTACGCGATCAATCACACCCGACGTGTCACCTGCTAAGGAGGAGGTGCGGCGCCTGCCAGCGCACAGCCGGCGCACGCTCGCGAGGACTTCACAGTCACGTGATGGTAAGGGTCAACTAGGCCCGGTGTCCATCTACCGCCACTTAGCCTAAGCTGAGACTTTCTCCTGCCATAGAATAATGGAATTTCCACTCTCTGGATCAGGACTGCCAGTCGACACAACGGACACTCTCACTCTCCAACAGGCAATGAAGCACGCGTACACTTGAGACTTTTGAAGGACGTGCACATCGCCCCCCCCCCCGCCTACGATGCTTATGCCAGCTGTTCCAAATGAAACATCATTGATTAGGATTTCCATGTTTTTCGGACAAACTGTGTAAGCCACACAAATACGTGAACAACCACATTCAAAGCCACATACTTGCCAAAATGCTGGCTCAGGGAATGACCAATGGTATTCAACAATCCATCGCTGGATGAAGACATTCCCAAGCCACTGCCGTCTCATGCGGTCCTACGATGTAACAACGCACCCAGCGCCTGCGTACGAGTTGATCTCGTCGCTCCATCTCCATGGCATGCGTCCTATCGGGCGCGTCCCCTCCGGCTGCCACTCCGCTGTTACTCTCCTGCCCAAGCCCACAAACATTTCTCCACCGCCAGCCATCGTCCGCTGTGGCTGTGACGTGTCCTGCCCAAGCCCGTTTTGTCCATGTCTCTGATTCATGTTGCAGCAGGCAATACGGACCAAGCTGTTTGTCAGCAAGGCAAAGTGCAAGAGATCGACAATATGGAACCACAAGTCTGGACAGTCAATCGCACGTACGGCAAGCCTTGGTTTGTGATCAACATCAACATCAAACCTTAATTTGAATGTGTTCTTTGACTGTGGGCCAAAGCAGAGTACTTACATTTGGTTAATATCAAGAGTTATATGATCACATACCTCTCCACTGAAGGTAAAAAAAAAAAATGCTGCCACATTGATACAGAATTGTCTGCAGCATCAAGTCAGGAATGAGGATACTGCCACGGTGGAGCGGTTCGCCCCCTGATGCAGTGAAGCGGTTTGCCCACCACACTCGCAATCCACAGCTTGCCCTTTTCGTCTCCCCGCACAGCAGTTCAAACAAATGGGCAACTTTATTAAACACCGGCTGCCTAAATGGGTTCGCCACAGTTAAGACGATGGGACTATGAGTACCCTCGTCTCTTCCAAGGCGTCTGGAGAGCGTGGAAGAGCAGACCAAATACCCCCAAACAGGAGCTCTCTGGAGCTTCCTCTAATGGAGGCCCTTTCATTGGCAGTGGTGAGCAAGAAAAATTGCAGGGCTGCGCCTTTGCCTTTTCCACGGGTGACTTTGCACACATCGGAGCACACGTGTGAACGGCAAACACGCAACGTCACGGCACGCGAGCAATTTTGTGATTTGTTCCATTTCTAAAATTCGAAAATTCCATCGTCGATTTATCAAAGGAGTAATACGAAGCGGGCAATATCACAGAGAAAAAACAAAGTTGTCTTGAATTAGGTTTGGATTTGATTTTACGAGGATAGGAAAAACACATTTATACCTAAGCTGTGAGCAAAAGGTTTAATATAAACTTAAAACAATATAAACTTCAAACAAAGTCAGATGCAGGCCTCTGCTCTTCTTCATTCTTGTTGTGTTATATATGGGACCGAACAAAATTAAGTAATGTTTTGAAGCATTCATTTGAGGAATAGTTTCAGATGTCCAATCACGGACTTCAGACCAAGCTTTGCATTTGTGAAATATGAAAGAGCACTCCTTGCTCATCAAAAAGGCTTGCATCAAATAACAGATATGAACTACTATAAAACGGAAATATTCAGTGGCATTTTGTGAAGATATCGCCCGGTAATGTTACATTACCCAGAACTCTACCCGTTAGTTTACCTTGCGCTACAAGAACTGAACCAGAAGATGCATTCTGAGCATTCTCGCAAAACCAGTGTGAAGATGCGCACTGCCATCCATCCGGATAACAACGGAGACATCTCGCCTCCAAACTCGGGCTAGAGGCAGCGGTGGAAACGTGCCGGCACGCGATGGGTTGCCAAAGCGGCACTGCTCACAGCTCCCAACACATGTGCCGGCACTTTGAACAAAGTTTAAGCGTCGAGCAACACTATTATGTTTGTATGTATGTTTGTATGTATGTTTGTATGCATGCATGTATGCGTTTCAGGGAAAATGTCAGTGAACGTGGGCTGCTGCAGGGCGGATCGGTTTCGCAGCGGCGCTTCTACGTGCACACCGAGACCACTGCCTTGATGAGCATCTACATCTCATCTACGTCTCTGGGAGCACGGCCAGCTGTGCTTGTATCCAAAGTAGTGCCCTTGTATCAGAAGTCGCCCATTGCCTTCCTCCCACCAGTGTAATGTAGCGACGTGGTGCTTATAAGAGAACTGTTCCGATAGAGGGTGTGCTCGTATCTAGCGTCTCCGATCCAAGACGGCGCAAGGCGCCCCGGCGCGCACAGAAGAGAAGTTTCTCCGGATATTGCCACTAAAATGCTAACCAAGGAGCAAAGCCAATTCGGAGTGTTTACGGTCAAACACGAGGTGGCTTTAAAAGTGCAGAAAAAGGATGAAATCGGATCTGCTTTCAGTCTATTCAATAAAAATGGGCCATCAACATTTGAATGACCTAGAGACTACATCGAGAGATTAAAAATAATAATTGATTCGCAATATATCATTGGAAGATTCTTCTTCTTGGAATATCGGAAGATGACCAGTGGTGCCAAAGAAACACCATTAACCAGTTTATCAACCAGCCATATATACAGGCCCCAACACCTACGAGGCAGGCTACGTCTGAGCGTCCTCCAATCAGGCTTCAACCCCCCCCCCACCCGTTCAGATGGCCAATAACGTTAATGTTAGAGCCATATCGTAAGAATGAAGCAAGCACAAGACAACCAGCCAATTAACTTGATGATGCAACAAAGCCAGTAAAATTATTTGGGATCAGCTGTGCTGAAGAACCCAATGGCCCAAGAAGGAATTGCTTGGCAGATGGCCAGGTGGCTAAACGCAACGCCTGAGCACGGAGCTAAAACCGCTGAAACCTTGGGTTCGAGTCCGCTCGCCAAGGCACCATTCGGTACCACGTGTGATGGGAACTATGCAATGACACTGCTTCGTGTGTATGGGGAATGAAAGCGGATTGTGTAACAACATATGCATTATATGAGGCAGATTCATAATTCGCTTAATTTGGCGATTTAACGATGTTCGCACAACTCAAGTGTAACCCTCGTGGATTGCAGCAGCAAGTGAATTATTTGGTCTTGCTCCATGGGCAATTCGGACCTGGGCAGCTGCCTATGAGTGAAACAGGTCTTCAAGTTTAGAGAAATCATGGTCTCAGCCATGTTACGAATGACCAAACCACTTGTTTAAATTAAATTTGGTGTTTCACTTAATTAGGCTTATTTGTTTTCTTGCAGTGCAGCAAAGCCACTATTATCCTGAAGTCCTCCCACCTTTACCAACCCGCACCAAAAGGCACGGTGAAGTACGGTCAAAATATCCTTCACAGTCCCCCAAGGCGTGGGGAGAGGCCCTCGTCCGTCAGTGTAAACGACAAAAACGGGCAGCGTCTGTACAGTCCTGACAAGATGAAAGCGAGCCCGGAAGGAACGAGAGTATCGGTGACAATACCGGAGAGTTCGAACTGGAAGATGCCACCGGTGGACTTGACGACGTCGGCGGAAAGGAAGTTGCGGATGCGCTCGAAGGTTTTGCCGATGGGCGTTGGGCCCTCGTGCTTCCCGGCCTCGCCTCCGGCCGAAGTTCCGGCTCTGAATGCCGGCTTCCCACCTGAGGGCCGACAAACACGACGACACGAAGCCGCGGTGAGGCGCGTGCCCCGCTCTGCTCCCGCGGCAAAGTGGGTCGCCGATGCGGCGTGATTCACGCTTCCATCGTTAACACAGCGGGGCGCGACTGAAGACATTGACGTCAAGGCTGCCGCGTGTTCTCACCGTCAACGCCGGACGGCCCCCGCCGAGTTGCAGATCAAACTGTGCCCCCCACCCACGAAACGGGGGACTAAGAAACTTAGTTGTGAGGTGGGCGATCCAAAAATTTCAAGATTTTTTAAAAGGACCCTTAATTAATGAAAAAAAACGATGTATTTTCTCTATATATTTCAACAAAATTACAATTTTCTGTGAAAGGGAGTAGGGGAGTAATCATCCCCACCACTCTCCTTTTGTCTTTGCCACTCTCCACGCACACCGCCCCCCCCCCCCCCCGCCCGCCTGTGCTCCAAACGTGGCCACATGCGCCATCATTAGGGATGGATGTTAAAGCGCTCCTATGTAGAAATGTATAACTCCGAGTACCCTCGGTAGCGAGACAGAGTTATTGTGTCCTCGCGTCAGACAAGTTAATCAGCTGCAAAAATGAGTAATCATCTCCCACATCACAAAAAACGGGCTCCTTGTGAAAGTGTTCAGTACAGCTTAATGGCGATGTATCACCCCTGTACCAACCCATTACATTTATAAGGTGGATATTGCCTGAACATAACAAGTTATCTTAACGACCAAGAACTAGGCCCATGTGGAGATACTAAGAATATATTTCAGACAACGACAAACAGCCAAGAGCAACAGCGAAGGTACTTGAAAGAAGAGAGGAAAGATAGGAAAATGAATGGCAATGCCAAACAAATACAGCATACACCGGTAGAATATGCAGAACCCCGTAAAACTATTAGGAAATGATTGAGAACATTATTTAGAGAACACTAAAAAATTGAATTAGCCACGAGCGTGAAAGTAGCAAAAAAGGAGATTGATGAAATGGCTGTAAACCCTTGGGAAGAAATATGGAACCACAACGCATGATTAGAGACAGATTCTTGAAACCAGTAGATGCATCTTAAGCAGCCTCTATAGCAATAAAAACTCCGTAGATCCCAGGAATGAAGCCATTTTTCTCATGAGCAGGAGAAGGAGCAGATGTCGCAATTGAAGACATAATGTCGTGTCTTTCATCTTGAAGAAACGAGCCGGTGAGATGATGCGAGGAATGATTCCCCTTCCCTCCTGCAACCTCACCGCGTGTACGGATCCAATTGCCTCCATCTCTCGCCTGATGGTAACCATTAATTATTTATTATTCTTACTCCTATTACTACTACTACCAAAAAATGAATGTACGCTCTCATGTATGGAAATGTGTACGATATTTTGAGACGTAACCAGTTGGCAGGTTGACAAGAACACGCTTCACTGGTTTAAATTAATGTAATGGCAAATCAGGGGGAGGTGCACCCGCTAACATTCTCTACATTGCATTTTATTTACATTTAGATGTGCACTGCAGCTTCGTACAAGGCTGCTCCAAAGATCGAGCACCACGATCTGCAGATGCTTTATTCCACAACGAGCATTCAACACAAGTGGGCAAACTATAGAGGGTACCTGAGAAGACATTTTGTTTATAAGACAGGAAACCCGGTGAAGACACGTGGCTCAACGCTTCTCTTATCCGCGACCTGTGATCCACGCCTGCCAGCATCCACAGATCAAACTCAAGCCGCATCAACTCACATTATCCAGCGGTCAATTCTTCCTGATTTAAGAGAGAATTGCTAATAAAAGAGCTTACGTGTAAGTAACTGCGGCCGGTGATAAAGTCATCTTATTATGACCCGTGGGGTCTGCGGACAGAAGTTATGCGAATGAAAAAAGCGCACGCTTCCATGCTCGTATCATGCGCGTAACAATAGATTGATTGATGCATCATCACGCCCATAACATCCTACCTCTTATCCGGTACAGAAGAGAGATTGTGGTTGATGAGAAGTGAACTGGTGCCAAAGAGGTGTTGTCCTTACATCATCAGAATGATGTGCAGGTGGTATACACTACAGGCACATCGTGAGTGTGAGACCCACTCGCGCGCTCACACACACAACAACCGCCATTCGGCACTAAGTGGCGGTGACGTCACCACACACACACTCACACACACTCTCTCACACACTCTCACACACACACTCACACACACACAAAAGATCCCCCGTATTGCCTTAACAGACTGTAGGGGCAAGTGCTGTTAGCGAGCACCTATGAAGGCTGGAACGGTACACGAGGGGGTGGGTGGCCAGCACCACGGCCGACCGCCTTTGTCTCCCCAGTGGCAATGTTTTTATCCACCGCACCAGGTACTCATTTGAGGCTGAGTTGACCTAGGAGAGGCCCAGGACCGGTTCAGATAATCGTCACTGGTGTTGGCCGTGATCGGGAATCGAACGCGGGTCGCCAGGTTCATGGCGCAGCGTAGCGCTAACCGCTGCACCACCGCTCCCCACGTGATGAATTGTCAATTAGCAGCCTCCTGCTGCTGCTCCCTTCAACGGAGGAGAATTTCAACGCTCCGAGGTGGCGCAATAATAAATTAGCCCGCTTCGTTGTGCGTCGCGTGGCGGTCATTTTCCACGCCAGCAGACGCTGCGCCTCATCTCTCTCCCAGCGCGGTTAGGCAAGAGAGGCAGCCATGCGAGAAGAGGCTGTGACACGGCGTAAAAGCCGCGGTTAAAATGTCAACCGGTGTCTTTAATGAGGCGGCGGCGAGGGTGGAGTGACGCACCGTACTCCTCCATCTTCTTCACCAAGTCCTCGGGCTCCTCGTCGAGGAAGAAGTCAGGCAGCAGCGGGTGGCCTGCGGATCGCAGATCGCAACGATAGCCGGGTTACCCTCGACGGTCGCTCTCCTGACAGCGAGCGCGTACAAAAAACCCACGAGCGTTCACCGTGCCATGACAGGCGGCCATGGGGCTGTGCTGCATTGTGGGCAATTGTAAAGGTAGAGGTGCAGCCCTGAAATCGTTTGCTTATGCCACTGCTGGAATAAGGGCCTCCACCATAGGGGTCTCTATAGATCCCCTCTGCAGGGTGTTTATCCTGCCCTTCCATGCCGGCTGTATGTCGTAGAAGAGGTGGGATTACCCACACTTTACCCCCAACACGTGCAATCTGCCGATCGACTGTAGTGTACTCACCATTTATACCCTTGGGTGGACAGAGGTGGAGGGATTTAAGAAACGCGTCTATTGTTTGTCATGGCGCGCCAGGAGAACAAACCAACCGCTTTAGCTTGTAGGTCCGGTGTGCTAGCCATTAAACCACAGCGACATACCAGCTTCTCAAGAGGGCAGTAACCTTGTCGTTTAGATGCAAGACGAAATTATGACTCAGCATCACTTGAGTTTAATAATATCTACCAATTCAAAAGTCCAGCATGCTAACCATTAAACCACAGCAGCATTCATGTGCAGTATATAACATATTGATACCTACGATTTTCAAAATGTTGAGAACCTTAAAAGGCTATGCTATCAAGAACATTTTAATAGTACTTTTAAAGAACGTATCATTCAGTAAGAGAGTATTGAAAAGCAGACACGATAAGCTGAAAGTGGCAAACGATGTAGTCAGGATTTACAGAGAGGAGCACGGGGCTTGCTAGCGGTTTATATATAAAGAGGATATATAGACGGGAAAGCCAGCTGACACTACGGGATGCACGCATTCTGCCAGGAGCACACAGCGAGATGGAAACATAATTGCAAACATGACAGCAACCAGCATGGAGCCTACCAATCAGATTCATGGCTCAGTGTTTCTCTTCTAAAGAAGTGCACCAGGCACTGACAGTGCTGCGCGAGGCATGCTGGCTGCTTACGGAGGAGTGGATGTTGCAGACATGTCTGAGTGGGTCATGAAATTTAATGGCAGCGTTGCATTAGTGGTTAGGAGCATCATGTTGTCACTCAAAAAAAACCATTACCGGGATGGAGAGAGACCCAAATGAACTGTACAAGCGTCCGAGCATTACTGAACTGCGTATAAATCTCAACAGCCGTGAGCTCTTGTGAGAAATATGGAGCAAGCGGGACCGTTCAAATCGTGGTTATTTGTTTAACTGAGTGAGGATTAGTCTAATTTGCAAGAGTGACCTGTTTGCATGAGCCTACTTTTGTCTCGGCCTGACCCGCCACGGACACCCACGGCGAGTGGCGCCGAGAGTAAGGGCAGTCAAGCGATGTCACTGGCTCCTTGTAATAGGCCGCACGGTGTCACTTGGCTGGGGTCAGAGTACTTCCTCATCGTGATTGTGGTTCAGCACGGCTGCCAACGACCGCGCGTTCGTCACCACGTGGGTTTGCGCAGTTGCGCTGCACGCGTTCTCCGACGGGCGTGATTCTACACAATGTCCGGCATTTCGTTTCACGTCTTGGGAGCTGCTCACCCTCGTTACCCTCTTCCATCAACCCTTCTGAAGAAGCTCCCAGCACGCGGAGCAAAACGTCGGACATCGTGATGAACAGAGCCTCTTACAAGTAGGAAACGCATCGGAGAGCTCTGGTACTTTACACGTTGTAACTGCATCGAATTATAATAATGATAATCCACAAGTACACGTGAAGAAAGCTGCATTGCGTATGTTAACAGCTTCCAACATTCACATACTGGCTGCGTAGCTCTCGGCAGCAGCATTAACACATTTATGAGTCCGTGTCTAAAGTTCTGTTCATATTCCATTCCACCTTTTACACGCGAGGGTCCCACTGGATTAAAACAATATGCATTACCATGTACATTAGCTTGCCTTGTGCTCCCTGCCACAATCTAACTTTAAACCCACTCCTATCGTTGCAATAAGGTGCCTCAACATGACAATGTATTCAGCTGCTATGCAATATAATCCGAGTTGCCTAGCACTGTACTGGGCAAGCAAGAGTGAAGCGCTTCAATAACGATCAGTACGCAGCACCACATCCATCACCGCCACTTACCAAACATTCCACACGTTTCTTTTAGCAGTAAGGTCACAGTGTCCATTAGGGTTTTCGTCATATCATTTTTCACGATACGATATCAGTTTTCACGATGCAACATTTTTATTGTGAAATTTGTTTTCTGTAACTTTGTGACTGTATATTTTTTATCGTGTTTGTATTGGTGCTTTGTCGTACCTCTGGTACGAATACAGAACCACAGTTCTTCAACTGCAGTAGGTAAACACAAGCATATGCCAACGCCTTTAAATCATTGTAGCTTTAAAATCCATAATGCTTATTACGCAGCGTACACTGTCAGTTGTGCATGAAAGAATTAAATAAATTACAACAGTATGAAATTATGACTTCATATAGCCACCACTAAGCTGCCAATTACTCCGCAAAACAGTTTTTCAAATCACTAATTTAATTAGAAAGATTTATTTAGAACTTCAATTACTGAGTTTGTTATTTTAAGATTAGTTTGTCAGAATCATTTGTATAAAAAAAGAGGAACGATATTCACAATATAACGATATTTTGCAAAACACACGATTATCGTGGACCTTACATCGTACGATATATCACAGTACTGTCACTTCGTAGCCATCCTAGTGTTGATTATATGATACGTATATGATCTGTATAATCGTGGATTTCACAACGAATCCGATAAACGTCAGTGTAGCACAGAGCCAACGGGCTAGGCCAGGTTGGTTTACCCATCGTACCCACACATCCAAACGCATTCCCTTCAGCAGGCAAGGTCACACGCAGCGCTGTTGCGGAGTCTGCGAGGCGTCCCATCGGCGGAACATCTCACATCCGCCGACACACCGTGTGTCGTACAGTGCATTTTCCGCGAGCACTTGAAGGTGAGGATCCACTGAAAGCATCGTGGAACACCGAGAGAATGAGTGCGTGCCCGCAGCATGGCAACGCATGCCATTATGCGGCATGTAAAAGCATCAAACCCATCTTTGATCTCGGTTGGGGGGTGTGCAGCCCCCCCACCCTCACGCGACCACGCGGCCCCCCCATCTGCAGCTCGGCTACTTTCATCCGTTTGACTCCTCGAAGGAAGTGCTGGGAGGAAGAGACGCTTCAAGACTCACCACTGTGTCGGAGCTGCCCGGCAAAACTGCCTTCATGTGCGGCAGATATTTATTTTGCAACAGGCATATGGATGCCTTCTAACGCACGTATCTGATCTACGGCAATACACTGTCACGTAGCTGGTGTCCGATCACACAAAACCGCGTTGCGCATTTGTACCGACCCGATAACGCTCTTCATGTTTCATTATTTGTAAACAAATGCATCTTCCTCCCACAATTATTTTTAACGTTTGACATTTTGTCCTGAGACGACATGTCCATGGCAGGGTGTCAACCCCGTGCTACAGAACGGCCGTGCAGTGCCTTGGTCGGTGTCCCTGGGGGCGCTGACACCGAGTGTGATGGAGCAGCATGCCCCTGCCTGGCCCTACGAGCCTCGGGCCTCAATGGTAATCATAAGGGACGCGTCGTCAGGCGCCACGAGTCTTGAGAACAAGGTTTTAATGGGAACGATTAAAACTTTGTTCGCCAGTAATTACAACTGGCATCAACAGGCGACAACTCTGGCTGCCGCCTGATGCGGCTGGTTGTAATTACTGGCGAAACGTCATACTCGAATTTAAAATGTTGTGGGTTTACTCTCCAACACACCGGTACTAGTACCGAATTGGCATGTTGTGTTTACGTGACAAACCTTACTAATTGGCTGTATTGGGTGGTGGTGGGTTTATCGACGGATTTATATTTTCACGATCTAACCCAAAAACCTATATTATGGATAGTATGCTTTTGTTGCTGTGTACAATATACAGTGTCATGTATCCGACTGTCTGATAGGTTTAATTATTATGTTGTGCTGTGATGAATAATTTTTACTGATGGAATATTCAGGAATGTTCCTTCACTTACTGTTCCGAAATAAAATCAATGAACATTCGGGAAAATTCCTGAGCCTTGCATGGAACGCATTGAACCTTCAAGCGGAATAATTCTGTATTCTCCTTGGAACAACAGCGGAACATTTCTGCGAATCATTTGGTTTAAATCGCTCCTTATTAATTTAAATGTGATTCACCCGCTAAATTGTGGTTTCCCAGCTGTGGCTCTCACGCGTGGCATCACGTAACGGCCGCCCTGCCCCATCTAAACACAACCGGGAGGGGATCCCAGGTGCGTCGCAGTGCGGACGAGTTCAACGCGCCACACAGTCCAACCATAGTGATCATGCCATATCGCTACGCTCTACAGAAGCACTCTTGTGAGCGACTTTAAAATAATGTTTTTCTCATTAGCAAGGCTCTAAACTCAAGTCGGGACCTCCTCGGCATCTAGCTACAGCTAGCAAGCAATTTGACTGTTGGGTTGCCATCGTTGTGCAAGAGCAGCTCACACGGGATTCAACTTCACCCCACAGCGCTGCTCTCCGCTGTGTTGCCGGGTTGTACTACCGCGTTCCATTGTTCCATTATCAAAACGATCTGAAAATTTGAAAAAGGGTCGAAAATTGTCCTTAAACATCCCTTTTTCTTTAATCCAAATCTCATCTGGCACATGTAAATGGACTCAAAGTAAAACATCACAAACAGCTGTTACACAGCTGCTGCTGCCGAATAACACCTCCCTCGCTCAGCACCATTGACAAACGAGAAATCATTAAGGGGTGACTTGTGACATTTATCTTGGGGCCCGCATATTCATTGGCAAAAATATTAAACATTCAACATCTTTATAAAATCATACAAGGCAGGCTGCCAATTGGATGCGTTAAATCTTCAATATTTGCTCTGGTAATTGACAGCGATGACAGACACCGCGGGCAACACCCACCAAGGCCGGGTGATTGAGTGACTCGTCTTCCCAACGACGAACGACTGTTGTGAATGGTTTTAATTAAGAAAAAAAATACACCTGTTATGCCGGTACCGCGAGTAAATATAAGCACGTGCAGCTGTTAATATTACTAAATCAACGATGTTAACACTTGTGTCGATAAAAACACTCGTATTTCATCATTAATCCATATTATGCGAGTGAAAATATTCAAGAAGTGTTCACCAGCATCAGTTTCATTGATTACATGCCGGAAGTTTTACTTTATAAGACCGTGCTAATAATGTAACTGGCAAGTTATTTAAACCATTGCATCAACAGCGTGGTCCGTGCAGTCCCTAAACGTGTGTTGCTCACACGTGGCAGCTGTGGGCTGTGGGAGCCACATGTCCGTACGTCACTGCACCCGGTGAGCGCGAGCTGGTGAGGGTGGTGGCGGCTACGCTGCTCCGCCGCCTGTAATTCAGCACTGTGGATGTCAGGGTTGTTGGATCGCACGAATTTGTGAAACTCCTTCCTTTCCCATGGGTGTCGAGGTCACCATCATACCCTGTGCTCCCCCTGTTCTGTATGGGTCTCCTTTAGGTTCTTCTCATAGCTAAAACAACATACAAGGTAAACTGGTATTGGACCAACATCCAAATTCTGAAAATGACCTGTAAATTATTGAATTGGGATTACACATAGCAGCTGCAACATTGCCCTTCTACTGCGAAACAAAACACTTTCGCAGGATCCTCCTGAAAAAGTCTTGAGAATTAGTGAGGCTTTCATGGGTAAACAAGCATCATCATCATCACCATCACAATCATAATTATAATAAATAACCACACGTCATCCGGTGGTAGAGAGGCTCACGGTACCTGGTGACATGTGGTATATGTCGAGGTTGGTGATGCCCTCTTTCATGAGGATATCCTCGTCAATGACGAAGTTCCCGGTGAAACTCGTCGGCTTGCACAGGATGGCGTAGGCGGCGTCCGCCATGATGTCTGGCTTGCGGCACTGGTTGGCCATGCCAGACCCGGCCAGCATTTCCATCGCCGCCGTGTGGATTGCTAACCGACGAGAGGCGACATCATCAGCCCAGCGAAGATGCTATTATTCTTATTATACGTAAGCAGGCAATATGCCTACATCCCGAAAATCTGTCTCACCACATGAAATAACTTATTTCCAGATCCTATCGGCCATATGGCCTTCTGGGAGCAACATTGGTTTAATAAAAGTTCACTCTGGACCGGTTTCGATCTTCAGTGTCTCATTGGCAGAATGAAGCCAATGCTGCCAGACATTAATAGGCGAGGGCTCCTAATAGATCCATCAGGCCACTGAGCATCGCAGCAGTTCGGAGGAAACTATTGACAGGGAAATAATTACACGTGGGCTTTCCCCACCTTTTGTTTCTATTATTGCTTTTTTACATAATCCATTAATAGGCATTTAAACTGATTGACAATTCTAAAAGGTTGGCAAGTCTTGTGGTGCACACTAGTGACCAGACACTTCATAGACAGTTATTCTTATAAATGTCATCAAGTCCATGATACTCCCAACCAGCTAGGCCGCAAGCTGGCCAAGAGACACAGTGCAGCTGTGGGTTGCAGATCACCAAGCATTGCAGCTCACGAAGGATGCTACCTATTCTGCCAATCGACCTTGGCGAACCCATTCGTACAGCAGGGTGGACACAGGGACGGGGCAGAAAATTAAACAAAACATGCACCGCCCGTACGGGAGATCAAACTGGCCGCCTCTGGATGCAAGTCCAGTGCCCTGACCATGACACCATGGCAGCACCCCTGCAGTCAAGGGGATGTTAGTTTACATGGAGAGAAAATGATGACTCAGCTTCACTAGAGTTTAATATCTAAAAAACGATGCTAATACTTGACATTTCAGTTGTGTTGTGGTAAGGGATGAGAGCGGTTGTGGATGGGGAGGGGAAGAACAATTACCCATGAAAGAGTCACCCCAAGGCAAAGGGTTCCTTCTGTGAATGTGCACAGTCAGCGAGGTGTGGAGTCGTGTTAATTCATCCCCTGGGTACGTGCTCCCTGATGCCTTTGTAGTGCAGCAGGGCAGTGGGATGGCTGAGATGTGATGCATTGTAATGCACTTTGAGTTGCTGCATATTTTAATCCAGCTCCACTAAAACATTCAAATCCCTGTCCTTAATGGACATATTGAGTGGGAATGACATGACAAAAATATCACAAAGGCACTCACACAGGTGCAGTGCTCACCTGTTTTAGGCCACAGGGCATTGACGGCAATTTCACTGCGGAATTCCTCAGCCATGCCCAGGACACACATGGACATGCCGTACTTTGCCATCGTGTAAGCTGCAACACAGTTTTACATGGACATTACACAGAAAGCAATACAAGTTTGTAACATTGCATCAACATTGTCATCGTTCATTCTTTATACCACGACTACCTTGCAGTACATCTCAAAGTGCCAACAGCACAAAAGGCATTACCATCACACCATCAACCACACCTCAACAATCATTACCAATCTCAAGCCCAAATGTCAAAAGACAAAAACGGGGCGATAAGACATTTTTAGAAGGCCCTGAGCCAGTGATGCAAGCTCCTCACTCCCGTGACAGGGAGCAGTCTCTCCCAAGGGCAGCCACCGATAACTTCCCCAACACCGGTGGTATTTGATTTGCTCGAGTCCCGGTGGTATTTGATTTGCTCGAGTCCCCGATGGATGACGAGGTGAGATCAACACTGCCGGGATTTGAAGTTGAAACCTTTCGCTTGCGAGCTCGAGCGCTCCATACGTAGCAAGCACGGCTTCGCCGGACTGTTTCACGAAAACCAGCGACGGGAATTTATTCTGAATTACAACTTTTGTAAATATGATCCGAATAAACATTGCGTGTCGAAAAAGGTAAGCTGTGATGAGGGAAGCAACAAAGCAGTACAATTAGACTTTGTTGTGCGTTTTGAAGTATACTCAAAAAGCCGTTAGGTGTGTTTCCTGTCGTGTTAATTGAGGTGTTAGGCTCGGAAGAAATGCAAACGCTTGCTAAATGGCCTTTAGGTAATCCAGGAGGATACACTGTGAATCAAGTTATTACATGTGGAAGTAGCTTACACATATCGCCCTGCATGCCACTGCGATGGTCGTGCAGGAGAGCCATGGGGGTGGCGTGACGGGGTGGCAGGTTCTGCTTCGGTGGGGGGGTTACGTTTATTTATGTTCATGTTTCAATGAAGTGAAACTAATTCATTTTTCATATAAGGTAGCATTACCGCATGTTGTGAAACTGCACCGGCACTTATTTTGGCGCGTGTGTGCGTGGGCACAATCGAGTGCGTGTCTTGCAGACCTCGTCCCAACGGTTTCTCATCCAAGAAAGGCTGCAAGGCCTTAAAGCAAGGACCAGTCACAGCGCCTGGTGTGATACTATAAGGATACTATAAGACATGCAGCAGTCTGCCCAAGAGCAATCTTTGCCTATACAGTATACAGCCAAAGCAGGCCTGGCAAATATTAATATCAGCACCTGTAAATCTTACAACCTCCTTCCTTGCTAAGTATCTACCTTGGGAGTATACCAGGCTTGGGTGGATGATGAGTTATTCAGCGTGTCGATCGGTGGTTATTCAGGCTGGTGATGTGCTCTTTCTCTTCAATAAAAACAACAACCAGTATCCAAACATGCAGCAAACTACTTCCTGTAGTAAAGAATCTAGTTAACGGCATTGAGAACCAGTTCATGTGATGCAGTGACGTCGGGTGAGTTTTCTTAACAAGAAGTCATGTTAAAACTATTGCACAATCTAAGTCCTTTGAATAAGGATCCAAAATTATCGTTAAAGATCTAAAATCATTCTGAAGTGGAGGCTCTATGCGGAGGCTCACTAACGAACCAGCGATGTATCGTGCGTGAATTAAACTTCTTATATTGCAAGTTGTTACCCACAAACTCATTAGCAATGAACACGTGTGTATGTCTACCAGATGGCCGTGCTTCAGAGCGAGCGGTTAGGCTGGCTGAGCCGTGCAATGCCAGGCGCTTGTCAGCGTGCGCAACTCACCGCAGTGGTTCTTGAACCACACGGGATTCATGTTGATGGGGGGGCTGATGTTCAGGATGTGCGGGTTTTTGCTCTTCTTCAAGTAGGGGATGCACACTTTGGACCTGCACAGGAAGCGGACGTTACAGCAAGGACAACTCCACGTCAAGCGACCCACAAAGTGAAACTCGGCAATCTGAAAACAGGCGACAAAGCGTTATATGTACGCATGTTGAACTTCTTTCGCACCATATGTAGCCAACCGTGCTAATCGGAGGTACGGGGGAAGAACAACAAACTAAACACAAAAAAATATTCTGAAGAAATTAGTTTTCAATCTAGACACGCAGGAAGCTCTCTTGCAGTAGAGAACTGGCCAAAAGACCCGCAGCATTTCTAGATTTGAAGCTTTCGTGACTGCAAGGATCCATACTCTTTTGTTCTATTCGGTAAAGTCACGTAGGTAAAAAATAAAACAACAAAAATCACGACGTTTCGGCCACAACACAAGTGGCCTTCATCAGGTCCCTTCACCCGATGAAGGCCACTTCAACAGGTGATTTTTGTTGTTTTATTTTTTACCTACGTGACTTTACCGAATAGAACCAAAGAGTATGGACCCGAAGCATTGCCACTTATGGCACACAGTACGTGACAAGATAAAACAAGGGTGCAAATAAAATCTCAAGACTTGTGAACTAAAGTATGGTACTGTACTGGATATAAACCTGGAGCTAAAACTGTAAGTCGTGAAGATTAAAGTCAAGGGATTCATTACTCTCTTTAAAAAATGTGTGAGTTAAAAGCATATACAGCCTATTGACACGCAAATTAATTTAATATTCAGTAGATCTGAGGAACATGCAAAGATCAGGTTTCAGGACATCAATTCTAACACTCCCATAATATGTTCCAAAAATGCCCATGAAAAAAACCTACAAAATAAAATCATCATCATTATCAGTTCCTATGATCACTGTTACATTGCATTTATGGCTTTATTTTGGTGATTTCTAAAAGTTTTTTGGTTTGGCCATGTTATTGTTTATTGTAGTACGGAGTTAGACTGATGGCCTTAATTTAAGTTTTGTTGTTGTTGTTGTTTGACTTGCATCCCACTGGGATTTTTGCACACAGCGTTGGTGTACGGTGCTATTTCAGGAGTATTTTGATGTTTTTTTCCTGGATTTTCTGTTTGCACATGCACAAAGTCACTTTAAGATGTTTTCTTGTTCATGTTTTTGTTTTTTTGTTTGTTGCGGTTGCACCCGATTCAAGAGCCGAATGGCTCACAGGGCTATACCAAATAAATGAAACTATGAAACTAAACATCAGCCATCCACTGCTAGACTAAGGCCTCTCCCCAGGCCGCTGCCAAGGGTCCTGCAATGTAATGATCCACCAAGTACCTGATGTCATCCCTCCATTTCTTCGCACGCCGTTTAGGACACATTCAATTCCTCGGCTGCCACTCCGTTGTCATTATCCTTACCCACAGCCCTCATCCCCTCCGGCATCACACTCTACCCAAGCCCACTCGCTTTTCTTAACGGCCCGGATGACGCCAATAGCTTGCGTATGTTCTCTAGTCCACGTGTTCATCTCTTGCCCTCTCTAAATGTCATCCTAAGCATGCATCTCTCCGTGCATCTTTGCGCACTCTTCCAAATTGTATACCATAAGCTTCGTTTATGGCGCGTGTTTCTGAACCGTGTCATAGCAGGTAGTACGCACTGATTAAAACATTTATTCTTGAGGCACAATGCTGGGTTACTTATCATGGTCGAGTTCAACTTGAAAAAGCACTCCCTCCAAACGGTTTATACATTTCCGAAAGTAAAAAAGGTGTTACATTCAACAAGTAAAAAAAACGGTAATTGCAAGCAATTCAGACGTAGCCAGTCCCATGGACAGAAACGAGGCCCAGCGGTCCCCTGCGGCAGGCAAACCTCCCGTGATGGTCTCCCCACTGGGAGTCCACAACTTTACGGCAGCCATTACAGAGGAACAAAGGTGGGAAATCACCACAGCCACAATCGTCCCCTGCCTCCCTTGGGTACCTGCGCTCCCAAATGTCACTCTTACGAACCACTTGGCTGGAAAATGTTCACCATCAGGCTACGGTATATATAGAGTATATAGAATGTTAAAAATGTAACACTGCACCAGTTACTTGTTAACACTACTACCGCAAACTAAATCCACTCATACCCCCCCTCTACATTGTATATTATTAGAGTTCGAACTTTTAGTCGATTAAGTTATTTAATAAAATCAATGTTAGAGTCAACTATGTTATTTTCTGGTCAATGACTCAGGCCCCTTTATAAATGGTGGTTGCCCCCACTTCCTTGTTCCTGAAGGCAGGAAACCCCCGACAAACCACGCCCATCATGACACCGCTGATGACGCCGACGAAGTTACCCAGCCGCGCCCATCACCTCCCATCCAGCGGCACACGTGAGAACAGAGGTGTGGATTTGATGATCAAGACATTTTAAAAGTAATAATTGTAAGGTTAAATGTCTGACATCCGGCTTTCAGAGTTAACCAAAGTCCATCCTATTTTTATTAGAAGCTTTCGTGACTGCAGGATTCCATACGCTTCGGTTCTTTCAGTAAAGTCACTTAGATAGGAAAATAAATCAAGATTACGACGTTTCGATGGCAACAACAAGCGATCGTCCTCAGGTGAAAGAGAGAAACCTGCCTCTGTGACGAGGCATTATACAGAGGGGGAGGGGGGGGGGCGTAAAGGGGCGAAAGGGTGGTGGAAATGTCACGTTTATTTTCTCTCTCTCTGTCACCCAAGCCCTCTTTGAATTTTATCCCCACCCTCTCGCCCCTTTACAGCCTCCCCCCCTCCCCCTCTGTATAATGCCTCGTCACAGAGGCACGTTTCTCTCTTTCACCTGAGGACGATCGCTTGTTGTTGCGATCGAAACGTCGTAATCTTTATTTCCTATCTACGTGACTTTACCGAAAGAACCGAAGCGTATGTCTGTCCTATTGTTTGTATATTTACAAATGGAAGTGAAAGCAGTGGTGACCTGGGAGTAGAATAGCCCAGCAGGAGTGTGAATCACTCATCTGCACATAGAGTGCCATCTGGTGGGAGAGCTAATGTAACCAATCTTGTGATATATTCTCTGCGTCGTTCACTGCGGAAGCCGTGTCACTGCTGTCTGTTGAGCATTACACGAGATGAGCTACTTGCATCTCATCTCAAACACTGCAAAGGCACCCCCCAGTGGCAGCTGTCCCTGCGCTGCACACGGCGACTCAGCACCTGCCCTTCCAATGGTCATTTGGCCGCTCAGTGGGCAGGCGATGGTGGCTGTGTTAATAATCCCTAGTGAGTTTACTCAGCACTAGAATAAAAACCACCATCTGTCAATCACTCAAAGTTTCATCAACGTTTGTACATTCAGAAAAAGAAAATGCATTTAGCGACATCACAATACTATTATAAAGAAAGCAGCCATAGCTTGCCATTTATGTCAGATATATCTTAAGGATTAACACCTTGACAATAAAGTAATTGTTGTGGTACATCATCTGGTCTATATCCCAAAGCACGATGTCATAGTACTCATCACCATCAGTCATGATGAATCCACTGCTGGATGAAAACGACCCCACGACATTCGTCATCCTTAACGGGCTCGTAATGCCATAATCCATCTGGCCTGTGCACCGGAGCCAATCTCATCACTCCATCTCCGTGGTGGACAATCTCTAGGGACGCGTTCTCTCTGTTGGTCGCCATTCTCGTCGAGTTCCCATCACTGCCCCCCCCCCCCCGTGACGAGCCCCGGGCCAAGCCCACAGACTTCACAGTCAGCACGGCATCTCTAACCTCCGCTCTGCATTAAAAACCACACCAGCACTTGCCATGGATACGTAAAAAAAACACACACGTGGAAAACATGAGAAACCCAACGAATCCCTTGATCGAACGTTCACGTCATTGACCGCTGAGCTGATGAGGAGATGACGGATGTCGTGACCTCTCCTCAACCCGCCCCTACACGATTACCAACAAAAAAATTACAATTATTGACAAATCACTGCCCAAGCCTTGCTTCTTCTTGTAGCTCCCCGAACGTAATTGTGCCGAAACCATTTTTCAAATGCGTATAAGCTGCATAACATGACTCGCTTGAACACAAAAGGTTGACATGCACATTTAAGATTCAAGGAGACTTTTGATGAGGCCATTTCCAGGAGCACGTATCACAATAGCTTCCCTTCTTAAACATAGCGTATCAATGCTGTTCAGGTCTTGTCACAGTCAAATGTGCAATGACCGAGGCAGACCCACTAGAATCTCAGAGAACACAAAGCAATATCTGGAGACGGATTACATCTCACTTGATATTGATCGTAAGCTATGGGTACAGTGGGCTGTGTGTGAAACCTTCCAGTACCCGACCGCGGAGTAATAATGCAGCTTCAGGCGATACGCGCAGCACAGCGTGCCGGCAGTGAGAACATTCGGGAAAAGAAAAGATTAATGTTAAAATGTAAATGTTTGTTCAGGTTTATTTTAATACAACCTTTACCTATTATGAAGGGGTGATGACAACAGTGGTAGTTTTGTCTTTGGCCTGTACCCGTGCAATGTTATGTCTTTATAAGAGACCCAGTCGATTTATTGAACATCTTCATAGTCTGCCATTAAGCTATATCATACTTAATGCCGCTTAACTGTTGAATACGTCTCATGGAATACATGGTGATCCATTTAGAAATACCCAATTTATTTTACTCACTTTCTTCCCAACAGCTGACTGGCTCCGAATCTTAAAGAGGAACAGAGAAGAACCGTGCTATCATGGACGGAGACCCACGAACCTTGGCACTTTCTACAAATCGTATTGCAAATTCTGTGACGCAGGTTCTATGACAAAATGTAGAGACAAAGCAAAACGTGGTAATGGGAACGTGCTGCGTGTACAGGATGCCGAGCTGCAAATGCAGGGCTGTCTACCGGCGATGTTTAAAGAGTATCTGTAAACGGACCATGTATTGTAATAACTGAAAGAAACGCATGCGGCTCCAGGAATTAAAGGTTTCATGTGAGCGCCGGGTCCGAGGTATATAGTTCGTTGACAAGGTGCAAGTTCAACGTTGGTATCTGATGGCAGATTAGAGGCTTGATCAAATAAGCATGCAGTTTTGTGATGTGGCTGTTCTGATGATGGTTTAAAAAGATACTATGAAAGCCCAAGCAGGCCATCTACAACAGTGGAAGTCCACAGATCTGTTATCCCCTCTACTACAAGTCCTGCTATCCAGAGGAACCCTGCTGCAGATTCATGTTGCGCCCCCCCACCCCCGTTACTCAATGAATTGGAAGTTAGTGAAGAGATCGGTAGCATACAGACATACTTGTTGTGACAAAGAATGTGACGTCATGGCCGTGGTGAACATACCCACTGTGGGACATCCCCAAACTAAAAACAACGAGGGCAGACAACGACCTTGCTTACATACATGAGATCTTATCTTCTGAATAAGACCTCGGGGTTAGGCTGCTTAGATTATCAGAGCAGGATGAAGACGATGATGATGTGGGCAACGGTATGGAAGGTGAGTCTATAGCAGCAGGGATATGTTTTGGATTTAAAAAAACGATATTGGATTTTTTATTTTTTGGGCTAAATTTCAGACTTTATTTCATATTCTTGAATTTTGGATTTAAATGTATTAAATTGTAATAACTTGAATTGTCTGTAATGTAAATTTATTCATTAATAAAATGTTGGCTATTTTAAAATAGAAATTGACCTTCCATTTCTATACCTCCATCAGAAATAACAATTGCAGGCTGCCCTTCAGAAAGGTAGGGGTGGGATGATTCACCACCCTTCCCCCCACCTCCACCCCCTTCGCTTAGGCGCCAGGCTTACGCGCCCCAATGAGTGGTTCCTTACGTATTCCGTGCGTGCGTGTCGATGTGGTAGGGACGTGATCGCTGCTGGCTGTTGGCCATGTTGCTCTACGGGGGCACGATGATTTCGCGTGCACGTCGAGGTTTAGACAAAAGCAATCTAAAAGCATAAAAAGAGTTTGTAGCTGTAGAGTTGGTACTCATCGTCAGTTCATAAAGAAACTAATCAATGCATAGGAAATTTCAAGTACCGAATTTCTCGTCGCACTTTTATTTCCCTCTTAAAAGGAATTACTTCACCACGAGGACCAAATTAACTTTCTTAAACACGATTTTCAGAAGCGCCACAATCGAGCTTGCACAGCAAGCCCAGAGTAATCCTCTGGGCTGGCCTAAGAGCAGTGACATTCATTAAGTCACGGCCGTTTAGCGGCATTCGTAGTAAAGCAGACACCCTGCGCTACGGAGAGAGAACAGGGTGTGCTTCTGGCAGCCCCGGCTGTCTATCCTCGCCGGGCACCACTGCTTGTGATGGTGAAGGCTGCTTCTCATCTGACGTGCCCCGGTGGCTTTAGACTCTCTAGACAGAGTACAAATCAAACACTGCCTTACACGTTCACGCACGCCAAATGGCTTTTCTTTGTAGTGCGAGCCAAAGAAAACACTTAGAAAAGTTTGCACAACCACATTCTGTTCAATGGGACTACTTGGTCGCAATTTTGAACTGTAAACACGGGTGAGTTTACACCACCATCTGTGGCGAAGCTATCGATCTCAGTTACGGTATCGACACTGGAATTAGCGCAACAACGCGGGCGCAGTGAAAGTCCAGTCGCTGAATCACCTCGAGACCAGGCACGCTCTCACATTTTCAATCCAAACATTTAACTCACTCACTGCACATAAAGGTATATAAACACCCATAGACAAAGCAAATATTAATTTGTGCGAATGTCTCACGTGAGATAAGTGCCCCGAAGGTTGATGCCCGTCATGAGGTCCACCTTCTTCATGGGGGTCTCCAGCGTGCCTGTCAGACTGATGGCACTTGCATTGTTTACCAGGATATCAATTCCTGTCCAACACAAAGCCCAAGCAAACAAGACAAGCAAACAAAATAAATGCTTGGTCCATAGTTTGACAATCATCACGCATCTCATAGCTATGACATTATTTTTTAACAAAATATCATCGAATTTTCATGAGCATTGAAACTCTGGGAATTTAATGTTGGCAGTTGCTTCATCGCGGTTTCATACATTTCACAAAAGCCACAATGGGAATTACGGATTAATATAAACTATCACTATATAGCAAATGCCGAGCAAAAAAAAAACAAGAAAAATACCAGTCCATTTGCGTTTTAATTTCCCAAGATCACTGTAATTCCTTTGTATGAACATTGAGTGCTATATACACACAGCGCTTGGGTGGGCAGACATCACACTGCTGTAGATGAATGCCATCTCATTCACGGGTCCCACTAAATACCACACGTACTGCCGTCGTAATCAGGGGATGGCTCAATATGGTATCTTGCCATTTTATCTTGCAGCCTGGGGAAGTGCAGTGTGTGCCTCTCTCTGTGAAGTGCATCTCGTCTCCCTGTGCTAAACAGCACGCACACACGCACACACACGGGCGCATGCAATGTAGTGCAAAGTTCATTTATACTTGTTAATATGTAGAGGCTGCCCGTCTCAAAGTTGCAAGGTTGGTCACAATTGGAACTAGCTGAGTTAACCCCCCTGTTCAGGATTGATTCAGCACATCATCCATTTGGGGTCAACAAACTCATGGCCACTTGGTTGGGTAATCAACAGTGGTTGTTCTCTGCAGCGACTGGTCCTGGAACGGACACTTCTAGTGCGATTCTCCGCTATAAGTGGCTATTGAGCTGAAATCGCAGTTGTAGATCACATTGTAAAATGTTCACATGAGGATTTAGAAGGATTTGCATGAATAGGGCACTGAAGTGCTTCAGCAACTCAAAGCACCTTACACCATGTCATCCATCGCATTGCTCTGCTGCAGCCTAGCCAAGGGGACCTCCAGTGGCAGCTGTTCCTGTGCGGCACGAGGTGAATGCAGCACCGGCCTGCCACCAGCATTAAATCTGTCAGTAGGAGGCAATCTTGCAACGTGGCTTTTCCGAAATAATCAATTTTTTAGTAATCAACTAAATTTGGACACTTTGGAACATGACGCCAGCATACATGACCTACTCGCTTGAGAACAAAAACACAAGGCATTTAACGTCAACTGTGAAGCAGATGACGCGTACGATTACGATGAGGATAGCCGCAGTATTAACTCGGGCGACTGCTGGGCTCGAACTGTGAACCTCTGCGGCAAGCGGCCACCGCTTGCACGCATCGTCGCCCCGGAGTCTACACACAGAGCCTGCCGCCGGTGCAGGGGCGCATACCTCCAAACGTGTGCACGGCATTCTCCACGGCCGTAGCCACCTGCTGCTCGTCCCGCACGTCCACGATGCACGGCAGGGCCTTCCCTCCCGCCGCCTCAACTGGGGGGCAAACGCACAACGGCAGACGTCAACAGCAGAGTCGGCAACAGTTCTATTCTGGCGAATTAACGTGACGGCATTGTCTGCATTGGCTTCCATTGATCTTAAAGCCCTCTGACGTAAGCTCAATTTCCGAGTTCATTACATGATGAAACGTCTAAAAGTCTCAAGCCACCGGTGAGGAGGAGCGTTATTGATAAAAAATGTATAAATATACTGGCAAGTGTAAACAATGTCTCTGCGAATGTGACAATCTTGTTGGGTGGCGGAGGAATTCATAATAATAATTTTGGCAAAAAAACTCCTGCCACGTGGGCTAATCCGAAAACAAATATGGTTCAACAAGCAGAATTAATGTATGTATGTTGAACTTCTTTCGCACCGTACGTAGCCAACCGTGCTAACATTTGCCACCTCTAGTAGTACCAAATTCTGCTTTGGCACGTAGACGATGAAATGAGTTATGGAGCTATGATTACAATGTATCATAAAATTTGACTCTGATTATAGATTTGCATGCAGACACTGTATGGCTTGTAATGCTGTAATATCCATTGCATTTAACAGTCTTTGTTCCAACAAAAGTACACATTCGATCAATTTCGTGGTCTGAGCACGTACACAGATTTTAAAAATGTGAATCTCTGCAGGACACAACTCATGCCAACCATTTATGCGTGGAGACAAATTGCACATGGGGGTCACAGTGACTTGAAACGGTAGACAGCCTGTTCCCACTTCACATCCAATAATGTACAATGGTATAAACAGTGTGGTGCCACCCATTCGTGGGGACCACTGTAACGTTGCATAAGCAATGAGTAAGATTATCTACCAGCTTTAAAACTGGTAAGATGCGACTGGAGCATGACTACGGTTAGGAGCCATGAGAGCCGTTTTGCGCGACTCCTGGTGCTCAGCAGCAGGGGTGCTGCGTGTTCACACATTCTGCTCAGTCAATCAGTGCTCTGGACTCCCTGCCCCTCTTCAAGTCCAGACTCAAAACCTTCACAGTTTTGCCTCTCTCTTGCTCGACAAAATAAATATTCCCGCCGTTTCTGTACGGGGTCTTGCGATACGGTCAAATTCAGATGCCATACCCGAATCCAAATAGCATTGCATTGTACTCAATATCGTGCTTGACACTGAACAAAGCGTGCGACTAACTGATGAACGAGCCTGGTTCCGGTCCACTCCTGGCCTGTCACGGAGGCGAAATGAGAGATGTCACGAGCGGGGGACTGCTGGCGGTGCATTTGTGGCGGTGGTTCAGGGGCGCTGTTCTCAGGCCGCTACCGCCACCGGCCGGCACACTTTTCACCGGCTGTGAAAGCGGAGCAAAGGCTAAACAGGCGTAGTGCCCGGTACTCACTCTCCTTGGCCGCCGTGTAGATTGTCCCGGGCAGAGTGGGGTGCGCCGTCGCCGTCTTGGCGGCGATGACGATGTTGGCGCCATCACGGGCGGCTTTCAGCGCGATCGCTTTGCCAATGCCGCGACTGGCTCCGGTGATGAACAACGTGCACCCCGCGAGCTTCCTGCAAACAGCAACACAGGTCCCCTCTATAACCTCCATACAGGGAGCTGCCACAGTGGTGTAACGGTTAGCACACTGGACTGGAATTCCAGAGGTCGCCTGTTCGACTCCATCTCCTGGCGTGGCAGTTGTAACAATGGGGCAAGTTTCTCCAATCCCCTGGCCTCTGTTCACGCAGCTGTATAAATGGGTGGTACACCCACATGTGTTCAAGCGACCAGTTGTGTGGGGTCAGGTAAAATCTAAGTATGCGTACCTCTTCCAAGATGGCTGGTCAGCACGGAACAGCAGAGCAAATACTCTTTAGAGATGTCTTATGCCAGCAGCGGAGTGAGCAAGCAATTGCATAGCTGCACCTTTGCCTCTTGTTGACCTCTCATTTGGTGTAATCAAACATGAAGGTGCTCCAGTTTAGAGTCCGGATTCGATTCAAGAATCAATTATTTGGTGTGTTGTGTTTACGACTTTGTTTCTATTGTCCCTCATACTCTCTCGTCCCACATACCTGAGCACCTCATTTGCCCATTACTTGCGCATTAACAATTTCATTCATGTATCATGAGCATGATTTTATAATAATAGGGTTTTTCCCCTTTTTTCTGGCAACAAAATTGAAACATTTTTACAAGGAATCATGTGTGCATTAACCACAATACTTGTGGTCAAAATGCAAATAAAAAACACTCTGATAATATATGTATTGTCCTCGAAACTGATTGGTCCACACCAGAGACGGCTTTATTTTGATTCTCGTCTTAATTGGTGCTAGACCAGAGGACGCCAAAAGGCGTACAGCTCAAAGACAATGCAGGATAAAATGTACTTTACTTGAATTTAGTAGGGGTGGGGGGTTCAATGTGGATATAAAAAAATAATTGGCATAAGCAAGGCAATGGGTTCTGAATTATGGTAAGGTCAGGATTATCCATCTAGACAGGTACAGACAGCACTCTGTGGACTCGGCTCTACAGGGGCCATGAGGCTTCCTGACCGCTTGCCACGATACACTGGCTTTCCAAGCATGAGTAGTACAAATAATTCTACATACTTAAACCAAAACTGCCCAGTTTTATATTCAAATAATTTGAGTAACTTGCCATTTAAAAAAAAAAGGAATTGCTTTAACTTCAATCGTCTCTACTGGTGGCATGCACTTTGATTAAATGTGGCAATGGCAAGGTGCAGCCCCACAATTGCCTTCCCACGCCATTACTGGCAGAATGGCATCCACAAGAGGGAGCTCAAGAGTGCTCCCTCTCGAGGGCCTTTGGCCTCCACTTCCGTGCCGGCCACGCGCAACCTGCCAATCAACGAACTGTGGTGTGTCCATATTTATACCACTGGGTGAATAGATGCGGGAGATTTAAGAAAACCACGCCATTATTTCAACCGCCGCGCTGGGAGATTTTTAGCTCAGAGATGGAAACCCGAGCACTCTACTTGGCTGAGCCAGGACATATCGTCTGCATATGTCAGTGCTCTCAGGCCTCCATCCAGTTTGGTCAGAGGGCAACCCTGCTCCTCCTCCACAACACAAGTCACAGTCTGCAGCTGTCCGCATTTGCAGTGTGGTCTGGATAGCCGCTGAATGACCTCGTCCAGTGAGAAAACGGTTCAACAGAGCCCTTGCATGGCAAGGCTGCACGGAGAAACATGGCTGATGGGTGGTTGGTTGCATTGATGAGAAAATTATGATAACAAAACAAGTGATCACTGCAATTATGTCCTCCTCCCAAACCCACTGCAATTTACATCTCAAATAAAAATAATCTAGGACTTGTATGAGTAATAGCAAGCTTCCAAACCAGTGCATTAATGGAGCCTCCGAGGCTATAACCTTGATACTGTAATTATGGTACTCTACAAGGTATTCTGCTGTGATGTAATGGTTAGCGACCAGGACTTGCAATCCATGTCACCGGTGCGACCTCCCGGGACAACACAGCAGATCCTGTGTAGCGGGATAAATTGTGGGCACTCTCACCTCTTCCAAGCGTGGAAGAGTAGCTCTAGAATACCTCTAGAGAGAGTCTCTATCTAGTGCTGGTCCTTCCGCCAGCAGTGGCATGAGCATTACAGTGCAGGGCTGCACCTTCATTTGCATTGTACTAAGCTGCTGCCTTGCGCGAGGATCGGCGCTCACCCATCCCACGCATCGCTGGTCAAACAACCCCATGCCCCCTGGCAGGAGCTCACCCCCGCACCCACTTCACCACCCCTCTACGCTATCACTGCTGGTGAGCAGCCTAAGGTCAGTTCTGTAATAGTTATTGTGGTGCTAATCTCGCCCTGAATCTGGCAAGCTGCATGGTAGATTTTGTAGCGAATCAGTGTCGGGGCTCCGTGGTTATCGCGAATACATGGGAAGTGGTGCCGATAGGCGCACACAAGAAAACTCCCGGCGCTTGCAATAAGTAGCCCACGGCTGCCCGACAAAACTCAACACAGAACAGAGGGCTGTGATTCTACGCACCACTCGCAGCCTCATCTACTACCACCGTGAAACAAACAATGCGGTGACACTGCATTGGCAGTTGTGCACAAGGTCATGTTGCGGGCAATGGCCCTTCATAGCACGTACATTGGGCTGTTGAGAAGGATCATGAAATAATATAGTCGATGTTTCAGGCAATGCCCTTCTTCATTGCACATACAGCGTGCAAAGAAAAAAGGACATTGCCCAAAATGTTGCCTCATATTTTTCCTTTTAAGGTCAGTGTTGTTGAGGGATGTGTTGAGTCTTTTTACGATGACCGTGTGTTGTTTTAGTAACAGAATTATAGATCTGGCCAGTAAAAGTACTTTGAAAAATAAACAGTACCTAGTAAAGTTGACACTGCTGTAATATATTAACAAGGACACAAAGAAGTAGACTAATTCAGCCTTGAGTAATGGGCTTATTTTCAAATTAATCACCCAACACTATTTGCATAAGTACCTTAAATGCACTAAATCAAACAATAACCCACTGCATATCTAATTATCTGTTTCCCTACCTTGGGCAGTGTGCATTTCCTATGAAACTGCAGTGCAAATATTATGCAAGGATTTACATCACGTGACTACACAAAGAATGCACTTTTTGTGCATCTGGAATGAGCTTCTAGCAAAGGATTTATTTTTTTATAAACACTGCGCGGTAAGGTTTTAAATACAACAAGGAATGGGGCAGTAAAAGCTTCGTTTCAGGAACTACAGGCTGCATCCCTGTTGACACCTTGTGCTCATTCTCAGTAAGAAATACAAGGTGGTGGTGATGATAGTGAGGTTTTCTTTTATATCAAGTACACTGTGAGATTTGTTTTACCAATCAAAATAAGTTTACAACTAACATAATTCTCGAAGGTCTATAGATGTTATCCAGCTGGGTATTTCATGTTAGAAAGCATACTAATTGTATGCTGGTTAACGTACACCTGCACGTAAATTTCCATATCTGAATCCTCACCACTAATCTTACCATTATAAGTTGTATGACTTGCTTGAAAGGTTCACTGTGGTGTACTAATACTGGCAATTTGGTTGAAACTTCCCAGCAATAGATGTACAGTAGAACGCCTCTTATCCTGAACACCATTATCTGGGAATCATTATCCACAGGAGTTGTAAGGTCTGCAAAAACCCCTATTACCCATGGCCCTATTCACTACTATAATGAGCCAAGAATGTCTGTGTGTCCCGCGTGTGACGTCACTCCACGTCGGCCGGCCCCCCACATTAATAATCATGAAGAGGAGACGTCTTCCAAATGGACACCCCCCCCCCCCCACCATTAATATTAATTAGCGGGTGACGTCACTCCACATGAGGGTGCGAGGCGCCTCCTCCCCCCTCCTCAGCGTCAACTGACAACCCTCACTACAAAGGCAGAACCCTCACGTCACGCAATCTCCGTAACGCTGTTGAGACATCAAAGTAAAAAGGACGTCATGATGAACAAGGGATTATAACTTTGAAATGAAATAGGTCTGTGTCACCGCGGCCTTACAAATTACACACGAATGGATGCAATGAATATATCACGTCGCGCTCTGCTTTTCGCTTGCAAGTTTCAGATTTACTGCAACACCCCCACTGTCCTTGGACGGGCAAAAGGCTAGTACTTCATATTATCCGCGGTTTTCACATCCTGCACTGTGGAACAGCATTCCTATTATATGCAGTTTTTGTGGAAAAGTGGAGCTGTGGAACAAATTAATCACATTTTTATCCACAAGTCATCCACAATTTGTTGAACATGGCGCTAAAACTAATTTCGACATTAAAAAAAACTCATTTTCGGCTAGAATTGGGTCACGCCATTAGTGAAAGGGTGTTTAAATTCCGATTCAAATGCTAATGAATTGGAATTTAATCATTCTTTTTGAGGAAGTTTCAGCCAGGTAGTCATGCCAATGCACACATACGAAGAGTGTTCAACCGCTTGGCAACTGCAAGAGCAGTGGAACGCTTCCAGATCAGCCAATGGGGCCAGGGCAGATTAAAAAGTGTGCTGGAAGCGTCAGTCTCTCATGACATCTGAGAGTCAGTGAAAATATTGCACACAGATCACAAACACGGACTTTTATATTCAGCAAGATTTCTTTCAACTATGCTGGATTAAATCCACAATTTTTACTTATCAATCACTAAAGACCTGTAACAGGTCTAAGGACACAGAGAGAGAGATGTGCTACATGACTGGTGAACTCCAATCAGCAGTAAAGGCAAAATTAACAGCACAAACAAGATAAAGACATGAATACATGTAATATGTGCCAACTAAATCTAACTATAAACCGTGAAAGTAGAAATTAGGTAGTCGGTCAAAACTGAAATGAAAAATCCAGTGAAAATGCTAAAATTAATAAAAGACATGTGTTTGCGTATGCAGCCAAGCTTGTCTTCACCATCATGTAACGTTTTACTCTGGTGCTACCTCCTCCAGGTAACAATGGCCATGCCGAGTGTGCATTGGTAACACATTTAATAGTTTGGGGAGATGGCTGCCACACGCTCAAATTCTGAGATTAAACTCGCGTGAGGGCCCTCGCTCAGTGTGGCACAATGTAAACATTCCCTGTACTCCATTCTTCACTAAGCATATCCAACCCACCTCCTTCATAGAAATCGGACTCATTTTTTTCCCCCTGTAATGTCTTTCTAATGTTATGAGTAATTACGGCTTTTGGGTGGCAGGGTGGAAATAGTGGTAACACTTGTGCCTCACAACAAGAAGGACCTGGGTTTGTTTCCTGACATAGGCGCATATCTACGTGGAGTTTGTACGTTCTCCCTCCCTGCTCTGCACGGGGTTCCCAGGTTCCCTCCAATAGCTAAAAGCATGTCTTGGTGTTGGACACACTCTAAACAGTTTAATATGCACTTAATAGTTTAAAATACACCAACAAACAAAAACGTAGATTATGCTTGGATTAATGAATGCAGATACAATTAAAACCACCCCCCTTCTCTAAAAGAATAAAAACTGGAATGAGAGCCACAATTGCACCTATGAGAGCTAAACATAGAAACACACGAGCCCAATCCTGCACAGAGGTCAGCGGAAACGCCGGGCGACGGGACACGTATGACTTTGCACACAATGTCAAGAGCGTGCAGCGCCACAAGATCACCAGACGCCTCGTCACATCGCAGCTTTTCACTCCTCATCAAAATGTGTTTTTTTTACCCTGCACAGAGAGGTGTCTATCTGCAGCAGAATCATTGTAATTGACAACCATTCCATTCGTCCATGGCCACTGCTGTCCACAAGGGGTGTATTAGTTGTGCAACGATGTACCTCCCTTCAGCGATTCAACGAACTGTCGCGATTTAGGGATAGACAGAATTGATCCTTGACCAGGATGCAAACTCAAACCCTTCCAATTGTGAGTTCAGCGTGATAATCACAGCGTTGGTCTCTTTACAAAGCCCGAATTTCCTCTTCGAGCGATTTTTCCCTATCCATATTTACCCATCTGACGCGGCCAAACATTTAAACCACAATGGAATACGATGTTGATTTTGATTAACTAGATATATTTAACATAGATCATTTATATATTGAAAAAAGACCAAAACATAAATGTGGGCAAATCTTAGTTGATCAACCACATAAGACTATTGTGTTGTTTAACAGGTCAAGTATTATTATAGTTAAAATTTAGTGGAATTTTTCAGTCTCTAGTTGAATTTGACAAATGAATCTAAACTGCTAGCCTATGGTTATTCTATGGGTATTTCGGTAAAGCCACGTAGATACAAAAATAGTAAAAATATCACGTTTTGATCGCAACACAAGCAATCGTCTCTCACCTGAAGACGATTGCTTGTGTTGCGATCGAAACGTCATTTTTATTATTTTTCTATCTACGTGGCTTTACCGAAAGACCCATAGAATATGTATTCCTGCAGTCATGAAAGCTTTAAGTCAAGATTTAGCCTATGATTGTTAATGCACTATCAGTGTAAAATTTTTCGTTTTCAGATTGATTATTGAGTTAAAATATCATGGTATCAACAATTGTTGATCAGATGAGCATGTAAGAAGGTTCAAACAACTGGGCACATTCCGGTATGTTTGGTCATTGTGGCAGCCATTACAATGCACCAGTGAAAGGGATCATCTGTAATTTCGTGGTTTACTCTAATACCCGCCATTCACCACTAAGTGACGGTGACGACACCTCGGCGCCTGTGCCAGGCCAGGTGCACTTTGAGGCCATGTGAAGTGCCGAAGGCTCGCTGACAGGTCTCGGGACAGACCCAGGTGCCATGGGTTGGCTGCCTGAGATGATTGGTAGACACACCAGCTGTAAACCCTACCGTGCCAACTTGTTGTATTTTCGCTGCCCGGCGCTACGCTCGTTGTTGAAAGCGTCGCTCCCCTGCCCTCCGTTGATGCTGGAGGGCGACTGCCTCCAACTGCCCAGTAGCATCCTTCACGAGCCTCCTCTATAGAGGCCGATCTTGATACCACTGTTACCAGTCGTCGGCAAGTCCACTCAGCTCCACATCCTCTCGTACCGCATCAGTCCGTCTCTTCTCCAGCCCATATCATGCCCATTTAGCACCCTCTATGCAGCCAAACAGAAGCTGCTTGGGCATGCGGTGGCTGGGCATGTGAGCTACATGACCCAGACAATGCAGCATTTCCTGCCAGAGGAGCTCACTGATGGGAATGTGTCCAGACCTTTCATAGATTTGTGAGCTTCTCACACAATCCAGCCTGGTTAAACCCAGGACGGATCGTAAGCATGCCAGCCTGAATGTTTCTTACCGGTGCAGATGTTCTATTAGTGGGGTCCACGTACCACAAGCATAGAAAAGGAAGGGCATGACTATGGCCAAAGAGATTCGAAGCTTCGTGTGGTGCGACAGACTAGGTAGCTGCCACACAGCATTGCACAGCCGATGAAAAGATAATGCCGCTCTACTGATTCGGAGTGAGACCTCTTACTGTCAAACCGGAGCTGGTCATAAGCATACTGCCCAGGTATGGGAAACTCTCCACTCTCTCCACAACTGCTCCATCACCAAGACACACACACAAGGCTGGGACCTTTAATCCTTATTGTCAAACATTGTTACATGCGGCAAACAGATCATGTTTATCGTGTGATAACTGAATATGCAAAAAATTAACAACCGTATACTAGCCCAGCACTACTTGCAGGTATTAAGATACATTTCATTTTGTTTGCCCTGGTGAGAATTTAAGAGACCAGGAAAGCCTCATTTGCAAGAGTAATCCTGATCACATCTTCAGGGCAACATAGCTCACCACAGCAGGTTTTACCACATGGCCTTGGCGTGGGTGGAATTGGTAATATTTATTTTCTTCAGGAATGGTCCACATTGAGCCATAAAAATCATGTGTGACACAACAATAACACGGATAACAGGGGTCCTGACTGAAAAAAGTGTTCACATCACCAGTCTAGTACACGCATATCTTTACTCACAGACCTTTCACCCACATCATCACTTATAAGAGGTATATTCTACGATTCTATGCATGCATTTAGAGCCATAATAGAGCCATACTTGCAACGTAACAGTGATCACAGGGACTGTGACCGAATTTTTACAATAAACTACATAAATAACATGTAACACCAAATCCTAGAGCCATAGCTTGCTTGACACTGATCCTCACAAGAATAAATATTCCCACAATGCAATGTGTCCGCAACATCGTATAACTTGACTTGGAATAAGTTTATTTAGTAATGCATATTTGTTTTATTGATGGGGGGGTATGTATGTTCCCCGAAAGATATAAGCTAACTATTCATACGCCTATTTAAAAACTGGTTTCAGAACACATAAAAAAACCGCATTCGAATCAGGCCCCATTGTGTAAAGTTTAATCACCAACTCTCATCCACTCTATCGCTCTCTTATCGCCTCTCTTTATACCGTCAAAAGTGCCGCTGCCCAAGACGTCGCACATTCTATTTTACTCTTTTAAGGCACTGTCACTGACGAATTTGTCGAGCGGTTGTTGGTTGTGCATCACTGCCAATGCAATATCACCAACTTATTTGATAGAGGTTGAAGTTTGAGAGACGTAGAGATTTAGGGGCACAGACCCGTAACTCTAGATACAGACTATAGACAGGACAGAGCTGGCTGCTGTCAAAGTGCGAGACAAGCGCCGCACGACTATCAGCAGATGTTCAACACAGCCGATGGTGTTAGAAGGACACAGACTGGACTACTACACCAGCTGATGGCAGACAGGAGACAGGAGGAGGAGACGCAATGGTCCACACGCATACACAGCCCGCGGACGAGAGGGCACCGCCACTCACCTTGTGTTGGGCAACATTCCGCAGGAGTGGAGGAGTAAGGACTCTGAGCCTCAAGAGACGCACGCACACACTCCCCTATGTGGGTCAAAGGGCGAGGGGGGCTCTATGTGTCACCGCCGGCACCGCGAGACGCGCTGAGGTGGCTACGACCGAGCGGCTGGCTGTGAGTGAGCTCGGCGCTCCTCGTGCAGCAAACTGCAGGCGGTGCAGGCGGTGCAGGCGGCGTCTCACTGCGGTAGCCGTCCCCGTGTCTCGACGAGACCCGCGCACTGTGCACACGTGCAGCTGAGGGACACGCACTGTAGGACGCGCCGTGCGTGGTGACGTCGCCGCAGCACCGACACGAGGAGGCGCGGTACGTGATGACGTCTAGGTCAGCGCTTGCTTTCGGCTTTACGGTGCGTGATGACGTCGGGGGACATTAACTTCCGCCAAGGCACGCGCCGCTGTGCCGTCACGACGTCACCGCGCGGGCAATGACGCCCCCTCGGTACGTGATGACGTTGGCGCCAAGCGTGCAGATGCAACCGTGCGTGGTGGCGGACAGTGGCGCGGTGACGTCATAGTCGTACGTGACGACGTCATAGTCGTACGCGCAGACGTCACACGTAATTGCGTACCTTTGTGTGGGAAAAGATGGAATTAACAATGTCTTCGGTTTGCAGTTGTTGTTAACTAGTAATGGTAAGCTGCCTCACAGGGATTTATTGCTGAATAGAGAAAGCTGGAAAGTTGGGCTCTAATTAAGTATACTGTAGTTTGTTACGCAACATAAGGCAGTTGATGGGTGCAGGGTCAGTATTAAAGGCGGATCGAGATCAAATTGATGAATGAAAGAGGTGGACGAATGCAGGATCGAGTTATTTTTCGAAAACTGAACTTAAGAGTGAAAAGCAACCCAAGTTGTGCGTCTGCCGACCGAACAAAGTATCGTGTTCCACCGGAGCACACGATCAACCTCCTGTGACATTGACATCAGAAATCCGGACGCTGACACAATACAATTGGGGCCGTCTATAAATGACGTCGAGCGAATTTTGGAGGATTTTGGACCCCCCCCCCCCCCCCTCGTCACACGGCATCACAAAAAGTCAGACCCCCCCTCAAATATGACGTCACAAAGCTCTGCCCCCCCCCCCAAAAAAAAACATGATTCAAATCGCTTTCAACTATTGTCATTGTAGTGTGCTGCACTCTGATGTTGTAGGAGAAAACATTTATTAAAAAGGAGGCGTTGGAAAGCTGAAATTTAGCATAAAATCCACTTGAAAATATTCAACGTCTAACTAAAACTGCAGATGTTCAGAATATTATATTGAAATTATCTTATAATTATAAAATATTAAAAGTAATTATAACTAGAAAAAAATACTTGAAACTTTGTAGTAGAACGAAGCAAAATGGAGCGTACAATTATAACAATCACATTCATTTCACATAATAAAAAGCCCTGGTAGAATCATTAGAATCAAAATGTTTTGTAACAATCATTAAAAAAATGTTCAAAATGAATGCTTCTCCATTCTCCCATGGAGAAGCAAAATGCTCCTTCATGGAATAAATAAAAGGTGACCTTAGTAAATTTAAAACACATTCCTGCGGAGGGAGCTGGTCGGAACGTTGGGTTGTTCGGTCAATGGCCAGGATCAACGGCGGCACCACGTGGTGTATTCAGCACAATATGCCCGACTGTGAGGGCGGGCACAAGCCGGCGTGAGTAGGTTACACGTTGAGTTTTATAAGGGCACCACGGGGTGACCAGCCCCTCCCACCCCCACCCCTCCCACCCCCTACCCAGCCCCACCCCTCCCACCCCCACCCAGCCCCACCCAGCCCCTCCCCACCCAGCCCCTCCCAGCCCCTCCCCTCCCACCCCCTACCCAGCCCCACCCTCCCACTCCCCACCCTCCCCTCTCCACCCAGCCCCACCCTCCCCACCCAGCCCCTCCCCACCCTCCCCTCTCCACCCAGCCCCACCCCTCCCATTTTTGGATGCACGAATGACAGACGGATACAATAATCCCCTGTGGGCTGGTGGTGTAACCAGGAGGTTCCTACCAGTATAATCAAATAGTTAATAATTAAAATGAATCAAAATTAGTGTTGTTATAAAAATTCTATATTTATTTGATATGATGTCACATTTCTCAAACCTCCCCCCTCGTTACACATCATCACAAACGCCTGACCCCCCCTCCCTAGGTGCGTGACGTCATTTATGGACAGCCACATTGAACAAAAGCTGACTTTTGCAAAGTAGATACCAATAAGCTACAGGATATTTGTGAAACTACTGGGCATCTGTGGAAAAAAAGAGCTTCGTACCTCATCGGATACTTCCAGTCTAATTAAAGATTCTGATTCTAAACATGTCCTGATTCTGCATGGAGAGACACCGGGGAGGAAGCGAAGTTTCACGACAAATCTGACGACGAGATGCCACGAGCACTGCCTTGGCTCGCGCCCTCCCAGCCGCTAAACACGCCGCGACCCCCCCCCCCCCCCCCCCACAGGCAGCGTGCCGTGTCACAGCGAACAGCCACGCGTCACGTGCCGTGTCACAGCGAACAGCCACGCGTCACGTGCCGTGTCACAGCGAACAGCCACGCGTCACGTGCCGTGTCACAGCGAACAGCCACGCGTCACGCGCCGTGTCACAGCGAACAGCCACGCGTCACGTGCCGTGTCACAGCGAACAGCCACGCGTCACGCGCAGTGTCACAGCGAACAGCCACGCGTCACGTGCCGTGTCACAGCGAACAGCCACGCGTCACGTGCCGTGTCACAGCGAACAGCCACGCGTCACGCGCCGTGTCACAGCGAACAGCCACGCGTCACGTGCCGTGTCACAGCGAACAGCCACGCGTCACGTGCCGTGTCACAGCGAACAGCCACGCGTCACGTGCCGTGTCACAGCGAACAGCCACGCGTCACGTGCCGTGTCACAGCGAACAGCCACGCGTCTCGTGCCGTGTCACAGCGAACAGCCACGCGTCACGTGCCGTGTCACAGCGAACAGCCACGCGTCACGTGCCGTGTCACAGCGAACAGCCACGCGTCACGTGCCGTGTCACAGCGAACAGCCACGCGTCACGTGCCGTGTCACAGCGAACAGCCACGCGTCTCGTGCCGTGTCACAGCGAACAGCCACGCGTCACGCGCCGTGTCACAGCGAACAGCCACGCGTCACATGCCGTGTCACAGCGAACAGCCACGCGTCACATGCCGTGTCACAGCGAACAGCCACGCGTCACACGCCGTGTCACAGCGAACAGCCACGCGTCACGTGCCGTGTCACAGCGAACAGCCACGCGTCACGTGCCGTGTCACGGCGAACAGCCACGCGTCTCGTGCCGTGTCACGGCGAACAGCCACGCATCACGTGCCGTGTCACAGTGAACAGCCACGCATCACGTGCCGTGTCACAGTGAACAGCCACGCATCACGTGCCGTGTCACAGTGAACAGCCACGCATCACGTGCCGTGTCACAGTGAACAGCCACGCATCACGTGCCGTGTCACAGTGAACAGCCACGCGTCACGTGCAGTGTCACAGCGAACAGCCACGTGTCACGTGCCGTGTCACAGCGAACAGCCACGCGTCACGTGCTGTGTCACAGCGAACAGCCACGCGTCTCGCGCCGTGTCACAGTGAACAGCCACGCATCACGTGCCGTGTCACAGCGAACAGCCACGCGTCACGTGCCGTGTCACGGCGAACAGCCACGCGTCACGTGCCGTGTCACGGCGAACAGCCACGCGTCACGTGCCGTGTCACAGCGAACAGCCACGCGCCGTGTCACAGCGAACAGCCACGCGTCACGCGCCGTGTCACAGCGAACAGCCACGCATCACGTGCCGTGTCACAGTGAACAGCCACGCATCACGTGCCGTGTCACAGTGAACAGCCACGCGTCACGTGCAGTGTCACAGCGAACAGCCACGTGTCACGTGCCGTGTCACAGCGAACAGCCACGCGTCACGTGCCGTGTCACAGCGAACAGCCACGCGTCTCGCGCCGTGTCACAGTGAACAGCCACGCATCACGTGCCGTGTCACAGCGAATAGCCACGCGTCACGTGCCGTGTCACGGCGAACAGCCACGCGTCACGTGCCGTGTCACGGCGAACAGCCACGCGTCACGTGCCGTGTCACAGCGAACAGCCACGCGCCGTGTCACAGCGAACAGCCACGCGTCACGTGCAGTGTCACAGCGAACAGACACGTGTCACGTGCCGTGTCACGGCGAACAGCCACGCGTCAAGTGCAGTGTCACAGCGAACAGCCACGCGTCACGTGCCGTGTCACAGCGAACAGCCACGCGTCAAGTGCAGTGTCACAGCGAACAGCCACGCGTCACATGCCGTGTCACAGCGAACAGCCACGCGTCACGTGCCGTGTCACAGCGAACAGCCACGCGTCACGTGCCGTGTCACAGTGAACAGCCACGCGTCAAGTGCAGTGTCACAGCGAACAGCCACGCGTCACGTGCCGTGTCACAGCGAACAGCCACGCGTCAAGTGCAGTGTCACAGCGAACAGACACGTGTCACGTGCCGTGTCACAGCGGCATTTTGTTGCTTCGCGGTTGCCGCTTCGCGCCTCCAATCCCCGCTCGTGTCACTGGCGGCCCAGAGCGCGCCCCTTGCGGGCCCCGTGTGGCGGGGGGGAGGGGGGTAACAGGGGGAGGGGGGGTAACAGGGGGAGGGGGGGTAACGGGGGGAGGTAACGGGGGGAGGTAACGGGGGGAGGGGGGAGGTAACGGGGGGAGGGGGGAGGTAACGGGGGGCGGGGGGAGGTAACGGGGGGAGGGGGGAGGTAACGGGGGGAGGGGGGAGGTAATGGGGGGAGGGGGGAGGTAACGGGGGGAGGTAACGGGGGGAGGGGGGAGGTAACGGGGGGAGGTAACGGGGGGAGGTAACGGGGGGAGGTAACGGGGGGAGGGGGAGGTAACGGGGGGAGGTAACGGGGGGGAGGAAACGGGGGGAGGGGGGAGGTAACGGGGGGAGGTAACGGGGGAAGGTAACGGGGGGAGGGGGGAGGTAACGGGGGGGAGGGGGGAGGTAACGGGGGGAGGTAACGGGGGGAGGTAACGGGGGGAGGGGGAGGTAACGGGGGGAGGGGGGAAGTAACGGGGGGAGGTAACGGGGGGAGGGGGGAGGTAACGGGGGGAGGGGGGAGGTAACGGGGGGAGGGGGGAGGTAACGGGGGGAGGGGGGAGGTAACGGGGGGAGGTAACGGGGGGAGGGGGGAGGTAACGGGGGGAGGGGGGAGGTAACGGGGGGAGGTAACGGGGGGAGGGGGGAGGTAACGGGGGGAGGGGGGAGGTAACGGGGGGAGGGGGGAGGTAACGGGGGGAGGGGGGAGGTAACGGGGGGAGGGGGGAGGTAACGGGGGGAGGGGGGAGGTAACGGGGGGAGGGGGGAGGTAACGGGGGGAGGGGGGAGGTAACGGGGGGAGGGGGGAGGTAACGGGGGGAGGGGGGAGGTAACGGGGGGAGGGGGGAGGTAACGGGGGGAGGGGGGAGGTAACGGGGGGAGGGGGGAGGTAACGGGGGGAGGGGTGTCCCACGTGTCTGCCCCCGCCCTCAACTCATCATCAACAACGACAGATCCGGGAATCGATTTCACGGCGGCTCACGCACCACCGCGTGAGCTCGGCCATCGGTGTAACAACCGCGCGACGCTTGCCGACGGCGGTGTTCTCACCTGCGGCTGTTCGTCGCCGAGCTCGGCAAGCCGACGAGCGAGGCCGGGGAGCGCTGAGCCGGCCTGGACGCTGCCGTCGGCGCGCAGGAATCGGCGCGCCGCCTCTCCGCGTGCCCCGGAATCGACGGCGTCTTTGGTCAGGCGCCATTTGCTGCTGCCGCTGTTGTCGCCTTGCGCGTGAGGCCCTGCACCGCCACCGCCATGGACATGGACGGGTGAGGAGGAGGAGGAGGCGCCACGGGCTGTGCGTGAGACTGTGACACGGGCTGTGCGTGAGTCTGTGACACGGGCTGTGCGTGAGACTGTGACACGGGCTGTGCGTGAGACTGTGACACGGGCTGTGCGTGAGACTGTGACACGGGCTGTGCGTGAGACTGTGACACGGGCTGTGCGTGAGTCTGTGACACGGGCTGTGCGTGAGACTGTGACACGGGCTGTGCGTGAGAGACTGTGACACGGGCTGTGCGTGAGACTGTGACACGGGCTGTGCGTGAGACTGTGACACGGGCTGTGCGTGAGAGACTGTGACACGGGCTGTGCGTGAGACTGACACGGGCTGTGCGTGAGAGACTGTGACACGGGCTGTGCGTGAGACTGTGACACGGGCTGTGCGTGAGACTGTGACACGGGCTGTGCGTGAGACTGTGACACGGGCTGTGCGTGAGACTGTGACACGGGCTGTGCGTGAGACACCATGCACGTGTGGTAGGGCTGTGCGTAAGACACCACACGCGTGTGGTACGGGCTGTGCGTGAGACACCACACACACACGTGTGGTACGGGCTGTGTGTAAGACACCACACGTGTGGTATGGGCTGTGCGTAAGACACCACACGTGTGGTACGGGCTGTGTGTAAGACACCACACACGTGTGGTACGGCCTGTGCGTGAGACACCACACACGTGTGGTACGGGCTGTGCGTGAGACACCACACACACACGTGTGGTACGGGCTGTGCGTGAGACACCACACACACGTGTTGTACGGGCTGTGTGTAAGACACCACACGTGTGGTATGGGCTGTGGGTGAGGCACCACACACGTGTGGTACGGGCTGTGGGTGAGGAACCACACACGTGTGTTACGGGCTGTGGGTGAGGTGCCACACACGTGTGGTACGGGCTGTCCGTGAGGCACCACGCGCGTGTGGTACGGGCTGTGGGTGAGACACCACACACGTGTGGTACGGGCTGTGGGTGAGGCACCACACAAGTGTGGTACGGGCTGTGGGTGAGGTGCCACACACGTGTGGTACGGGCTGTGCGTGAGACACCACACACGTGTGGTACGGGCTGTGGGTGAGGCACCACACACGTGTGGTACGGGCTGTGGGTGAGGCACCACACACGTGTGGTACGGGCTGTGGGTGAGGCACCACACACGTGTGGTACGGGCTGTGCGTGAGGCACCACACACGTGTGGTACGGGCTGTGGGTGAGGCACCACACACGTGTGGTACGGGCTGTGCGTGAGGCACGGGCTGTAGGTGATGCACCACTTATGTGGGCATGCGTGGAGATGTGCTAATATTATTTAGGGTTAATGGAGCGAATAAAACGGTTCAAGTGTTTGTCCCAAAGAGAGAGACTGCCTTCCCTGCCGTCCATAGGAATGTGGAATGTACACCACAGGCCCAGGAGCGCCAGAGCAGTGATGAGGCCTGCCCTACTACACCCATTGTTGGCGTGAGCAGCCACTGATGTCATCTCTCGCCTCTCTCAGGGAATGGTGACAAATATCTTTCGTGATCAGCGGATACCTCCTACAAATCTCCCGACTAGTGTTTCAATAGTTGTAGGGGCATCGATTAATATTCGATCTGTGTTCACTATACTTGCATGAATCGCGTGCACGAGTTGATGACGTGACCCATTATCAACCACTAGAGGCCGCTACATTCACTACTTTGGAAAACAAAGTATTGATTCGTCAGTCAAGCTGACAGCTCAATCGTTGCAAGTCATTAAATAGTGAGGTACGAGAATTGTTTCGCCAATGTTCAGGAGGCTAATGTTTCGGGAAATTGTCCTCTTTCAGAACCAGGGCTATTAACATAAACGTCAGCCTCTTACAGTTCTGTATAGATACCATTTGTTGTTGTGCAGTGTTCATGATAATAATGGTGCGTGATTATGTTTGTACTGATGCCTATGCAGGCCATTAATTGTAGTTTTCTGATTTTTTTTGTGTGCCATGTGTGTGTCTTAGCAATATTCGAACAGATATGGGATCACCTGCTGGTTCAAAGGTAAGTAATTTCTACACCAGAGCCTTTGATTTGTAAGAGTCACGGAGTGTGTGTAACCCACATTGTAATGTATTAAAACAACAAACGCAAAAGGTCATGATGGTCATTGGTATAGATTTCACCACAGCCTGCCCATGGTATCGTTTTCCTAGATGATACAGGACCAGTAGACGTCTGTATCCGCTACACGGTTGCCGTCCGATGCGCGAACTCCACGCCGTGAGCTCCCGCCAGCTATAGTCCTGACCTTGCTGCTGCCCGTGCCATCTCACCTTGGCGACCACTTCCTTCTGCTCGATGCCATAGTTGTAAAGTTGGCACCCAGCCTTCGAGCTCTGCTCTTTGAAGTATCCCACCATCCAGCCTCAGATCTTCCTTCTAGTAGCTGATCTCGTGGTGACACTGCAGCACGTGTCCTCTCCATGCATCTCTACGCCTTTTCCATTTGTTCCCAATTCTTTGTCGGTCATTTTTCCACTGTGTCATGGCAGGAAACATGCAGTGGCTGAACACTGTCTTTTTTAAGCACGTTGATAAATGCTTTTCCTCACCAAATTTCAGCTTCCAAATCCTGCTCTTTCACAATTATAATGCAGCGTCTGTCATTGTAGTTACAATTAATCCTCCAGTCTGGTGTATGTCTTGTGAACATCTCCATGAGCCTTCTAATGGCTTCTGAGAGCACGTGTTAAGTTGATCCGTGAATTCAAAGCGCTGTTTCTCGTGTATCTGCTTTGTACTCTTGTTGACATTTATGGGCCAGAAACGTCCATGGAATAATTTCTGAACTGGAGAATTGTAAGACATGGCTTTGAAACGGAAGGCAATGATGGGGTGATAATATAAAGTTAAATAGCCATGGGAATGAATCTAGCCGAACACCGCACCACTTTCATGACGAATAAATAAAATATGTCTCATTGCCTCAGGGAACTCAACAAAATCATGCATTACTGACCTGGCACATGGGAAATTCCGAGATTGTTGTGTTTACACAATGAGAAGTCTGAATATTGAACCCATTATTGGCCCTGAAACTAAGTATTTGAGATCTAGTGCAGGTAATAGTGGTTTGAAATATATTTTAAATTGGGAGACATATACATACAAATGGCTCAGTGTTTGGAATTGCAAAGCTGTAAATTCATTCATCCTATCGCTGGTGTGAATATCTCACGCAAATAATGTAGGGAGGAGGGAAAGAGGTGGGAGAGAGATTGTGTGAGGACACAGTCAAGAGAATGCAATCTGTGTGCATATTCACCGTAATTGGGAAGTCAGCAAGGGGGTTGGAATTTTAACAGCAGTTTCAGAATTCCAAAGAGGTGATGCAGAACCCAGTCAAGTGTGAATGTTGAAACCCACAAAGGATTGTGGGCTTCCTAACCACATGTTTCACAGAGTAGCCTAGCAAGCAACATCCATGATCTTGTACAACAGGGTCACAGATTGCCCAAATTACTTCCAGTTGATTGCAGATTTGTGGATAATGATGTGTGGACTTGAGAAGGAGCTCCTCTCATTTGGGAATTGTGTCATCTATATTTGCTGCTGCCATTACCAAGGATTATGGTTCAATTTGTTTACAATGGGTAATGTTTATTGCGATGTTATACGATAAGAGATTGCCTTGAATTGGATTTTTTGAATGACTTTTGTTTGTTTCAGAGGGGACCGGACACTTTCTACTCTGCTAGTGCTCCTAAGAATGGCTCCACTGGTAAGGGTCAATGTGACTAAATTGACCGATTCAGTTTGTTTGGTTTCTTTTGCACCTGGGATAATCAGCCATCTCTGTATTACGATGCGATAGGGAGGCTGGCCTTGATACATCTCGGTGTCCATTGTTCATGTGTCAATCCACTGCTGGATGAGGACCGCCCCGTGCCGTACAGGTCGTGAATATCGTTTGACATACTCACGCTAGTCATTGCGGGGTGGTGCAGGTAGGGAGCGTAGGCAGAGCATACTACAGTACAATTCTAAATATTGCTGCACTAAAACATGCAAACTATGTCATCAAAAGTGTTTTTTTTATTTTAGTAAATAATAACTGTGGTTGGATCAACATTTAATAACTAAGAGTAGACTTATTTTTTTCGACAACTTTATTGACCAGACTAAGAGAATGGCTAAATGATATCTGTAGGCGAATTCGACAGGTTGTTGTCGTGAAGACTAAATTACCACTGCTGCCCTCTCAAGCGTTTGTCTCTGCTTCCTTTGGCCCCTGTGCTGCCGTGGCCCTGCAGCCGAGGGAAGCGAGAGCAAGAAGTTCAAAGGGGACTCGAGCGACGAGCTGCCCTCCAAGGTGCTGCACATCCGCAAGCTGCCGGAGAACGCCACGGAGGCCGAGGTGGTGACGCTGGCGCTCCCTTTCGGCCGAGTCACCAACATCCTCATGCTGAAGGGCAAGAGCCAGGCGAGCACGCCCCTCCATAACACCCCCACCCACGGCCGCCTTGCTCGCAGGCCCCCACCGCGAAAGCTGCAAACGATTCGCTCCCCTCGCAGTTTGATGAATTGTCGTCGTACACAAGAACATGCACTACATACACAAATTGAAACCAGTTGCTGCTGACGTGTGCGATTCGGTGCTTTTATTGTGAGCATGAGAATTTGTTTATAATTTATGTATTGTTACAATGGTAATGGCCATGGTGTGTGATTTAAATGTGAGTTTGCATGTTTATCCTTGCACTCAGCGAGTAGAGGCTTTCTGTATTTATAAGTGGAGTTTGAGAAGCTCAGTTTTAAGGCAGTGTGGTTATCCAGCCAATGTAAACTTACAGTGCCATTCCAGCCACACACAACATAGTTCACATTTCATATTTGGCAAAAAACTCTTTCCCAATCCTCTCATTGCAATGAGAAGCAGCTTTCTGTGCTCAAGTGTCATTTGGAAGTGTGTTTATTTACAGATTTTTGCTTAATGAAAAATATTACTAATCTTTTACCTTAGATTATTATTAAAGTGAATTTTATCGCTTGAATCAGACTGCATACGCCGCTGATTTCTTTACTGGATTCACAAGGCAGACCTATGATAAAAAAAAAACATTTAATCTCCTCGACTTCGCCATTCCAGCACTTCTGGTGACGTGTCTCTTGCCACTAAGCTCCCTTGGTTGCACCAAAGTCGAGAGCAGACGTTCGGCGCGTTTCACAAAACGCAGACTCGTGACAACGCGTGGGCCTCTCTCGCCGCGGCGCGTTCAGGCGTTCCTGGAGATGGCCTCGGAGGAGGCGGCCGTGGCGGCCGTGACGTTCTACAGCACGGACCCGCCCGTGCTGCGCAACCAGCCCGTCTACGTGCAGTACTCCACCTACAAGTCCCTCAAGACCGACAACTCCGCATACCAGGCGGTGAGCGATCGCGTCACTGTGCGGGGAGCGGTGCTGACGCGGTGTGACGCTTGCTAACACGCCGGGCCCGCAATACGGAATCAGAATGTTAATTTAGACTGGAGGAATCCGCTGATCTGTGAAGTTCTTTTTCACAGATGTAGAGTGGGGGTGGATCAGAAAGTTACAACAACAAACAATCCAAAAGCAATAGGAGTGCAAAATAGATAAAAGGTAAGCAAGTCACTCTAAATAAATATGAATACAGTATAAAAACACATTTCATAAGTGCATAAATTCCTACCGATTTACGGAGGTCACGGGTCAAATTCGATATCCCCGCACAGCAGTTGAAACAATGGCCGAGTTTCTTAAATCGCCCGTGCCGCTGTCCACCCTGCGGTGTAAACGGGTGCGGCACGGTTAGTCTATCGGCAGGTTGCTTATGGCGGGGTCAAGTCTGAGGACTTCCACCTCTTCCAACACGTCGTGAAGAAGCTCCCGTCACATAGAGTGAAACGTCGGCCATCATTCCAACAACACGTGGTACAGCCCGTATCAATGCTTAGACAGTGATTGGAACCTCAATGTACAGTTCTTTGTTAATCCACTGCTGGATGAGGGCCTTTCCAAGCCACCTGGGTCATGGAGGTTTATTGACTGTACTTCACACTGGTCAGTGTGGTCGGTGAAGACGGCCAGCATCGTCGTTGGAGCATAGTACAGCACAACAATGGATTTTCCATAATACGGGTTTTTTCTGGTTAGATCGCGTAAAAATATAAATGTGTCGTTAAACCCGCCACCACCTGACACAGCCAATTAGTAAGGTTTGTCACGTAAGCAGAACATCCCACTTCGTTACTAGGACAGCACACCGGTGTGTTGGAGAGCAAAGTCACAACATTTACAATCCGAGTACGACATTTTGAATGTAATTACAACTAGCTCCACTGCCTTCTGCTACAACATAGCCTCATAGTAGCCTATAACACCGATTCTATGGTTATTTCGGTAAAGTCACGTAGATAGAAAAAATAAGAACAATAAAAAATAAAAATGAAAAGAAAGTGAATAAAAAAATAATCATAATAAAAATATCACGACGTTTCGATGGCAACACAAGCAATCGTTATGCATGGTATTGGCCACCCATCCAAGCACTATCTCAGGTTGATGACATTGTGGGCCGAGTCGTTTAATAACATTTAAATGTGTTATTCATACGTCTCAAACTGACACCAACCCTTCGCCTGTGGTCCGATTGCGCGACTCATTTAACGTGCGTTGCTGCACACGCGCTCCGGGAGCAGAAGGCCCAGGCGGCCATGATGGTGGCGAACGGCTCGGACAGCGAGGAGACCAACTCGGCCGCCCCCCAGAGCCCGATCCTGCACATCATCGTGGAGAACCTGCTCTACCCCATCACCCTGGAGGTCCTCCACCATGTGCGTACGCACGGCCGCTCTCTCCCATCGCCTGTGACCCGCGGCCGCTCTGCGGTAACTCTGTCCTAGCGCACTCTGCTGGCTCGAGCAGTCGACAAACCTAGCCACCCGCTCAACTCTCAAAGCTCTTAGTGCAGAGCTATACTTCTATCAATCACAGCGGATGTTTCTTAGGCGGAGATTTAGCCAGATTGTAAATTTGTCACTGATGACTTAATTGAACAAGTGGCATTGCCGGACATCGAAACTTTGTTCTGATGTGCATCTGCCTGTTGTTGTCTTATTGCAGGTGTTTTCTAAGTACGGCACAGTCCTGAAAATAATAATTTTCAACAAAAACAGCCAGTATCAAGCCCTGATGCAGTTTGCGGATGCCAGTAACGCACATCAAGCCAAAACGGTGAGTAACTTTGTAACATTATCCAGGTCATGTTAGTGCAAATAAGATGTTTACAAGAGTTGTTTTTAAAGTAGTTCTCTGTCAACTTCCAGTGATGTTTCTTAGGCAAATCCTGGATGGAGTGTTTATCGGGAGATCTCTGAACGGAAATGTTTCGGTCTTATAAAGCGATGCAAATATAAGCGTAAGCAGTGTAATTGCGAGAAACAGAAGCACGTCAAATAATATAAACACAAAGCAGCGCAGTGTGCATCGGTTTGAAATGGCAGCTGTGGCTAACTACGTGTGCACAGCTCACAAATTCACACGTGCATCATCTAGAGATCCACATGCAATTACGGCAGTGGTTCCCCCTCAACCACTGTCAACCTGAAAGTGTTTTTTGGAAACGAATCGCGTGCAAAACACTTCCCTTTGCCTTGCGGACCACCAGGGCTTCACGCGCCACAGGTTGGGAACGGCTGACCTGGAGGGTGTTGAAATCAATGCGATGCTGTGTGTAAGGTCCATGGTGGTAATGGTGGCCGTGGTTGCGGCGATGGCGGCCTGCGTTCACACGCGTTACGTCAGCGTTGCCCGAGCCGCATTGTTCGCGGCGCCCCACGGCGCTTCTTTCTCGTGTCGCCAGTTTGCCGCTGTTAAAATGCGAGTTGGGTCTTCGTGCGGTGCGCGTGCGCCCGATGTTTGCTAGACACGTCCGCTATGATTTGGAGAGCGCAGTTTAAGATTAAGGATGTAGCTCTTCATGCACATGCAAGATTTCTACAAAACCTCTGTGTGTGTGTGTGCGTGCGTGGGCGCTGTCCCATATTAATTTATCTTTTTTGTGCTTACCCCATGCTCTCTCTGTCTGCCCTTAGTCCTCTTGTGTTTTATAGATCGTGTTGTAAGGAGCTTTGAGATGCATCAGCGTTTAAGTACAAAATAAATGCAAATTCTGATCCTAAAGAAAAAGCAGTTAGTGCTGCATTAAGGAGGTTAATCCTGCCAGTGAAGTCACTGTGTGTTTGACATTTACTTGAGAGCAGGTGATAGCGTTGGTAATGGTTATAGTGTATTTAGCGCTTCATGTAATGAAACGGTTATGGTGCAAAAATGTAGAGAAGACGACATTGAAGTGCAGATGTGTGGATCATTTCGTGGAGAAAGGGAGTGGGTCACATTGCCCTGTTGCCTGGCAACTGCTTCACTCTGAGACATTACTTGGGAATTTCTGCCATTGCTGGGAATTGGGAAATCCGGGAATGGGGGAGGCACAGCTGTGCATCATCTCCATCAGAACCACCAAATTCTGTAGAGCGCCACCTTAAAATAAAAGCCGACAACGCCATCCATCGTAAAGCTGCCAAATAAGAGGCCATGCATTTAGCACGTATGCATGGAGGGGGGAGGGGGGGTTAACCCAAATGCGTAGCTTGCGTATGGTGGGTCTACTGACAATGTGCGTACGCATAGGAAACGGGGGAGGTGGGGGGGGGTGAAGCCTCGGTAATAATGCAGCCGGCGGTGGACTATCTATTTACTTAAACACGTTAGTATTATTAATCCTTGATCATTTATGCGTGCATTAAATATTGGCCGTTCTATAGGATTCGGGGGGGGGGGGTGTAAAAAGTACGCGTGCGTACAGGGAGGGGGGGGGATGGGTCAAGTTTTGACAGATTTTTGCGTACGTACTAAATGGATGGCCCTTAAGTATCGCATCACTAATGCTCAACATCAATGAAAGAATCCCAGTCTTGACCATGTGCAGGCACGTATTCTTTAAATGAAATAAGAACCCATTGAGACATTTCCTTTTGTGAAGGTACCTGAGTTGCACGTAGGAGTTCATGGGCAGGCTGGACTGCTCTGGCAGAGTAGTGGCGGCTTTGGAAACGGATACGTCCAGTCTGGTGGCATTATTGGAAGAGGACAACAGACGTCTGAGCGTGGAGGTCATAGTTCCATTGTGTCAGGAAGGTTATAAGAGGTTCTATTTGGTATTACCTGACCCTGAAGTCCTCTGAGGGAGGGCTCCAGCATTGTAATGGACATGGAATGGCTAAACGTGCATGTGAACACCGTTCAGAATAGAGACCTTGGGGTCCGTAAGGGCCAGCTGGCCGGCATAGATCTGAAGATGCCTTCCTCAACACTCCAATAGTATCGTCTCACAAGAAGTTCCTTGTGTTTGACCAAGGGAAGGCAGCTTTAGGTGGTAGGGTGACCAGAAGCTAACACTTCCACTACATTATGACTGCAGAGTTCTGTAAATATTTTGGTTGAGGTCTGGCCGATAATGTGACTGAGTAAAAGTTCTAGTTTTGAATTGGTTGCATTGGTGACACCTGCAGGTAATTATTTTTTATTTTATATAAGTGGTGAAAAATTCATTTTCAGAAAGAAAATCGACTTGCCAGTGTGCTTAAAGAGGAACGTTTTCAGTCAATATAAAATAACTACACAACTTAACCGTAGGATGATAGTGTGGGCAGCATAATATCCATGGTTGCTACGTTACTTAAAATTGGAAAATATTTTGTCAAAACGAGCAGCGTCGAGCATCCTTACGAAGCACTGGCCCGCATCTGAAAAGGCACCGCAGAGCCACTGCTGGGCAACATAATGCTGTTTGCCATCAACAAAGTCTACACCTGCCATGCAAGACCACACCCATTAATCCCCGGGAATTGGGGGCAAAATGGCGATCCGAGCGCTCTGTCTGGAGCGGCCTGATGGTATGCAGCCAGGATAGAGACCCACTCCGTGATGAGATGGCTCCCACATGGAGCAGGTTTGACATTTACAATTGAGTGCAATACAACTCTTTTAGCGCATTGGGATGAGGAAGGGCACCCAATAATTTAATTTCTCGAGTGGAATTTTAACTTAAAATTGCAGCAGATTCATTGAGATCGTGGCAGTGAGTGACTTGCAAGTACACTTTTCAAGCGTTGGTTTTCTCGGCTTCACCTCTTGTGATGGGTTTGTGGGAAGAGTTTTGGGTTTTACAGTCTGGCCATATTTCCATCATTGATATTATTTTTATTGGTTTTTATAGTTTTAATTTTGACGTATATTTTCATTAAATCCAGGCCTGTTAGAACTTGGAAGTAATTTTCATTATACAGTAAAGTAGTTGCAGAAACCAAGGCCACTAAGCACATGGCCAGGCCAGTCCGAGTACTGGTTGTGTGGGTTTGGACCCAGGCTCCCTCACAAGCCTCACAGTGCCAAGCCAACAGAGCCGTGTGACTACTTTGACCAGCAGCCTCTAGCTGCTTGACTACACATGCTTGACTGCAGCTGCTCGACTTGGTAGAGTTGGCAATTACTCAACCACCGTGGAGAATTGGTGAGGCTACAGGGCCTGCAAGTGAGGGCTGCCCCTGCTGCTGGAGCACCTGCCGGTGAACTAATTGTCCAGTGTCCCAGCTGTGGACCCTTCTCAGTTGCGGATAATCCATCGGGTGCTATTATGCAGTTTTTTACCCAGATGCCACCACGTGCAGTATGGGTAATGAAAGGTGCTTTTTTTTTTATTAAAACAACTTAATCCCCCTTTCGGACCGTCGCGGCGAGCAGATGCTCGACGGGCAAAACATTTACAATGGCTGCTGCACGCTGCGTGTGGGCTTCTCGCGCCTCACCAACCTCAACGTCAAGTACAACAACGAGAAGAGCCGCGACCTCACTCGGCCCGACCTGCCGGCCGGCGAGGGCCAGGGCCCGTTCCCCCTGATGCGCGCACAGGGCAAGGAGACCTCCCTGCTCGGTACGTGTCCGCACCCGCAGCGTCCGTTGCGTTGTGGCACCTCTTTATCGTTAATGTTCTGACCACCCTTGTTTAGCTAGGAAAGCCTCGCTGAGTCGCAAGGCTAGTGTTTTTTGCAGAAGGAACCTGCTATGTGTTTGATGTAGGGGGGGGCGATCGCGATGTCTTTCGCAACTAGTAATATGCGGGTAATTTTTTAAAAATTGGACCGTGACGCCGGCACGCATGGGCAACTCTTTTTCGGGATATGTCCCGTCCACTGTGAAGCAGACACCATGTATTTTTATGGTCAATACACTCTCAGTATTAACCAGGGCTGCCACCGGCTTGAATCGAAGACCTCTGCATCGAGCGGCAAGCGTGCTCCCATTGGGCCGTATCGCCGCCCCATGTGGCTGTGGTTCTCACGATAAACTAGGTACGTGAGTTATTCAATTTGTACAAAGTGATGTGACAACATTACAGTTAGGATAATTGAGCAAACAGAAATGGCACAATCAAAGTGTAAAAAAAACTGATAATATAAGTACGACGGTACAGATGAGACAGAAAAGTGTCGATTTTTTTTACTGAATTGCCAACGGCGATTGCGACAATTTAATTTCTGTTTTGTGGAACAAAACGTTTGATGCCGACTAAACAGAGGGATTGATAAAGATAATGAGAATTAGATCCTCTGGTGATGCATGCAATTTCCAGGCCCGACCTCAAGGTTAGTGGATTAAAGGCACCGCCGCCACACCTGCGTCGTATTCACAATCTCGCGAGCTCTTGTGGGCCGCGGTTGTTTCCCATCTGCTGCGCGTTAACCCCAACGGCCGGCGGCAACGCGGCGAGAAGCCGCGTTGCCGCCATAATTAGCTCCGCCGAGGTTGAGGGTGATCACATCGTTAAAGAGAAACTTCACAATGGATGCTTAAGCTAAAAACGTTCGCGAGACTTCACAGCGCAGAGAAGGTTGTTACAGCAGTTCGCCGTGTACCTTTCCAGGCGAGTGCAACGCCGCCATTTTGTGTAATCTCCTTGGTTCGCTTCGCACGGGAACAACAATCATCGGCGTTGCTCGGCGTCCGGAGAATTATCCTTCACGTAACATTTAGCTCCCCGATGCGTGTTTGAGTCGTGCCGCGTGTTGTTTGGTCACGCCCCAAGGCCTGAAGGACACGTCGGAGAGCTGTGCAGCACGTCCATGATGACCCGCGTGGAATTGTAATGGAACATTTCGTTTCGATAAGCAATCTCTAGAAGAAAAAAACGATTTTGCTCATGAGCTGAGCCAAATTGTGTGGAGAGGAGGGACTCCTTCTGACTCGGGTCTGTTTTTAAAATAACATTTTGGTCTTTCAACCTTTTGGGCCCTTTGGAGCAAATGTTACAGACAGAGTTTGAACACGGAGGTAAAAATGATGCTGATAAATGTTGGTCCCGACGTCCTTTAGGCTGGTACCTCAAGATAGCAATATAAATTCCAATTATTTAGCTAGGAAATGTTCACGTAGTTGGGTTGTACAAACACAATTTTAACCAATTCTGTAAACAAATATTTGTCTGAATGTGGGAGGAAACTGGAGAGCACCTCACAGTCCCACGCCTACAACACATGGCAAGCCCTGGCGCTCACCAATCCAACAAAGCACTGACCAAGCTCAAATTCCGCTTCGCTTCCGTAATCCGATGAGCATTGCGGCTGCCTGCAGATGTGTGTGGAGGCCCAGGAGTGGATTTACAAATGGCTGGACGTGTACATGACAGTAGTAATATTTTCAAAGTATGAACTCCTCTTACCCTTTAATGTTTCCGTGGCTGTTTGTCGAATTAAACTACTCTGACCTCTTCCTTCGCAGTGCAACTGCTGAAGACAAAACATATCACAATTTTAAGTAATACCTCAAATTATGCGCTTTATCAGTTAAAAATTTTACAGTGGTACACGTTGACACAAATTGATAATGAGAGCAACATGAAGGCTAGGTGAGTCAGAAGGAAATTATAAAAAAAAAAATTACATTCGGATTGTCCGAGCAATTGTCCAGTTCTATGGTAGAAAAATGGTTGAGGGAAGAGTTATTCACTCACTGCTTCAGGTCTGTGAAGTGTCGTGATGAAGGAGCAGGCTCCACATTATGTATTGACCCTCGCCGTGTAGCACCGAGATGCCGTGGTGTGTCTTGGCTGGCGAGGGTTTAGATGCCGTGCGGCTAAACTACGAGTGTGGTTTCACTTTGTATTGGCTGCTGAGAAGCGTGGCCTTGGGCAAGACACGTCACGAGAACGGATGATGGCCAATGGTCACGACTAACGACAGATTGGCAGCCAGAAGAAGGAACGTGCCCGGGAGGACGACCACTGCGGAGATGAAGGCATGAGATTAGTTCATGTGCTGGATTTCGATGGATTGTTGCTTCCATCGCGAGACTGAGGGATGGCGATGGCTTAAGAAGGCATTTATCCAGAAGTAGATAGATCTTGGCTGCTGCTGATTCTAATAGTTTTGTAATTTAAACATTTAATCTGAAGGAATTTTCCATCAGTTTTGACCATCCAGTCTACAAGGGTCCACTTCTTCCAATTTTATTAAGAATGAAAAGTATGTCCCGGCATTAAAGAACCACTCACTCTATCTTTCTCAGAGTGGTACTTGATGGAATAACCGCCGTTCGGGCAGAAAATAGCCTTGGCAAGCTTCCCTGCGGTGCAAGGGAAGAGGTTTCTCCACGCGAACAGCAGCGTTCTATTCGGCCGCTTTCTGTGCGATGGAGCTCACAGTAGTGGCTGGGTTGATCCAGGGACGGAGCATGGAAGGGCGCAATTTCCCCACAAATCCCAACCCACATTTCAGCCAGGTGGAGAAAGGAGGATTCTGCCCGCATGGACGCGTGTAGCTTGGCAGGAAAAGAGTTCCAGGTGGTAATGTCCCCCACTCTGTTTCTCTGCAGGTAACCCAGCCCTCATTCACGGAGGCTTCCCCAACATGCCGCAGTCTGCAGGTCGGTTCCTCCTGCTTTTGTGTGCCGCATGCATTTCCGTCAGATGGGGTTGCAACTCCATATTCATGCAGATTGAATCGCAGAATTTTGCGATCACTTTCTGCGTTCAATTTGTTGAGGACAGAGACGTCTCTGACCGTTAGAGCCAAGTCATTCTCATTCGTTCATTCACAATAAAGGTTTTATGGGTTAGATCACATAAATATAAATGTGTCGTTGTCCACCACTACCCGACATAACAAATTAGTAATGTTTGTCACGTAAACAAAACGCGCCAATTACTACTTTAGCACACTGGTGTGTTGGAGAATAAACCCACAACATTTACAATTTCAGTACGACGTTTGGCTTGTCATTACAACCAGCTTCATCAGGCGATTTGCCATATTGTGAAGAAATCTTCGTGTTTCGGTCCCATTCAGATATTCATCATTTGGGCTTCTCCACTTCCTATATTCCTTCCTTTAAAAAAAAACAAAGTCTTAATTAATGAGCTCTGGTAGACACTCGAAACACTCATTTCTCACTCCAATCATCCTCTCATCTCTGCACCTTAACCTGGTTTTACATTGGGCACCCGTTATGATGCTGTAACAGATCGTAGCCTGATAACTCTGATCCTTTAGTGAGCTTTGTTACCTAGCTTGTTGGCAGTTGGCACATTAAGTGGAAGTGGGGATTCACAACTTACCTACTCCATTGGTAATAATTGCACGGTACGTTGGAAACCCGTTGACTATTGACACGTCTTCACTTCTGCAGCAATGAACCCCTGTAACCTAGTTCTGGCCCTAATAATACCCCGTCACGTCCCAAGAGAACACAAGCCTTATTCTTGGGTCTTTCAGTAAAGTCACGTAGATAGGTTCAAAGAAAATAACAAAAAGCAAAAATAACAAAAAGCATGCTATTTTCTTTGCACTTATCTACGTGACTTTACCGAAAGACCCAAGAATCTGATTTCCTGCGGTCATGAAAGCTTTAAGTCAACACAAGCCTTGCTGCAGTGTTTCCTTTTTCAACACTCACCGGCCGTGGATAAAAAATAACCGCTACTTTTCAATTGCACTAGCTGCTCTTCGTGACTAATTTTAAGGCTTAAGCAATGATTTGTTCCGAATCCCATAGTGTGTCAAAGCGAGTGTGTCGAAGGCGACCAGAGCACGATGATCTATTCCGGCCTGTTATTTGTTTATATTTTTTAATGTGATTTTAATTATGCAACAGCCTCTTGTGTTTTTACTGGACACTTATGCCACAAATAGTTTGGACTGTGTTGTAGTCGTTACAGTGCAGAACAATGCATTTGTCAACTAATTGTTTATCTGCACCTGAAACAAATGACTGTTTTAGTAAGTTGGATCGAGAAAGACAGGGTTGCATTGCTTTCTCTCCTTTGTTTATCTCAAAGTGAAGTGAAGTTTATCCCTGCTCAGACTAGCATGGGTTGCACACATCTGCATTGGAAGCAATTGGGCAGCGCTGAAAATTCCACATTCCCATAATGGGGGCCAGTCTTTGCATACGACAACCACCGATAACCTTGCAAAAGTTGGTACTTATGTTACTGGCCCAGGATAACTAATACGTGATTTGGTGATGCTGCGTTGGCAGTGGTGCACACGCACATTTAACGAACGCAAAAACTCAACACGCTCGTCAACAACATTGCCTTTTTGTTTAAGGCCATGTTGTTGTTGACGATGAGTGCGTTGCGTTTTTCAGGATAACTAATTGGCCGAGTCAAAACCGGCGTGGAATTGGACTCGCAGACTTCCAACTGCGAGTCCATCGTGCTACCTAGCTGGATGAACCTCGTTATGTATGCGTCTCCTACGTTGTGTTTCATGTCCAGTGCACACGAGCGTGCTTTATGTTGCCAGCTGTGGCATCACGCCACAGCTGTCCCTCGTGGCGTCGACCCTTGGGGCTCCGCGGAGTTTGAGGTGGCGTCGAGCAAGGGCTTCAATTCTCTCGGCACTAATTACAAAAATCTCTGCCCTTTCTCATGCAGATCTAAACCCGAGGCATTCTCAAAACTACTTCCCCCATTCTCCGGGTGAGTGCAGCAGACAGCTCCATCACGCTGTCGCTAAAATTACGCTGTCAGAGCGCCTCTGTGTTGAGACAATGCCTTACCTTCATCATCACGATTTGGTGCACGCACTTCATCTGTTTTACGCATTTTTACATTATAACTATTCAAATGAAATAGCACAGGGAGCAAGAGTTTTTGCTAAACAGTTAATGTTAGCGGGGTGAGTGTACAGAAATAATGTTAGCGGTGTGCGTTTAGTACTGGTGGCATGATGCATCGCATTGGCGATTAATGTTGATTCTCGAGCTTGCAATACAGGCATGGAATCACAGTGTATGAATTCGTTTTTTTTTATTTTCGGATATGTTCTAACTGTTTTGTTCACGTGACATTCTCCAGCCCACTAGATGCAGCTCCACACACTAAAGGTGTTAAAAAAAAGGTTACAACCCTCTTGTGTTTGTTTTACTTTCATTTTCGACAAAGCCAACCTAGAGAAACAGCACCAGGATACAAGGTGTTTCTGCATCGGTATAGACGAATGGATCTGAATATTGTACTGCCATTGAAAGCTCGTGGGCTTTGAGCCTTACTCTGCGCTGTGTGCGCGCCTACATGGCAGTGCTGTTCCTGTAGCTGTGCAACAGCACCACCAGCCGCTCTCATCAGGAACTGATGCGAGCGGCTGGTGCGTCGGCAGGTCGGCGCTCTCCTGTGTACTCAAGCGGCGTAGCTGCACGCTTGTTGTTGCAGAGAGGTTTGTGGTTTAAATCCAGCGGGCCACCGTGGTAATTCCTGTAAAATGTACGTGCCGTCTGCTTAACAATGGATGCTAAAGATCCCCTGATGTCATTCGAAATGAGTAGTCCTTTTTGTGCTGGCTTCATGGTCCACATTTGCCATATTGGAACAATTACACCGCCAATCACTCAATTGGGACTCGTGTATGCTTACAGGTCAGGTATTGAGTCAACTCTGCCGCACAGAGACGGCTGGCACTCGGGGTGCCCTTTAGAACGGTTGAGCTGAGAAGTGGATGCACGTAGATTATCACGTGTGAGGCACTCTGAGGCTTCCCTGTGTGTAGGAGGGGCGGCTCTTATCGTTCGCCAATCACGATTGTGATCGTGGCTGTGTTTGGCTGCTGCGGACACAGCGGCTCCCCCGTCCCGTAAGCGTGGCAAGGGTGGCCGTTCACTCGTACCCTGGGACGTGGCCATGAGCCGTTGAGTCACGCTCGGCTCGGCACAGAGAGGGATCGCCCCCTGTAGAGCTCGCTCAGTGTGGTTCAGGTGAAGGTTCGGGTTAGATGTTTTCACACAAATTACTTCAGTGTTGTCATTCACTGGAGTGGAGATCTTAGAATATATTTTTTTTGCATGGTTTAGAGACTAAATTTGATGTGAATAAGATCTAAGAACATTAAGCATTCTGGACAATGTGTAAAATAGATAAGCGGACAATGTTTGCAGCATACAGCCGTCTCTCCACGTAAAATACAAATATTTCTTATAGTTCAAAGTATTTATTACAACCTGTGGGTTCTTGACATCAATTTGTAGATACACGTACACTGCTGTGGATTCACTGCTGGATGAAGGCCCCCACACACTGTGTGAGTCACGGGGATTGTTTGATCATACTTCACCACGCTGGTCGGCGCGGGCTGGTGTTGGGCAGGTGGAGGGCGGAAAGATTGGGTGAATGGCGTTGTAGGAATGTGCATCTCACTAATGCACTTTGGAAACTCGCCCTTCTGTTTGCTGCTTGTTCTGTCAAAGGCCAACGTGAACTCTAGGTCACGCTTTCTCCAACAACATTTCCCAGTTTCATTCAATCCCTGTTAGCTTGCCAAGGACGGTTCTGCTTCAGTAAAGCCCTTAATCTTCTACCCGGAGACATCCCATTCACCAACATCAGTCTTCTAAGCCGTGTGTAACAAAGGGACCCACGCTGCTCGACAGAGTTGGACCTTGTAGGGGCTGCAGAGTGAACACCGTACCCTGCACCCCGGCAGAGTGCAGGGCACGGTGGCCAGATGTTAACTATCTCGCGTGGTATGCAGGCGCTGTATATTTGAAGTTTGCACGTCTCTCTTCCCGTGGTTACGTGGATTTTTCTCTGGGTTCTCCGGTTTTTCCCTCCACGTTTAGAAACATGCCTTTAGAGTATTGAGCTGCTATGAATTTCTACGCTTTTTCTTCTTTGGTTCTTTCGGTAAAGTCACGTAGAATGAGAATAAAATAATAAATTGATAAAATAAAATAACACAATAACATTCTCACGACGTTTCTCATTCTACGTGACTTTACCGAAAGAACCAAAGAAGATGAATCATTGCAGTCACGAAAGCTTTAAATCGAAATTTTCTACGCTTTGTTGAGCTATTATGTATGGGCTGGTCGCTTCTGAAAAAGAGCTAAATAGCTCAGTGGGCCTTACCTGTGCTGTTTAGTTTTAGATCAGCGTATTAGCTATTAGGGGTATGATGCTGCACCAATTAATTGATTCACGTCCATGTGTGTAAGAATCAACGTGTTGCCCTGTCAGTATGAGTTGTATGGGATGATGAATACGTGGTGTAAATGGTTAGTGCACTGGACTTGCAATGCAGAGGTTGCCGATTCTATCCAATCTCCCGGTACGGCAGTTGAAACAACTTGCAGGCTTCTAAACCCCCTCCCCCCCCACTGCCTCTGTCCACCCAGCAGTATTACTGCGTACACTGTAGTATTTTGTTTGGTAGGTCGTGCGTAGTGGGGTAAAGTGTGGCTACTCTCAGCTCTTTCAAGGCGTCTTCTCAGCAGACCAAATATCCTCTGGAATGGCTCTGTTGTGCAGGCCCTTTTGCAAACAGTGGCGCGAACAGGCAATTGCAGGGCTGCTCCCTTGCCACCCTTTTATTTGTTGAGTGTAACGAGTTCATGAGAGTCCTGCAGCCACTAGAGGCCGCTACTTTCACAAACTGTTAAAAAAAGGATCGATTATTCAGTTGAATTGCCATCGTGAACGTCGTCATTTAATTGGCTTGCGATGGGAGCCGAAATAACGAGAGCGGCGATGAGTAACTCACCAGCCAGGTGGCTCAGCGGTACGGTGAGCTGCTCGCAGTCAGAAGGTTACGGGTTCAAATCCTGATTGGGGGGTTGACTTGGCCCATCATCCCTTCATAGTCGATACAATTAGTGTTTGTCTTGAACTTAGACGCATCTCTGCCAAAGGAATGGGGAATTTCCACACACTGGCTCAGGGCTGTAAACAGAAGATGAGTACCAATGCCTCTGCTCATTTCAGCAGGAAATAGCTTTGACTTTTAGCTACTGCCCTTGTGGCTGTGGGTAGCACCCACCCAGAGTCCAAAAACATTTGTAAATTCTGCTCGTAATTGGCAAGAAGCCTGCGGCTAGGTTTTTAACTAAATTTTGGACATGGTGTATTTTTTATGCAGCGTTGCTGGAGGCATGTAACAAATTAAAAGTAATGCGGCTGTGAAATGGGTGGTTAAAAAATAGCCTCCCAGGTGGCGAGGCCTGTCATCCATTAAGGCATGAAAATGGGAATTCACAGTCTAACAATTACTCAAATAGAATGTGTTTTTATAGCAGGCATCGCCGCCTCCTGCGAACACTTGGCAGGACACTCCTGAACGAGTCATGAGACTCAGTGAGGCTTCCTTGGTAAACAAGAGTAATCATGATAGAAAAAAGAAGACTTAATCTTTTGAAAAAAAGGCTTTACCATTTTTTATTATCTTATTACTCGCAAAAGGGTCCTGTAGATATAAGCATAATAAGAATGATATCTACACTGGACCCTCAGTAACGTTTTGCACCACCACACATTTTGAAAAATAGAAACACGCCTTGGTTCGGCCAGGCGTGCACCCTGACCTCTCTGCTCGTTTGCCTGCACTGGGTGAGCACGTTTAATCAACTGAACATCGTTCACATTACACCGCAACCGTTCTCATGCAACGTCCTCACGAATGCAATACATCCGCGCGTTTGTGCGTGCGCTGACACATTGAGAAAATGTTCACGTTCGCGGATGACGCACGCAGCACTTACGGAGGGCGATGGTTTTCATGGAAACGGCGCACAAATTATTTATTTTCCTTTTTACTCTTCTTAGCGGGGAGAGGCGTTCGGCTTTAATCATCGTGTCGGTGCAAAACCCATGGTCAGCCTGCTCCGCGCCAGCAATGCGGGGTGCCGAACCAAGGCGGCTTAACAGAGGCCCCCCCTTGAATTTATACGGCGACGCTGCGGATCCCGTCGTTACTCATCGCCCTCAAGCCCCGGGCCGTGCAAACGCAGGATGCGCTCAGATCACGCAGGGGAGGCCGCCTCCCTGCCACGGGAGACACGTCAAGGGATTAACGTTTCCTCTGCCCTTACTCCATCATTGCATTCTGATCACACACTCAATTTCGATCGTCAAACACTGCGCGGGGGTGGGGGATCCTTGTCACGCTGCCCCAATCCCCCAGCCCCAGCAAAGCTTCTCCCAGCTGTCCGCCTGCCCGGGTTGTTTTCACCCTCCCAACTCTGGTTGTAATTTAGTCGTAAACACCGCAGCGTGTCCTGGTTAAGCGATTAGCGGTAATAACTAAGCTCATATTTCCGTGGCCACGAGCATTTATGTTTGGCGTCGCGTCTCCGCCGCCTCTCCCCAACGCGCACGTCCCGGGGACGCTGCTTGCTCCGTGTTAGTGGGCGCAGAGGGCGAGCGTGCGGTGATCAAAACAACCCCCAGGTTAACCCCCAGAACGGTCCCGCGGGCTCTTGATCACGGGCGGAGGACATGCGAGGCCACGGCTGACGGTGACGCCCTCGCGAGGCTTGAGTAGAGTCTGCGGCATTGCGCTGTGGTGGAAGCCAACCCAGGGTAATAAGGTCTTGCGACGTTTTCTGTGATCGTCGGTCGACGACACTGCCGACAAAGGAAAACAATATATGATTGGCAACGTTTTAGGCAATGGCCCTTCTTCACAGCGGAATCCAATCTGGACGGGGAAGCTGCAGTTTTACCTTTGAATTAACTCCCCTCCGATGTGTTTTGTGGCGCGCAACGCGTGTCGTTTTTCGGCATGAAGTCCGAGGTTTCTCTCAACGTGCTCACTCGAGGTCGTGAAGAAGAAGACTTAGCGGCCAGCACGTGGAGCAGACCCGCCACACACGGGAGTTTACCTGCCACCTTTTGCCGTGGGCTAACCGGAACGCGAGAGCCCGTCGGATCACGGATTGACTTGCGTGTTGCAAACGTGCCTCGGCAGGCGTTGCCAGCGCAGGTCACGGAAGGGCGCGCGCTCCGTTGTTTAAACGCAAAGGAACCCGGTGCCATTTAGAGTCCTCTGTGAGTCCAGGAGGGACTGCTGCTCCCAACCGGGGCCACGATGCCACGTGGAGCAGCTTGCGGCGGGCTGCTCTCTGGCGTCGGGGCGCGCGTCACGGCGAAACGGCGTCGGGGCACCTGCGATTAGCACGCTTGGCTACGTGGAGTGCGAAAGAAATTCAACGTACATACAATTGAACGTACGGAGTCGCGGCATTGCGACGTTACGGTGCGCTGGGAAAATTGAAAGGCGTTGAAAAGTTTTCGGCAGATGTTCAAATCTGAGAAATGAAAGAGAACCCAACGGTGTGGATATGAGACACCTGACTTGCGATCGTCAAGGATGTTGATCATGACTGATGTTTTTAATTAGCGTTACCCTCATTTATGCCGTGTTGTTTTGCAAAATTACATTTTCATTAATGTAATAGTCGGTTTATATTGAATTTTAATTGGTCGTGCATTTCTTTTTTAATGCAAATTATTTCGTCAGGAGTTTTCCAGATACTGAATAATTGCTCGACCCTTTCTGAGATACCTTTGCATGTAATTAAGGCTCCCTCACATGATAATGATTTTATTCTTTAATTCATATTTCTACTGCACCTTTCAGCATGAAAACAAATAGCACCTTGGCTTAGAGTCAGATCCTGGACACACATTCAATCACTGACCATGCACACACGTACAATTCTCAGATGAAAGTTAATTACAAAAGCCCCGTTTTTCAGGGCTCCTCTATAACACCAGACATGTACCAGTGAATCGTCAAAGTTGTGATGCAGAGACGGTTTCTTTATTGTCGCAGATGGGGTTTGACTTAAGGTACGGTTTGTCGGACTGCCAGCAGATAAGAGGGCTCCTCCTCTCGGCAGAGTCCGGGTTGTGGTGCTTTCAGCAAAGAATAATGCTGCAGGTGCATCGATGTTTTGTCATTTATGTGGGGTGCGCTACGAAGCTTGTGACCCAAGTTCAATTCCAGCTCACGTCCAACACCAGCGATGATTATCTGAACGGGTCCTGGGTCTCCCCTATGTTGACGCCGCCTTAATTGAGAACCTGGTGTGCTACGTAAACTTCGCCACTGGTGTAGTGCTGGCCACCCATCCCCTCGTATGCTGCTCCGGCCTTCATAGGCGCTCGCTAACAGCGCTTGCCCCAACAGTCTCTTTGGCCATAGGGGGGGTGAGGGATCTTTGTGTGATTACACCGGCGCGTGATTGCGTGCGTGCCTGCGTTGTGTCTGCGTGCCCCTAGGCTTGCCGAGCGGCGTTGGCGGGAGGCTGCCCGGTGGCCTCCCTGGTGGCATGGGCTCCTTCGGCTTCCCGGGCATGATGGGGCCGCGCCTGGGTCTGCCCCCGCCCACGCCATCCAGAGGCGGCGGCGGCGGCGGTAGCGGCGGGATGCCGGGCCTCCCCGTCAACTCCCCAGTGCTGCTGACGAGCAACCTCAATGCCGAGGTCCCGCCGCTTCTCTCGTGCCGTCCCCCCGGTGGCGTATCCACGACGGGGCCCGCGCCGTGGCCCCCCCTCCCCGCCCGGGGCTGCGGTTGCGTGGGGGCCCCCCGCGTGGGCGTCCCCAGCGAGTCGGTGTCCACACGCTCGGACCCCGGTGCTCCTGGCTGGGCGCCTGTGCATTCACTCCCGGCACAGTTTCAAAGCTCCTGCGGGTTTCCCCCCCCCCCCCCATCTTGGATACGCCACTGTGTGTTCTCCTCTTTCCCTGGGTAGACTTTGCCCACCCGTGGGTTTGTGGTCCCTCTCAGCAGCCAGCTCTGCCCCCCGATAGTGAGACGGAGAAAGCGACTCGCGGCAGAGTTCCTATGCCCCAGGGGTTTGGCTGTGACCACCGAACTGAGGAAGTCCGTACGGTCAGACACGTGGGGCCCGATTTCACATATTGGTGGTGGCTTTCTACAACCTCCACAATCTGTGAACTTAATTCTTGTTCTTGTTAGAAACTCTATTTGCAGTACCTCACTGATAGGAGAGAGTTGCAGGGAACTAGTTCATGTGCCTTCAGCTGCTCATAACCTGCACAACATTGCACATAATTGCTGCCAAGTTCTAAATCCTGTACTGAACAATTTTGTTTTATCTTGCTCTGCGTTAATTTGGCGTCCCCGTTTAAAACACGATTGTCTCACGATTAATTATGCCTTAATGGCAACACTTTCGGAAGTAAAGTAGTTTTTGCGTCAAGTCTTAATACGGTCAAATAGTTGTAGGCCCTAAGGCATCATGGAAACAACCCCTGCTACCTTGCAAGATATGCGAGTACATACACACGTTTGGCTGATCAAGGGAACATTGCAGACACATCACTGAGTGTAAACACTCACTAATTGGCCAATATCAGACAACAGAGTATGGGGAGGGATTTGGTACCGGCTTCTCCGTCACAAACTATGGAGGCTATTGCATCCTGCCATGCAGACATGCATCTTGGTTCGCGCCCTGTGCGCTATTCCCGGCCACGGCTAACATCAGTGGCGAGTGATATCAGAACCGGTTCTGGCCTCCTCACCCGAGCCTTCACCAACCCTCACTGACCAGCGTGGTGAAGTATGTTCCAAAAAACGTCCATGACCAACAATGCGTAGAGGGATGTCTTCTTTCATTGGTTTTGGACTGTTATGGTTATGCACATTCATGGTATGTGAGTGTGTGTATATATGGCAGATTCCAAGGTATTGTAGGGCGTGTTCCCTTGATGTCCTTTGGCATATTTTATTTCGTCCCAGGGCGGACATATTCTTTTGCAGTTGGCCGAGCTTCTCATGTGCTGGGCAGGATACTCTTGTGGTTGTAAAGTCATTGTTTCTTTACAAGTAGTTTTTTTTTTATCGTATGTAAGAACAGGCACGTATGAGCTGTCAATCCTGACAGCGTTGCCATTAAACTTTACAGGAAAAGTCTCTGTTAAATTTTCCCATCAAAGCAACTTGTTTGACACTGAACATTCTAAGGGTGGCTTTGCTGCTTGTTAATGAGTCACCGTGTGCGTGTGTGCTGCATGTGGAGGCAGTTTTGATTTTACAGGAATGTTGTGCTCTTGCGTTGTTGTTATGATTCTTACGTTGTTTTAATTAACACCCCAATGTAGCTCCGGCAGCATTTTGTTTGAATGCGGCTCTTTTTGTTCACCATAACAAGCTGAAGGTGCAGTGAGTGTTCAGAGTTAACCTCACGAGTTTGTCAGCGAATTCACGTGAAGCACAGTGTCGCACAACTCGGGAGTAGTTTTTTTTTACAACGATGAATTCTAGAAATGTAAAATTGCGAGGATTGCATTGGCAGTGGTGCTGCGCGAGCACCAACAGAAACATTCACCACGTGCGCTAATCACGCCGCCTTGTGACAGAAACATGCACTCCAGTTGGGCGAAGTTTCGGACGATGGGCCTTCCTCTTGAAGCCATGGGTTGTGGGGAAAAACTAGTTGAACAACGCCATTTTCAGTTTACATGTGAACAGTTTTCCATGATTGGACATGGAATCCTTCAAAAGCAAAAAATACCCATATCAACTGGCTTAAATTACAGGTAGAGTTAAAACGGATGATTTAATATCAATGTAATCCTTATTTTCTTTTAAGTCATTCAAATCTATTTGCAGATCAACTGCATTTGCTTTGTAAGCAGAATTATAGAGTGAACCGTAATCTAAAATGTATAAAGAATTTAGTCGCTCAGCCGTTACAGATGTATGGCATTTTTTACTTTGTCAAATTTTACCGGACATTAAAATATCTTCAGATGTTAATGATTGCCCACTTATAACTTCACACAGGAGTAGACCTTTTATAGCCATTGTAAAATATGATTTGCCATAATACATTCCTTCTGCACCGTTTGATGATTTTATCAAAACAAGTTTATCCCCACCGTTTTAGTAGCCACGCATGGGAAGTTGTTCACGTGCCAGCCCCGCCGTCGTGCGACGGGCGATCTCCGAACTCCGAGTCGGCTGATCTGTCCTCGCCGAGCGGCCCAGCGGTAGCGCTGTCGCCGCTTGTCCCAGAGGTTCTTCTTTCCAATCCCACGGCCGCCCTGATGATACTCTGCAGGTGCATGGACTGGCGTGACGCTACGTGCTGCCAGCTTCACGCAATGTGGACGTCAAGGATCCCTTGACATTCGCAAGATTTGGCCATTGCGTGCCGGCATCGGGGTCCAGATTTGACATTATCCGCAAATGCCTTAACATTGTTGAATTGGGATAATGAATAACAATTAAGTTAGATTTATCCTGGTCTCTTGAATTCTCACCTCGTTAAACAAAATAAATTTGGCTGTGAAGAGAAGGGTCCTTTCCCGTGATCTCAGGCGAGTGTGTCTTTCTGTGAGAAGGCAGCGCTGCTTTGAAATTCTTTCCAAAGCCCAAAATCCTCTTTTATCGATATTGAACGAGTCAGTTTTAATGCAGCCCATGGTGAATCCGTCAAAGAGTTTGGGATTTACTGTTTTTAAAACTCGCTCACTCTCTCCACCTTCACTTGCTGACAGGGCCATGCTCACATGCTGACCTGTGGAGCTGTAGATCGGCATGGCTTCACTTTATCTCCTATCGCACGTCTGAAACCTCCAATGTGTCCATTCTGCCCTTGGCTATCTCTGCATTACTCCTTGTCTTTTCTGATCTCCGTTTCCCTCCGTTTGGCTTCTGCAAATTCTTAGAAACACCCGAAGCCGTAGGGCGAATGTGCAACATTTTCCGCAAACAAAAGCCAGCGCTCGGGATTTTGCCGTAAGAACTTCGTTTGCAACGTTGCAGACTTACCAAAGGGAACATTTATGTACGTCAAAAAATACAAAATACATTACATATGAGTTACTTCCATTTGACATTAGCTTAATTCACAACATTGTTTTTTCAAAGAAACGCAATATACCTAATGTGATATAAAGCTAAATTTAAATCAAATATATCCATTACATTGCTAGTCTGGCCCTTGCTATACCACAGTCTGCCGCTTACAAAAATTGTGTACTTTAACAAATCGGCCGCCCAAGTTAATTTCGGTGACCACTTCAACCAAAGCCAAAACTCACGACGCGCGAGGTTTGTACGTGCATGGTCTTTCCTTCACTCGTCCTGCCGATCGATGATTTTACTCCTGGTTTCTGCTGTATCTGTTGGCCTGCGCCAAAATCTAACAACATTCTACCGATCTGATGCATCTTCTCTTCTTGCGCTCTCTCTCTCTCTCTGTGTCTCTCTGTCTGCTCTCTCTGGCTCTTTCTCTCTCTCTTCTTGCCCTGCCCAGCCACAGCAGCCTCGCCTCTTCTGTCTACGACCTTCAAAAATGCATCTCTATTAATCTCGGAGCGGTTGTCCTCATTCCCTGCCCCCTCCTCACGGGCTCCTCGCCGCGGTCGCGAGCCACGCCGTTGTCGTCGATGCCCTCTCTCCTCCTCACCCCGGCTGATCTTTGTTTTCCTGTTTTTTGGATGGCTCCCTCAATCCCTCTCTCCTCCTCCTCCCTTCCCCTCCTCCCCTCCTGCCTCCATCCAAAGTCTGCATTTCATGCACTTTGCCGCTTCCCTTCTTCCTCCAAGTTCCCGTTCCCCCTCGTCATAGCTTCCCTCTCTCCTCATCTTTCTCTTCCCCTCACTTCCTCCGCTCCTCCATCGGTCATTCTTTCCATGCCTCTGCCCCCCACCCCTCGTGCTTCCTCTCATCCCCTTGAGCTCCGCGCCTCTCCCGCTTCTCTCAACTCCCTGCTCTTGCTGTCCACCCCCCTTCTCCACCCTGGCTCCACCCTGGCTCCACCCTGGCTCCACCCTGGCTCCGCGCTGCTCCACTGCTTCCTCTCCTTTCTGCGTCGTGCCCCTCCTGCCCTCCTTTACTCGAGGCTGCTTTCCTGCATCCATATCTTCCTTTTTACGTCGCTTCATGTTTTTATCATCATGTCCTTGTTCCTTCCCTCCCCCTCCTCCCCTCCCTCTCTCTCCCTCCCTCCATCCCTCCCCCTACCCAAACCTGCCATTCTGTGGACACGACTGTGGCTTGCGTGTGGCTGCGCTCTGCCCGCTCTATCTTGCCGACTCGACCGCCTCCTCCTCCTCTCTCTAGGCGGTTACGCCTCAAAGGCTCTTTAATCTGTTCGGTATGTCCTTGCCTCTACGTACCCTGCATCCAACCTCACTTGGGGGTGCTACACTCGTCCTTTAACGCCTTCACCACGCCTCATGTAGCGTCTTTGGGATTTGGTTAAGTTTTTTCTCGATACAGATATTTTAAAAGGAACAAAAGCGGCCCTTGTAAAAAATAAATGCTTGGTGCTCCAGTTTAACAAATCCTGCGAGCACGCAGGTGAATTAATGAAAAAAGAGAATTCGACACCTACGACTTTGCAAGAGGAATGTATCAGTCGTGGTGCCAGGTCGCTGGCACCTACCAGAATATCCTGAGGGTACTGAGCACCGTTCCTCTCTGGAGTTGCGCGCCCTCTCGATGTGCTTGCAGCACACAAGCTCGTGCCCGAGAGGGAGTGCTGGCGTACGTTCGCCATCCGCTTCCGAACCCAGATCACCCCAATGGATGGATGTGTGATTAATCTTAGAGCCCATCGCTGCGGTTTGACGTTCTGACGTGACCCGGGCGGTCTGCGGTTCCGTGAGGGAGCCTCGCGGATGTAAGAGGCCGCTGCAACGGCCGTGTGACAAACTGCCAAGGGCGCCAAATTTTCCAAAACAATTTTCTCCACAGTTGCCTGTTCGAGGCTGGGATTGGGGACCTCGCCACGAGCAACGCGGAATTTGAAACAGCCGAGCCGCCCCTGTGCAAAGGCCCGGGACGCTTATTGAATAAGCGTTTATAGATGCCACTCATTGGAAACGTTTGTAAAGGCCAAAACGGTTTGCCGAGTGTGGCTGGCACATTGAGGTCCACGGCCGTGGCGCGGAGGCTGCGGTGTTGGTGAAGGAGTTAAAGTTTCCCGGTGGTCGTGTCTCATCTGTTCATCGCAGATGCATTCATTGTGCTGCTAAGTACCACAACGTGTTTGATTAATAGCATGCGAGTTCTGACGGATTTGTGTTTTTGCCTCGTTTGTGTTCGTATTCATAAACTCACAGTAGACCGTTTACATTAATTTAAAATCGCGTGTAAAACGGCTAAATTTTTAAGTAGCAAGCGAATAAGATAATTTTACTAAGGCCGAGAAGTTGCAATAACTTTAACAAGTACTGTGTTTGTAAGTTTGCTAACCATTGTTTTTATTCCATGTGAAAGGTAAGGCTTTGAAGTCTTTTTTTATTTTATTGGTGACCCCGAAGTGTTTTGTTATGGGAATATCCGTGCATACTCATCTCTTCACAGTGTTTTATGAACAAAATGATGCCATTTGGATTCATATAGCATCTATAAACAAAAGCATCTCCATTGTGTGATCACCATACCAACCAGGCTAGTCAGCAACCCTCCCAGCTGAATGTATTCCATAGCAACTCTTAATCTGTCGCCATAAGGCACTTAGCACTCTGGCACAAGATCCCAGGAGCCCTGCGCAGGGCTTGGAAGTCGGTGAGACTCGGCACCCGTGGCGCCATCGAGAGCCGTGTCGCCATCGCTGGGGCTGACGCTGAGGATGGGGTTGGGCTGCGCTAGGCCAGGCCCTGCGTGCTGCGGAGCCTGCAGGCAGCCACCCCAGCCTGAGGGCAGCCACCCCAGCCTGAGGGCAGCCACCCCAGCCTGAGGGCAGCCACCCCAGCCTGCAGGCAGCCACCCCAGCCTGAGGGCAGCCACCCCAGCCTGCAGGCAGCCACCCCAGCCTGAGGGCAACCACCCCAGCCTGAGGGCAGCCACCCCAGCCTGAGGGCAGCCACCCCAGCCTGAGGGCAGCCACCCCAGCCTGAGGGCAGCCACCCCAGCCTGAGGGCAGCCACCCCAGCCTGAGGGCAGCCACCCCAGCCTTCGGGCAGCCACCACAGCCTACGGGCAGCCACCCCAGCCTGAGGGCAGCCACCCCAGCCTGAGGGCAGTCACCCCAGCCTGAGGGCAGCCACTCCAGCCTGAGGGCAGCCACCCCAGCCTGAGGGCAGCCACCCCAGCCTGAGGGCAGCCACCCCAGCCTGAGGGCAGCCACATGCATCGTGTGTAGGGAAGCCAGGGGGCTTGTCCCATGGCCTTTGTAATGTAAAAGTATTTACCCCCTCCCACACGACTTCACCTGCAGCACACACCTAGGAGCAGTGGCGTAAGATCAATTGTTGTACTCTACTTCTATGCGTCAGCATCTATTTCTATCTGTCTTTACCAACCCACGCTCAACCAGCTTCGTGAAGTATGGTCGAATAATCCCCACAACCAGCGCAGCATTTCTCTAGGACGTAGGCCAAATTACGTGCCGGTGATGCTCTGTAGAGCTGTCTCGTGGAGGCCTTGTGCAGCTGCAGCAATCCGTACGGGGCAGCTTCGTCGTGTGGGAAGTTCTCGCGGTAACCCGTCAGAGTGGCATCGCTGTAGGCGCGGAACCAGGAGAGGCAGGGATGTGTACGCGTGTGTACATGTGTGCGTATGCGCGTGTGTTCGTACGCGCGTGTGTTCGTACGCGCGTGTGTTCGTACGCGCGTGTGTTCGTACGCGCGCGTGTTCGTACGCGCGCGTGTGTACATGTACGCCTGTGTGTATGTGTGCGTGCGTGTACGTGTTGTGCGCGTGTACGTATGTGGTGCGCGCGTACGCGTGTGGTACGTGTGTACGTGTGTGGGTGGGTCACGCGTTGGAGGGGAGGGGAGGGCGAGTGGCCAGGAGGCCGTGGCTGCTGTCTGCGCGGTGCCGGTGCTGATGTGGGTCTGCGTGCCGTGTGCAGGCATGTTTGGCGACGTGCTGCGCGTGAAGATCCTCTACAACAGGAAGGACACGGCGCTCATCCAGATGGCCGACTCCAACCAAGCGCAGATCGGTGAGATGGCGGCCCCCTGGCCCACACGCGTACCGTATCTCACCGTAGCGCACCGTATCTCACCGTAGCTCACCGTAGCGCACCGTAGTGCACCGTATCGCGCAGTAGCGTGCCGTAGCTCGCCATAGCGTGCCACAGCGCGCCACAGCGCGCCATAGCGCGCCATAGCGCGCCATAGCGCGCCATAGCTCGCCACACTCCGTAGGGATCGCTCGGGGATCTCGGTCCTCGCACACGCCATTTCGACTCCGGTAATGTCCGTCAACTCGTTGTTGAGCAGCACAGGGACTGTGCTGGGAATTGTATCTATTGGGCATGATTTTCAAGGCATGGTTCAGAGGTTACATTTTTCTTTAAAGACCTTATTTGTGATGAAAATTTTATTTTGATTAAATATAAATATATTTGAAAAACGAGGCGTAGGTTTTGGCAAGACTCGTCGCAAGAAGAGAAGACGGCCACAAGTCGCGGATAGTGAGGAAGTGGTTAGCCGTGGAGCGGAGCGAGTCGCAGACATCGGCCGTGCGTGGGTGCCAGACGGACCACGCCATCGTCACAGGGTGGCTCGGGGAGGCCTTTATCCAGCTGTGGATTGATCTCGACTATGTTGATGAAACAGGGTGTGATGGACAGAGCCGGAGTTTCGTAGCGACGCATGGCGTCTCAGCCACAGCATTCATTCGCCCCTGTGGTGCGAGGCGTGGTGTTGTGGTGCGAGGCGTGGTGTTGTGGTGCGGGGCGTGGTGTCGTGGTGTTGTGGTGCGAGGCGTGGTGTTGCGGTGCGAGGCGTGGTGTTGAGGTGCGGGGCGTGGTGTTGTGGTGCGAGGCGTGGTGTTGTGGTGTTGTGGAGCGAAGCGTGGTGTTGTGGTGCGGGGCGTGGTGTTGTGGTGCGGGGCGTGGTGTTGTGGTGCTGGGCGTGGTGTTGTGCGGGGCGTGGTGTTGTGGTGCTGGGCGTGGTGTTGTGCGGGGCGTGGTGTTGTGGTGCTGGGCGTGGTGTTGTGCGGGGCGTGGTGTTGTGATGGTGTTGTGGTGCGGGGCGTGGTGTTGTGGTGTTGTGGTGGTACGGGGCGTGGTGTTGTGGTGCGGGGTGTTGTGGTGCGGGGCGTGGTGTTGTGGTGCGGGGTGTTGTGGTGCGGGGCGTGGTGTTGTGGTGCGGGGTGTTGTGGTGCGGGGCGTGGTGTTGTGATGGTGTTGTGGTGCGGGGCGTGGTGTTGTGGTGCGGGGCGTGGTGTTGTGGTGCGGGGCGTGGTGTTGTGGTGCGGGGCGTGGTGTTGTGGTGCTGGGCGTGGTGTTGTGCGGGGCGTGGTGTTGTGATGGTGTTGTGGTGCGGGGCGTGGTGTTGTGGTGTTGTGGTGGTACGGGGCGTGGTGTTGTGGTGCGGGGTGTTGTGGTGCGGGGCGTGGTGTTGTGATGGTGTTGTGGTGCGGGGCGTGGTGTTGTGGTGTTGTGGTGGTGCGGGGCGTGGTGTTGTGGTGCGGGGCGTGGTGTTGTGGTGCGGGGCGTGGTGTTGTGGTGCGGGGCGTGGTGTTGTGGGGCGGGGCGTGGTGTTGTGGTGGTGTTGTGGTGCGGGGCGTAGTGTTGTGGTGGGGCGGGGCGTGGTGTTGTGGTGTGGTGGTGTTGTGGTGTGGTGTTGTGGTGGTGTTGTGGTGTTGTGGTGGTGTTGTGGTGTGGTGGTGTGGTGTGGTGTTGTGGTGGTGTTGTGGTGTGGTGTTGTGGTGGTGTTGTGGTGTGGTGTTGTGGTGGTGTTGTGGTGTTGTGGTGGTGTTGTGGTGGTGTTGTGGTGCGGGGCGTGGCTCTTACCTTGAGGTTTTTTTTTCCCTTTCAATCGGGGGGACTACATTTCCATAACAATAACTCGCTTTGTGGGATTTAGTTTTCCCCTTCATCCATGGAAGTCGGCCTGGATGCTCGATACAGCCTCATTAAATCGCCTCGAGCCAGGAATTTTTTGTTTTAATAAAAAAAATTAATAACGACAACACCCATAGCGCTGAGACGTGGCAAGCCATTGCTATGGTGCTGTGCTGAGTGGCACCCTCTTGGTTCAACCAAAATGTTTCACTGTCATTGTCATGGTTGCTCTTTTCCCAGTTACGTTTCAGTCGTGCATTCGGCGCTTCGTTGCGAGACAAACGCATTTCCCCGGATTTTTTTCAGTGAGCGGTGCATCACCACGTGTCAGAGAACAGCCCTGGAAGATGACGTCACAGACCAACTTCTATAACGTCACTTCAATCGGCCTCTGTATACCCACGAGGGGAAAACCTATTGCATGCCCTGCATGTAGGGTAGAAACCCAAATTTACTATCTATTTGTTGCAGTCATTGGTGTCTGAGTTGAGTCGATCAACTCGCTGCACTTAAGAACCCAGTTAAATCGGCGGGTGCATCCAAAACCTGGATTCATACCCAGAGTCTCGGCAGTGCTGGGTGGGGGTGCGCCAAGCGCCGACCCACCGCTCTGACCGTCTCTCCCACCGCCGTCGCACGCGCGAGCGCCACCGTGGGAGAGAAATAAGCTTCGCGTCCTTCCCGCCGAACCCTCCCGTAGTCATGAACCACCTGAACGGGCAGCGGATGTACGGCAAGCCGATACGCGTGACGAGCTCGCGCTACCAGACGGTGCAGCTGCCGCGCGACGGCTCGGACTCCCTGACGTGCGACTTCTCCGACTCGCCGCTGCACCGCTTCCGCCGCATGGGCGCCAAGAACTTCCACCACATCTTCCCACCCTCCGTCACGCTGCACCTCTCCAACATCCCGTGAGATCGGCGATTACCGCTCGCGATGACGCGACGATGACCCTCGCGTGCCGCGTTGACTCTGCCGCCGTCGTGTTAGCGAGGGGTGGGGGCGTGCGGAATTAGTTTCAATCCAGAGCAGCGACACGATTCTCTCCCGGTGTTTCTCAGACTCGTCAGATTGTGTGAGAATTCCGGTGGTCCGAGATGATGATCAGAGTGCTTCTTGAGAAAATCCTCCTAATCTGCTGCTCGGGTTCCCACGCACGTCTGCCCCGGGTGCTTCCTGCTGCTTTGGCAGAGGCAATCCCCTCGTAGGGATTAGAATTGCACACACAAAATACTCAACATCTATGGATATTTTGGCCGAGGGTTGAGCAAACACTCGCACATGTTATTGCGCTCGTCTACCCAGGAGAAAACCTCACCGAGTCTCAGGACGCTATTAGCGGAGGATCCTGCCAAGTGTTCGCAGTCGGGAGGCGATGTTTCTGTGCATTGTCCCGATTGAGTAAGTTTCTGGAAGTCTTTCAGCATTGGGATGTTTTTGGCTATGAGAAGACTTGCGCAGAACCGGAGAAGAACGTACAACAAACGTATCAGATGTTTACTATCACGTGGTATTGCGTGTGTAATTGTGGAAAATAAAATAATACAGATGGGGATCTTTTTTTTACCAGAGTAAATACAGTAACACGTTGTTGGCCCATCAGCCTACGGACATGGGTTACAGAAATGTTAAACCCTGGACTTGTTTAGACTTTCTGAGTCTCATCAGCAGGGTTTGGCCTGTGAAAACATGCTGTCTGTATCACCGGGAAAGCCAACAGAAGGCCGCCAGTAGACTGATGGACGAGGACGTTGCCTTGCGTTTCTATGAAGTGGATCGCTGCATCTCGTATTTATTGCTTTATTGCGTCCATTGTTCTGCCACCGTCGTTACGTGCCATCTCTTTCTCTGCCTCTGATTTCGAAATTATTTGCTGTTCGCATACTGACTGCCACTGAACCTCTCATTCGTGCAGATCCTCGGTGTTGGAGGATGATCTGAAGACCCTTTTTGAAAGCAATGGCTGCGTAGTGAAGGCGCTCAAGTTCTTTGCGTAAGTGTTTTACATTATTGTTATGAATATCTTTCACCAGGATCTACACGCAAAAGTGACGCTGCCGCTACGTAACGATGAGCACAGCGGAGTTGCAATCCAGAGCTCGCCGATTCAATCTCCCGGCGCGGCAGCTGAAACAATAGGCCAGGCTTCTTAAATCCCCCTCTGCCTGTTGCCTTTGCGTTTATGTCTCGCTCAGATAAGCAGTTCCTATTTAACCTCTGGTGTGGTGATGCTTATGTTCTTGGCCCGACGGGATGAAAGATCGGCACGAGACTAAAAGAACATCGCATACCCAGAGACACAAATGTCGGCAGTTGCGGAACATGCCTGCCAACAAGGCCATGATGTTTCATAGTTTATGTTAATACCTGCAGGTATCGCTCCTGCTAATTCCTGCTCACCTATGTCGATCTGCTGATGATGTCACCTCACCTATTTAAGGCCCAAAATCGGTGAACATTTTCTCGAAAGCAGTTCAGCTCTGGCGATGTACTGATGACGCCTTCTACCAGCAGAAGGTCGTCTGTAATTGTTAAATGTGTGTGGATCGCTCCCCAGCGTTCACGGTGGTGCCAAAGCGACAAACACCGGTGCGTTTGTTCACCTGACGACCGTTTGTCCCCGCCAGGTGGCGGAGGGTTCCAAGACACACGTTGGCTTCGTACTCGCGTGATCTGACCCAAACATCAATTGCAAATCAATTGGACGTTGAACCGATAAAACCCCGGTAGCAATGTTTTTTTTTTGCAATAATGAAGGCAGCGCTAATCTGGCGTTTGAGATCGTGGCCGGGGATTGAAGCAATGACGTGTTTAGGCTGCACAGCGGCACGCCGGTCTGATGCGCCGTGTGGCCTTCGCGGTGGTGATCGTGGTGATGACAGCACCGACCACAAGATGGCCCTCGTCCAGATGGAATCGCTGGAGGAGGCCATCCAGACGCTGGCCGAGTTGCACAACCACGAGTTGGAGAAGAACCGCCTGCTGCGCGTCTCCTTCTCCAAGTCGGTCATCTGAGCGGCGCCGTGCCAGGGGGGCGGCCCTCGGCGGCGCCGCCGCCCGCAGCCTCTCGAGCCGGAGGGCCCCTCCACTCTCCGGGAAGTCGGCGGTCAGATTCCCCCTTTGCTCCAGCATCCATTCCTGTCGCCCGCCCCACCTGTCTCTCCATATTAAAGTGAATTCGAATGTTGAGAGTGTGCCTGGTTTCTCACCAGTTAGATCTCACTCGAGTCATTCAAATCGACCAAAAAGAGAACAGCCTCTTAGCAAGTAAAATATTCGCCCATGAGATTGTGTGCTGCTGCACTCGATGATGACAGGACCTTCCCGTTAATATGAATCTCCACTCACACCTGTAACTGGATCTCCAATACGAGCAGCCTTCGGCGCTTCGCCTGCGGAGCGGCCAGCTTCGCACCGCGGAGCGGCCAGCTTCGCACCGCGGAGCGGCCAGCTTCGCACCGCGGAGCGGCCAGCTTCGCTCGCGGAGCGGCCAGCTTCGCCCGCGGAGCGGCCAGCTTCGCACCGCGGAGCGGCCAGCTTCGCTCGCGGAGCGGCCAGCTTCGCACCGCGGAGCGGCCAGCTTCGCTCGCGGAGCGGCCAGCTTCGCCCGCGGAGCGGCCAGCTTCGCTCGCGGAGCGGCCAGCTTCGCCCGCGGAGCGGCCAGCTTCGCCCGCGGAGCGGCGAGCTTCGCCCGCTGAGCGGCGAGCTTCGCACCGCGGAGCGGCCAGCTTCGCTCGCGGAGCGGCCAGCTTCGCCCGCGGAGCGGCCAGCTTCGCCCGCGGAGCGGCGAGCTTCGCCCGCGGAGCGGCCAGCTTCGCCCGCGGAGCGGCGAGCTTCGCCCGCTGAGCGGCGAGCTTCGCCCGCTGAGCGGCCAGCTTCGCTCGCGGAGCGGCGAGCTTCGCACCGCGGAGCGGCCAGCTTCGCTCGCGGAGCGGCCAGCTTCGCCCGCGGAGCGGCCAGCTTCGCCCGCGGAAGCGGCGAGCTTCGCCCGCGGAGCGGCCAGCTTCGCCCGCGGAAGCGGCGAGCTTCGCCCGCTGAGCGGCGAGCTTCGCACCGCGGAGCGGCCAGCTTCGCTCGCGGAGCGGCCAGCTTCGCACCGCGGAGCGGCGAGCTTCGCCCGCTGAGCGGCGAGCTTCGCACCGCGGAGCGGCCAGCTTCGCTCGCGGAGCGGCCAGCTTCGCCCGCGGAGCGGCCAGCTTCGCCCGCGGAGCGGCGAGCTTCGCCCGCGGAGCGGCCAGCTTCGCCCGCGGAGCGGCCAGCTTCGCCCGCGGAGCGGCCAGCTTCGCCCGCGGAGCGGCCAGCTTCGCACCGCGGAGCGGCCAGCTTCGCACCGCGGAGCGGCCAGCTTCGCACCGCGGAGCGGCCAGCTTCGCCCGCGGAGCGGCCAGCTTCGCCCGCGGAGCGGCCAGCTTCGCCCGCGGAGCGGCCAGCTTCGCCCGCGGAGCGGCCAGCTTCGCCCGCGGAGCGGCCAGCTTCGCCCGCGGAGCGGCCAGCTTCGCCCGCGGAGCGGCCAGCTTCGCACCGCGGAGCGGCCAGCTTCGCACCGCGGAGCGGCCAGCTTCGCACCGCGGAGCGGCCAGCTTCGCCCGCGGAGCGGCCAGCTTCGCCCGCGGAGCGGCCAGCTTCGCCCGCGGAGCGGCCAGCTTCGCCCGCGGAGCGGCCAGCTTCGCACCGCGTGGCTGCCGCGGGGGCACGGGCGGCGTGTGGCCCGGCCAGGGTGTGGGCAGCGCCGCTGTGGTTGTGAAGCCGCGAGGTTTCGCGTGGCTCTTCCATCACACGCGGAGAAACGCGTTCATGCCGGTGGCTTCGGTTATCAGTGCCTTCATTTGAATGCGAATTTCTCATGATTTGGCACCTTGTCCAATTACAAACTCATCCCGGCAACCTCCACACCCGAACCCCAAACTGTTTCGACATCATTGCCTTAACGTGCCCTTCGACTCTTAAACGGGGCTGCATTGATGCGTTCCACAATTTATCATTGCGGTTTTTTGTTGTTGCAAATAAACAGTTTGAGTACGGAGTTAAGTGTGAGATCGGCTCCTTACATTGAATACTTCAAGGTGAATCCTCATTCTTGCTCCAAACACTGGAGGGAGTGATGCATTGTGGTAGGAAGTGGGGCTGCGTGCCTCAGGGATGCACCACTGTTTGTTCTATCCATGGTCGTGTGGTCACAGACCGCTCTGGGTGCCTCTCTACGGTGGCACTACACCACCACATCCAGTGCTGTGGAGCCCTGTTTTGTATTTTATCTTTTTGCAAAGGGAATCTTCAAACCCAATAACCATCGCACACTATCCGAGCATTTTGGTGATTACCGTCGGTTACACGTACATGTTTCGAGGGTTGCAGTTGCTTTATGTCACGAGTCCAAGACTGTAGTACGGTGCATAAGCTATCGTGTAAAACGTTAGGAGCGTCTGCTTTAGGTAAGTGTGCTAATGTCGTTGATATTGCAGCGTAACAGTGATGCCAGTGTTTGAGGTTTTAGCTCGCGCTCATCTCCGCGTGATCTTTCGGCACGACGTGGATGCTCAGGATGTTTTGTGCCGAGTAGAAACGAGAGCTCGTGACCGCTACGGTGACCTCCCGGGACACGGCCGCACGCCGCCAGTCGCGTGCGGCCAGGCACACGCCTCTCCGCGTGTTTTCGCGCTGTGTTGCTCGGCACGATGTCCGACGTTTCGCTGCGCGTGCCGGGAGCTTGCAGCGCCAACCGCGAAAACCTGGGCAGCCGTATGGCAGCGATCAATCGGTCCGCCTGCTCTGGAGCCAGAGCCACCGAGCTCGCAGTGGCGGCGATCGCTCCGATCTGTTGGGTCCCCTCGGGGAGGATCTGCCTCGTGCTGCCCCATGCTGGTCGAGCAGGACCCCGAGAGTGCGGGTACGGTGATGGTGCGCTGAGATTAAGACGCCGTAAAATCGCCGTGTAGCCATCGCGGAGACTGCTGCCCCTGCTCGTATATTGAGAGGCACCCGCATGGGAAAGTGAACTTTTTAAATATTCGGGTGAATATCTTGAATTGTAAGGTAGGTTTCAAACAGGTTAACCTTTACGTAACCTGCTGTATCCGTGGATGCCTGGCACCAGCAATCATTGTTGTCTGCATGCATTTGCCAGACATTACACTGCATGCGAATGAGTCCTTGTGTTCACCAGCGTAGAGAGCATGCACAGTTCCGTGTTTGACAAGAAACGCGTGATGATTGTGGTCCTCGCCTACTACAGGATTTATTATCACAATTGCAGTTACAATGTGATGGTTATCATTGAGAGTATATACACAAGCTGCACGTTATAGGGTTGCCAACTGGTCTGGGTTTGACCCAGACCGTTTAGGAATTGGCAGACCAAGGTCTCGTTCCGGTCCTGTGTTGAACTTCGCTGAGGTTAACTGCACCGTTCTGATGGACCAAAGCGGACCGACAACTATGCCCGGGTTTGGTCTACAGTGGAAAAGGCGACAGAGACCGAGTGCCAGCACGGCCGCCACTGTGCGGGCGACGGATGCGCCGATCCCAGGTGGCACCGCCACAGCGCACACGACAGCACCCCCTCTTGGCACAGCAGAAGCGTCATAACCTGGCAGACTCCCTACGGTGGTGGCACGGGATAGTTGTTTTAATCTCCGCCTGCGTGTCCAGCGGTGTCACTCTTACGTTTGAGACGAGAGGGAGAATTGTTCACGTGGCGGCGACGCGCCCAGGCAAGGACAACACGGACACATCCACAGGGCTTCGCTTCGCGTGTGGGGGTTAACAGCCTGTTCTCGTTGACCAAGGAGACCACTGCTGCCCTAACGTTTCCCCCAAGTCAGCTGTCCCTGCAGATAAGGAACGCAAGCGGTCATTTAAATCATTCTACACAAAGTGAATTTCCTCTTAAAAACCTGGGTGTCTGAAGGTAACATTTCAGCTTTAAGGATCACTTACCGTGTTAGCATGATCAAAAATATTCACAATTTACAGAAACTCGCGAGCAGAATGTTGTACTTTGATAATTGATGTGATGCACACGACGAGCAATTCTGCGAAATCTTAGGAAGCTTGTATTTCTACCCGACAAGGTAATCGCCATTTAAACAACCCGTGTCATTCACCTATCTCTGTCGTTGACACGTGGGTTGAGCGGCTTGTTGCAGTGTTGCTGGAATTGTTGCTCGTGAACTGCGTAAGGCCACTCGTACGCTTTGCAGGCTAGGAAGTTTATAGCATCGAGTTGTATAGTTGTGAATTAAATGCCATGCTAAGATGTGGAGAGAGTTTTCCAATTCGGTGAATTAAAAAAAATCAACAATTCAAGAGCCGCGCTGCACTGTGGTGAATACGAAACGGGCCTTGGTAAATGACGTCACGAAGCAGTCTCCTTCCAGAGCCGCCGGTTTCTGCCCCGTGGCTTCGTGGAGAATTCGGTCGCTACCCCAGCACAATCCACGATGGCATGGGCACATCCCCACCCCCTCCTGTGGCACGACGCTCTTATCTGCTTGTTAAGTGAACATCGTAAGTTGTTTTAGATTGCTGTGCTTTTAAATTCCCAGGACAAACTCTTAATTTGAACTTATTTTCTAAGTAATTGAAAGCATGTGACTACAACTGGTGATGGTGAACTTATTACGCAGATGTCCCGTACCTGCATGCTCAGTGGCTCGCACCTGCAGCAACGATAAATCCCACAGCCCAAGTGCAGCGTTGCTGGAAGCGTTGCTGGAAGAGTTCACGGCACAGTCCCATCCCACATTGGAGCATTTGGTGGTTTCGCGTTTTGATTGCCGCTTCTCGTTATTTGCCTCGCGAACTGCTTTGGCGATGAAACTCTGTGATGATGGTTTAGGCCTTCGTGTAGTTTGTGATAAGCCCGTTTGGGGGTTCGTGTAATGTCAGATTTTAAAATGTCCTTGTAAACCATCGCAAACTTTTAAATCTCTGCTTTGTAGAATGAGAGAAGTGTGAAGTGTATCATGTTTATTAACCCACATGGTGTTCGCCAAGGCTGCGGTATTGACTGTTTTTTCCGTTTCTAAATAAACATTCTTAAAATTGCATTTTTACTTAATTTCATTTTAAAATGTCTAATGGTTTTAGAAACGAAACACTGCTTTGTCTCAATAATGATGCTGTGAATTCACTTTCCACTATTTTGATGTATTTTGATGAGACTTATTCTGAGCCGTCTTTAGTGTACAATCGACACATTCCACCTCTGCTGCAAAAACTTCATTGTTGGGTCCGCTTTAGATAAAACCTCAAGGTAGTAACTCAGTCTTGATTTGAAGCTTTCGTGACTGGAGGAATCCATACGTTTTGGTTCTTTCGGTAAAGTTACGTAGGGAGAAAAATAAAAAATAAATCACGACGTTTAGATCGCAACACAAAGCGGTCGTCCTCAGGCGGAAAAAATAATCCAGCAGTGAAACTGCTGAACCAGCGAGAGAGCTGTGACAACAAGAGGTTATTTTATGTGGCGATGGGCAAGCAAGCGGGGTCTGAGCTTTCCAGCTCATACCCCGCTTGCTTGCCCATCGATATACTATTTTTTTTCTACCGACGTGACTTTACCGAAAGAACCAAAGAGTAATAACTCAGTGGAGGTCATTAGTGTCGGGCTGAACGGGGATTTAAGATACCTTTTTTAATCTGCAAGAGCAATCCAGCTTCATAAATGGCCAAGAATCAGGGCACGTGAAAGTCAACAAAGATCACCAATTCGGTTCAGGTGCCGCGTGGCCTTCACGCGCGCACAACAAACTGACGCACACAGCAGGAACGGGATGAGAGAGAGCACCGTGTCACAGTAGCGGGCAGGTTTATTTATAAACGAAGCCAGAGAGCACTGAGCAAACAGAAGCAACAACGATGAACGCGCTAGCCAACAGCTCCGCAGAGTCCTGCACGACGCCTGCGTTCTTAGTGGCCTCAGCTTCGCGTGCGCCTTTTATCAAACTTCTACGAAGTTTAACGATGCCACCGTCTCTCAGAGCCCAGTCCCCGTGTCCACATGCAGTGACGACAGAAGGCGGCAATGTGGTGGTGGAGTGTAACTTTGTATGGACACGGAGGAGATTGGACGGAGTGAGCCGGAGAAGGCTGCAGATCAGCGAGCTGGATAGAGACGACCAATGAGGACATCTCGAACGGTATCGACGAAAAGAACGAGCATGCAAGTGTCTTGTCATCCGACGGAGAAGAAGTGGAGCGGACTGGATGATGACAAAGGCCGTTACCGGAGAACGGACGGGAAAAGGCCAAGAATTGTGATGTCGAAGGGACCAGTGGGGATGAAGAGGTGGCAGAGAGAGGAGAGAAGAGGATGGAGGCCCCGCATGGTGGACAGGGAACGCGGGGAGCGCCACATCGCGTGAGACGCGAGTCCTGGGCAGAGGGCCTCGATGGTGGACAGCATTCAGTTTGAGGTATTCTTTCACTGCCGATGCGCTACACGCAATGTAACATTGGTCACGCTGGTTTACAGCAGCACCCGTGGGTTATGGTTGCACAACAAATCATACACACGCTGCGATGAACTCTATGTCTAATGTAGCGAGAAGCGGTGTTAAAATGCCATCTCTTGAACAACATCGCCACTTAATTCGGTTACACCCTTTAAATAAGCAGGTCTTATGGTTCAACGTTTTTACATCGGTTGCATATTTTTCGTAGAAAAGTGGACTTTGGGAAATTGATGAAATGTAAAAGACCAAACGTATATACATGTATGCTACATTTCTGGGTTAAATGCATCCGAGGCATATGCAGACCGGCGCAACTTTTATCTTAAACAGCACAAAGAACGGTCCACAAGCAGTTTAAAGATATGGAACATGCATATGTAAGTGCGTATAGGTCTCAATACAAACGAGTGATGTATGCGAATATTGACGGCCGCATCATTCCACCAGGGGTGGCTAAACAAGCTGACCCCTGTGAGCCACCCAGCAGCAGAGTCGTGTGGCTGGGGGCCGCACGACACGTGGCGGGGGCTGCTTGGCTGCGGAGTTTTGAATTTGGAAATCTGCGGGAGCGCCCGGGGAGCACTCGGGTCTGGCTACGCCACCAGGGGAGGAGTGACCGGGACAACTGCGGCTTCCGCACATTTTTTCTCCTCTTTCACGTGGAGTGTTGTTGGAAGGTAACTAGTTTAGCAGTCCCCTCTGTCGAACCGCGCGCAAAACTGCCCAGGAGCCACATGCGGTTCGCGAGCCGAGGTTTCGCCACTCCTGGTCCGCACGCCTACCACGTGCACACGCATGCCATACGCATTCCATACGCATGCGGAATATCCTCCATGTGCAAGCACAACTCGCACGCGCGCCGGGGCGACGCAGATTGCTGACGTGTGCACATTCTCTCCATCGTCAAGTAACGACATTCACAAAACGATGAAATGGTAAATAAAGCGCGATGATGACTTTAACTTAAGGTCCAGGGGTATTCTTCACGAGGCGTGCACACTGCCGGACACGGGACGACACCGGCGAAGATCACAAGCGTGGTACTGACGCACGCAGCAGCAATGCTCCGAAACGCGATCACGGTTAGCACGACTGGCGACGTACGGTGCGAACTAAGTTCAACACACACACGAAACAATGCTAACTTGGGCTGATGCAAGAATAAAAACGAAAGCAAAAGTAAATGTTTACACTTTTTTTTTTCAAACATCCTCCATCAGAAATGTGATGTCCTATGCCGCGTAGTACTTTGCGTGTCTATGGTCGAAGCACATCCACGTGTCTGGACTGTGCCGGTAATGAGAAGTCGGCCCCACTCCTTGTGCTGTCGTCAGCCCAACTACAACCACACGAGTTCAGAGCAATGCCACGGCTTCTGCTCCTAAAGTAACATTAAGAACTTTCTCGTGACCTACATATCTGCATGCACACGATCACCAACAACCACCATGACCTATCCAGAAAACAACGAATTTCTTTCTTACGACTGGGGAGGTTTTCGCAGTTGCGCAGTACAGCTGTCCCCATTGTGCCTTCAGTTTGCACCCCCACGTGTTGTTCGGCAGCATGTCCGACGTTTCGCTCCGCGCGCTGGGCGCTTCTTCGGAAACAATCTGAAGCTCCCAGCACGTGGAGCGAATGGAATTGCCGGAGCGAAACGTCGGACATAGTGCCGAACATCACGCGGTACGCGCCGAAGCGCATCGGAGAGCGAGCGAGCGTGCGCGTTGATTGAGATGTCAATGAAGACGAGAGGTGTGTTGGTCTGGACCAACTTGACCTCTTCCAGGGTGAGACGGCAATGGTGCGCGCGAAGGCTCTGGCCACTGAGCGGGTGGAGGGGGACTCCGGGCCAGCGGCTGGATCGTACCGCGTGGGGTCTGCACGCCACAGGCACACCAGGCGCACGCTACACGGACCACGATTTGTTTGTAGCTGCATTAGCGTCAGTGCCTTCTTTCTAACCAGCAGAAACCCCATTAGAACCCAGCACCTCTTGTCCACTAAAGATATTAGTAACTAGGTTAATTGTTGTATTTACTTTAGTTGCACTTTATTTATTTACAAATCAGCATCGTGATGACATTGTTTGTTAGAAGTCGATAGCCATCCGCAGTGGTGCACGCACCGTGCAATGGAACTGGCGACCTCGGCTCAAAGCAGTGAAGCTCCGTTTGGAAATCTCAGCACGGATCGCGAGGGCAGTGCCACGTGCACACTGCGGAGTCGAGGCGACGGGATCGGGGGTCGCGCCTTGTAAACAAATACATTGCATACCCATCTGCACAGACGAATGGACACCATTGAATTTGAGATGTCAATATACACTGTTGCTGTACCAGAGAAGGCAATCGGAATGTTAAGATTTGATCCCGGATTTACGGTTAATGCCACACCTCTCTCGCCAGGTGGCGCTGTAGAGCCCTCCCGAGTGCCGAACGCACGCGGGAGAGCCATAATACAGCACAGCAGCAAAACCTCCACGTGGTGCCAGTGCGTGGCTCGTGTCGAGAGATCAATCCTGTCGCTTAAATCCTCCACGCAGGATAACATGATTACCAAATTTCGTGGAAGTCAACAGTGGCTGGTTGTGCTACGGACATTCACCACCCCACCACAGGAATGTGTTCCAGCACTGACTTAGGGCTGTGAGCCGGAAGCCACTCGACCTTCCTCGGGACCACGACTGCTGGAAGGCGACGCCAACCCCTCGCGATCGGGCAGAGACCCCAAACGTCACCACAGTACTCACGGCGCAAACACGTGACGTCGTCAACACGCGAGCCTTGGCGGGCATTGCCATCTCAAACTAAAGAGACCACTGCATCGTCACGGTTACGTCCAAGTCATGTTAGGTGAATTACAATTGTATACTTCATTTGAGATTTAAAAACTAAAAACATTCTATCGCGTCGATTTAAATTTATATTCGTTAAAATTGTTCAAAAGGGTTAAACAGAAATCCTGTTATGAAAAGCAAACCCTTGCAATATTACCAGCCACATTCGCAAACTTCCAAAAGTTTGAGAAAACTCCGTGAAGATGCTCCAGACACTTTGCTTTTAAGTATTTGGAAATCACGAGCCTGTTTTTAGAAATTACTGTGTGCGCATTGCGAGTTACTTGTATGGCTGTGTACATTTTTAATTCCAGTTCACCAGTGAATTACACTTTTTAAAAGTCTTTTAGTTTGCTTACTATTAGTGTTTCAATGTTGCAGGTTTTAATTTGTGATCTTTAAGCATGTGGATGTTTTCTTTAATGGTATTTTTGTCCCTGCGCCAAGTTGCCCACACTCAATGTCTGCATAGAATTTGCCCAAAGTCCTCGCTGCTGCTGCACGATCCTCGCTCCACTGGGACCTCGCCTGGTGCCCCACGTGAGGCAAGGTCTCAGCATTAATCGTCTTCTAAATCGACAGCAGAATTCTACTAATTCATCTGCCTATCCCAGATGTATCGGCCTCATACTGAAGTCTATATTCACAATTATGATTCATCTTCTTGGTTCTTTCGGTAAAGTCACGTAGAAGGGAAATAATAAAATAATAAAAATAAAACATAATAAAATAAAATTCTCACGTTTCGGCCACAACACAAGTAGCCTTCCTCAGGTGAAGAAACAGAACTGTCCGAAAGACAGCGCTCCACTGAATACTGCTAAGCTTGGAAGCGTATTTTAAGCTGATTGTCAGTTTTGATGTGGTTTCCTTATTCACCAAAGTTCCTGTACCTGACACCATCGCAATCAGGACTGCATACTAATGTACCCCCCCTTGTGAGACACTGCTCAACCAACACATACTTCACCTGGAATGGAACTTTCTACAAACAAACTGAGGGCACCCCAATGGGCACCCCAATGGGCCCCCCCCCCCATCTCCAGTTGTAGCCAACGTTTTCATGGAGAAATTTGAGACTGACGCCATCCAGACTGCCACTCTACGCCCGACCTCATGGAAGAGGTACGTGGATGATACTTTTGTCATCTGTCCACATGGCCGGCCTGTTATAGACCAATTCCTTGACCACATCAATTCCATACACCCAGCCATCAGATTTACCATGGAAGTCTAAAAAGATGGCAAGCTACCCTTTTTGGATGTCCTAATAAAAAGGAGACCTGATGGTTCAATGAGCCACTGTCTACAGGAAAGCTACCCATACGGATGCTTACTTAAAACCCGGATTCCCACCACCATCCATCCCAGAAGAATTCCCTCATCAAGACTCTATACCATAGAGCCCAATGCATCTCCGACCAGGAACACATTGCCAGTGAACTCAAGCACGTACACCAAGCTCTCAAGGCTAATGGTTACTCCGACTACACAATCCGCAAAGCCATCACTCCAACCATGAAGAAGGATCCTCTTGAGGAGCCATTCAAAACCATCACCTTACCCTACATTGCGGGGGTCACAAAAAATATCTCCAAAATCCTGAATAAACACAAGATCCAGGTCAGATTCAACACAGTACATAAAATCCGTGATCTGGTCCCGTCTATAAAAGATGTGGTTCCAGACATACAGTACCCGGGCGTCTACAAACTAAGTTGCCTCTGTGGTAGCAGTTACATTGGAGAAACCAAACGACATGTCTCAGACTGCATCCGTGAACACAAAGCAGACTTGAAACACGGTAGGTCGAACACCTCAGCCGTGCCAGATCACTGTTATAATTCAGTGGGCTCACATGACATTGACTTCTCCAAGACGGAGGTTCTCTGCAAGACATCCAGCTACCATGAGATTCGTTCATGAGGCCATCCACATATACACAGAGACAATTTCAACCAAGAAGATGGATTCTGGCTTACTAATCATTGGAAAGACGTGATAAACCATCTCGGTTCTTGATTGTATTTTACGGTGACTTTCAGACCGCAGTCCATTCGCTGATACTGCCTCTTAGTATCTTTCACACGACGGTCAATGGTATGGTTTATAACATATTGTATAATAAATAGTATAAGTGTAATGTTTAACATAATTCATAAGGCAATATATAGTATCGTAATTGTATAGTGAATATACAGCAGTGTGGTATACAGTAGGGTCGGTAGAATAATACGTAGTGTAATATTACAAGTCTAATATTTTTATAGTCTAAAGTATAGGGTAGTGTATAGTAACGCATTGTATAATTCAATCGTGGGGTTTGTCTATGGCAGTGTATATTACGGTGTATAGTCGTGTAATGTAGAAAAAAAGTTTAGTTGGAGGCATATCAATAGAATATATGTTAGAACTTACATTGGGCTGTGTATACGATATTATACAATGTAGTTTCGATTGGAAGGTATAATATTGTAATGTGTAGTAGTCTAGTTTATAGCATAGTTGTAACGCAACACAGGACAGAGCAGCGCATCGTGGCTGTTTCTCTCTCTCGCTCCCCCCTCCTCCGTTCTGAGCATAGATGGACTTGTCCATCTGAACAACGCTCGTCGCTTTCCGTGGTGCTAACGTTGAGGAAAAAACAGCCACTTTTTTCGACATAGAGTGGTAATGTATAATGACTTATTGTTAGTAGCTCAGCTTATTGGAGAATATATTGAGTACATTGATTATATTGATGTAGTTTATATTTAGTGCTTTCACATCGGTTTATTGTATGGTAGTTGGGTAGTTGCAGTTATTTAGCATCAATATACTAAATGCATCTGTTGAGATGTAAACTGACTTTAACATAGCTACTTCCGTGACCAGTTACATGCTAATCCCTCACACTAACATCATGCTAATCTCCCAGTTACATGCTAATTTCTGACTTTAACATCCTGCTAATCTATCACATTAACACAGCTACTTCAATGCTAAATTATTCTGTTAATATGTAAACTCCTTTGTCAAGGCGCTCTGCTCCTCCCACCCATCTTAAAATACCCTGCCAAGCTTAGCAGTGTTCATTGGAGCGCTGTCTTTCCGACAGTTCTGTTTCTTCACCTGAGGAAGGCTACTTGTGTTGTGGCCAAAACGGCGTGAGAATTTTATTGTTGAATTTTTATTATTTTATTATTTCCCTTCTACGTGACTTTACCGAAAGAACCAAGAAGATGAATCCCTGCAGTCAAGAAAGCTTTAAATCGAAATTGTGATTCAATTAAGTGATAAACATTAGTGTCCAATAAAATTCGTAGCCGTCATAATTGAACCTACTTGAGATGCCCGTACACGGCGCGACGGTGTTACTTGTCTAGCTGTCGGGTGGTGGAGGGCCTTGCGGCAGATGTGGCCAGATCGTTACCGTGTGGCGACCGAACCCCCAACATCCACAGTGAATCGCAGCACTTGCTGTGGGGTCTAGCGATGGCATTCACCTCCACAAGACGAGTCCGGCCGACAGCGACACAAACCGTGGCCTCCGCGAGAGGCCTTCTCAAACCGCTGCCATCCTCACCGACCCTCCGCACGCTTCGCTTTCCACAAAGCAACCCTCCCCTCAGATGGCAGAGACGACGCCCGTCCTCGTCCGGGCTTGGCGGGGGCGCACGGCACGGCGCCGTCTCAACCCCGAGGGCAGCGGCGAGGCGTCGCAAGCCGGGATAACCCGAGCCCGAGGCCGTCGTTACGCGATGCGACGATCGGCCGGTATCCCGCGACGGAGAGCGGCACGGGGACCGGAGCTCGAGACGCCCTCGCCGAGGCAGATGTCCCAGCGGGAGCGGCGGCAGCGCCGCCGCGGCAGGCGGAGTCCGTGGGGGAGCTGCCGCTTGGCAGCGGATTGTGGCGTTACCGCAGGCTCGGCGACTTGTCACGAAACCGTCCTTTTATTCACATCCATGTATCAGACCGCTTTACGTGCGGTGGGATCAAGTCTCATCTTTAAAAAGAAATGCATTTGTAATAAAAAAAAAACAACAACTATCACAGCCCCCAGTTTGTTGAATGTGTACTCTACGACATATACAGGCAGTGTATATATCATCTTCATGTGCCGCGTATAGAATGTTTACACAAACGTTTATCATATACGAACATGCACACAATAAAACACATACACACACGTATATACTGTACAGTATATGGTATCCAGGCCATAACGTTAACATTATTGCATTTTATTGCATTGTGGAGGCATCTCGTAAAACAGCTGCTGCTGCTGCTCCACGCTAGAGTGACAGTCGGCGCCATGCAGGAGGAAGCCCCGCTCAAGATCCGCAGCGCTCTGCGCTGGAGGCTGTGGAGTGGCACAAAGGCGGCTCACGACTCCGGGCAGCTTCCATCGGGGGCCTTGGCCACAGTGAAGCTGCCCTCAAACGCCATTCCCCCCTCCCCCCTTTCAGATTTTAATAATTCATCACAATAATGGTTACAATTGAGTTAATTTTGGTTTTCGTGCCATCAGTCTTACAATGCAATGCCGCCACCGTCTGTCGCGGTTTCACAGCAGGGGGCGATGTTGCTGCTCAGACAATTTCACAAATTTGGATCGTGAAAATTTTCCACCAAAAATCTGAGAAAGTGACAACCAATTGAAAATGGACATTTAAGGCTCCATTTTAGTGAGCGCAGGGCCTTAGCGGCTCTTCTAAGCCTCCGTGTGATCAACAATGCAGTGTCGATACTCCTGCAACGTTGTTTTCCTCGAAGGTGTTTGCTGCTCAGTGTCTGCCATGTTACGAATTTAATGCTTTAACGTTGTTTTTTTCACCAAGGTCCTCCGCGGGGTCACTCTTGTAAAACAGCTTACAGCTGAATGTTTCTAATCCTTGTCAACAAATAAAATCTGACACGCGCAGACCACTCGGCACGCATCTGCTGGGCAGCTGCACGAGATTCCACGGCGACAGCGGCCACCCAACAAGTCAAGCCGAGCCCCCTCCCCTGCACCCCCCGCGACCGATCGCACCCTCGGCGGTCACCCGCCAATCACGGCGACCGAGCAACACGCAACACGACGATCGGCCGACGCGTCGCCGTTCGTCGCGATTGCTGCCACCGTGCTCGGCCGCTGCGCTGCAGGATGCGCTGCAGGATGTGCTGCAGGATGTGCTGCAACATGTGCTGCAGGATGCGCTGCAGGATGTGCTGCAGGATGTGCTGCAACATGTGCTGCAGGATGCGCTGCAGGATGCGCTGCAGGATGTGCTGCAGGATGCGCTGCAGGATGTGCTGCAGGATGCGCGCCCGTTGTTGGCGAGATAAACCCGGGGGGGCGGGGGGGCGGGCGGCCCGCGTGCGTCAGGGAGGAGGGAAGGATCGCGTCGTCTCGTGGCCGCCGCCGCCGCCGGCGCTCGCGCCAGGGCGGCGGCGGCGGCGGCGGCGGCTCGCGTTTTACTCGGCGCCGGCGGCCTCACTGCGACTTCCCGTTGGTGACCGGCCGCCCTCGGCTCCGCACGAACAGCACCTTGTAGCAGCCGCGCGCGATCTTGTACATCCACATGACGTTCATGACGTCGAGGCACACGCTGGACAGCACCCACGACACCTGGGGGCCCGTGCCGAGGCGCGCGAACGCCTCCGTGCCCACGGTGGCCAGCATGCGGCCGTAGTACGGCGGCATCACCGCGACGCGCACCGCGAAGAAGGCCACCGCCATGAGCACGCCGTTCACCACGTACGGGCCGCCCGCCTTGGGGTACCCCAGCGCCTCGTAAAACCACCTGCGGTGCAAGGGGCCGCGCGAGCGCACGCAGCGTTAGGGGAGCGCGCGAGCGAAACACCGCGTGCCCAGCGCGTGGTTTGGCACGATGTCCGACGTTTCGCTGCAGGTGCGCCAGCTCAGTGAGAGGGTACACGTTTACGCTGAGCATTAGTGAGCGATCCATGCAGAGTGACATCTTTGCAAGTGTGGCTGGCCAGTAAAGTTGTGGCGGTACGCTATCAGAAGAACACTGAAGCTCAGTTGAGACATTCCTGTTGGGAAAGAGGAAATATAATTATTAAAATGTATTTTAAGTATAGATGGTAATTCCTCGGAGCACGGATAAAAAGCACGGCACTGTGATAATCACCTTTGCCAACCCACACTGACCTGCATGGTGAAGCATGGTCAAATAACCTTCTCGACCCACACGGTATAGGGAGGCCCTGATCCAGCAGTGGATTGACAAAGGGTTGCACATTGTACGTGTATTGAAATTAACAAGAAAACGCAGATTAGTCTCTCAATTCATTTAGCAAAATTCAGATGAGCTCCCGCGTTGCTAAACCAAAAGCCAAGAGGAGCAAACACCTCCTCGTGAAAGCGATGGCCTCCCAAGTTGCACTGCTCTTGCCGAGATCGTTTTAAGAGCTTGAAACTTGCAACCGCGCCAGGGCCGACTGGGGGACGTTGCAACTGTGCACGTGATTCTCTCCAGAAACAAAAACACACCGAGAGCCAACACGGATTCCTCCCCTCTCACAGGCGTCCGCTGCAGCAGCGTGCGCCGGTCACCATCCTCCCGGTGACCCTTCCCTTCTTCGGCTGGGTGCAACCCCCCCGCCCTCGGTTGCTGCGTTTGCACTTTCGCGGCACGAACAGCGTTGTTTATCCCCCCCCAACTTCAACAGTAAATATTTAGAAACCTCAACAGTTACATAAGCCAGAGCCAGATGTACTTAATCATTAATATCATTAATTTGTCTCAAGTGTGATCGTAGCTGCGAAGGGAGAGATTGCAATGCAGACGGCACGCAGCATCATTGCGGTTATCGCTGCTGCGCAGTATTCATCAGGGCAGACGCTAAATGCAAAACCGCGCACCTCTGCGACGAGCGGCGAAGGCGCTATCGCTGGGCGCGGTGCGTGCGAGCGCGAGGCGGTGGTGGAGGAGATGGGGACACGGGACTCACCGCTGGTTTACAAACGGCGTGGACAGCTCGGCGAGTTGCCGGAAATTGGCAAAGTACGGCAGCACGCCCCGATCCTGCAACACAATGGTGCAGCATCAGCAGCAGCAGCGGCGGCAGCGGCTGCTTGAGAGCTCACGACTCGGGGAGGTCGACCGCAGGGTGACGCGTCGAACTTTGTTACGAGTGGTTTGCTACGTTTATTCGGGATTAAGCCGCAACACTAACAGAGCAACATTTATTTATTATATCTCATTATTCAGTGATAATCATAACATGCACACTCGAGTACAATGCATCTTTTCTGTGCACATAAAAAAACTATTCTTGGTAATTTTAAAAACTTTACAAAGTGTTAATGAACGGTCTGTCCGCAGTTTCTCCAACCCGTGGTGGTTATAGGCTCAACGACTTCCTGCAAGTGATTCGAAAACCAAACAGAAAACATGCAGCAGATTAAACTAATGAAAGATAAAAAATTTAATGAAATAAGACACCAATAAAAACAAAGACTCGAGATGTTTCAAACCATGTGATACGACACGATCATATGTCTGACGAATATAATAAACCCTATGCGTGTATTACAAACTGATATAAGTGAAACTTTAAACGACGGAACAATAGATCTGCAAATTGAATTAAAACGCATCAACACTAGGAAATCCGTAGGAGGAGTGCGTGGTGTGTGAATCCTGCAGATTCACACACCACGGGAGTTGTAGACACCTCCATGGGGCAGGACTGCGTCATTCTCTCACTTGTGTAACGACGATGAACACTCCTGAAAGTTGGCCCCTGACGACACACAACTCTTTTTATAAAATCACCGGACAATTCAGTCCCCATCCTTCCAAATAATCCTTCCTTCCATCTCTTCTCCGCTGTACATTCCCTTGCCTCCGATGCTCTCTTCTAATCCCGATGTGCCGATTTGAAGGTGCAACAAGTAAGAGGCGAATCGTCACCGGAAAGGCCAAATTGGATGCACTACGCGGCACTCGCTGGACTGAGCGCCAACATCAAAAAGCGCTCAAACCGGCGGTGGCGTAGCAAGCGGCGATGGTCCACGTAACGAACGCAGGTGCACCCCGCCAACACGATGAGCTGGCTCACAGGTCAGAAATCTCAGCTGGCTCACAGGTCAGAATTCTCAGCTGGTGCCACCGAGGTCCCGGGTTAAAAATCTGGCCGGCTGCCTGTGATTAAACCGGAATCCCAAGTGGAGAGAGTTGATGTTCATAGCTAGGTCACCGATGATTTCACAAAAAAATAACCGTCGTTTTAAATTTGGTTTTGCACACGAGCTACATAAAATTCCGGCTCTGAGAATTCAAAATATCTATTGGACTTGTCGTTAAGCCGAACAATCTCTTGCCAAAGTATGTGGGAAAGAGCACCGACTACTGTGTATAGAGTAGAAAGGCCACGTTTGTGAAGGAGCTGTGCACTCACCATGACGTAGTAATAGGCATAGAGGGCAGACAGGTGGTGCATGATGAAGAACTTGTCCCCAATGGCATTCCAGTTGCATACGATCAGCAGGAAATCTGTAGGCAACACCCCGCCCGTTACTTTGTGTACACATCGCAGTGCAGCAGGTCGGCGTAGCGGGGACAAAAAAAAACATCGGCATGGCCGAGTGGACTCCAAGAAGCTCAGGGCAGTCCGAGCGGAATGTCGTCGTACGTTGGTGACGAGTTCAGTCGTGAAAAGTCTCAAGCCGTAGAAAAAGTCTCAAGCCGTAGGCGAGTTTGGCCAGAGTTTCATCGCCATGTTGGCACGGTATAAATATCTTTGCAAATGTGAAAATCTGGTCAGGTGGCGGAGGGTTAGAGAGAGAGAATTTTGGCATAAAACTACCACGTGGGCCAAACCCAAAAATGGACTCATCACAACATTTATTTCTTTATTTACTCACAACCTGACTATAAACATTCTTCAACTCTACGTCAGTCAAATAATTACTCTGTGTTTATTTCGGTAAAGTCACGCAGGTATAAAATAAAATTAATTAAATTAAATCACGACGTTTTGGGTGCAACACAAGCGTCCGTCATCAGGTGGGACAACCACAGCAAGAAACAATTTGCTGAAGAGGGCAGCCCACTTTATACCTACGCGATTTTACCGAAAGAACCAAAGAGTATGGATCCCTGCAGTCACGAAAACTTAAAATCTAGTCAAATAATTGTTTAGGTATCTTCAGCTTTAAATAAAGGCCAATGCGTGAAACGTCGGGCCACGGTATATTGTCCCCCGAGGCAGCAGCGGTGGCGTTGCTGGCAGGAGTGGTGAGGCTGGCTGTGACCCAGGCTGGCGCACCATAACCTACGCTTTTCCTCTGCGCCATGTTAATATATTTAGGTTGGCGATCGAATCAGCTGACCGTGCGTCACCACCGCCGTTAAACCTCACGACCTCATCACAACACAGCAGCTCCCATGAAGCGGATGTGTCATACGGCAGTAAATACACGCAGCCAGCCAGCGGTCCTGCGATTAAAAATAGTAGAGCCCTGGGTTCCTGCCGCGCAATAGCACTCAAGAGCACTGAGAGGAAGTAATACCAATCGTTTGAACAAATACAGCAGTAAAATACGCCCAACCTTGGCATAACAAATAACAGGAACGCAAAAGAGGAGAATGTATTCAGCGTTGCCCTGCACTGTGCACTTACGCAGCCGTCGCTTCTACGTCTACCACGTGGCACAAAGGGAGCGAAGCTGTTCGGTCTACGGCGTGCCCGTGGTTGCACAGCATGCGGGTATAGCCACCACCTGCACCGCGTACACAACCTGCGCGTCCTAAGTGCCAAGGGGAAGGATCGGCTTCACAAAATGCGATCTTTGACCCCTGCCTCTACCCGGACGAGCGGCTTTGCTCTGTGTCGCCGGTGTCCGTGGAGTGGCGAGCGACTCGCCCCCACGTCCCTCTCCCTCGCCACCCCAGGCGCCTGCCGCCCTAAACCCCGACGGTGATGGGGCGGCGGTGTTTGTGCCGCATCTCACCTGAGAACAGGTATCCCGTCGTGATGGCAATGTTGAGCTGCACGATTTTAGGATCTCCCCTGGAAAAAAAAACACAAGTCAGTGGGGCAAACAATCGCAACTTTCCTGGGTCTCGAAACACCTTTTCCGGAGGGTGCTGCTGCATTGGGATGTTTGGTCGCTTCCATAAGATTGTGCTTTACATGTAGGCTGAAAACGAGAGGAGAAGGGGAAACCCACACGGACCACACAGGTTCCACACAGATCGATTCAATCATTCACGTGCACCTCCAATTAGCACGGTTGGCTATGTACGGTGCGAAAGAAATTGAACATCCATACATCCATACAGACGTGCAGGACTGCAATCTCCTGGCCATCTCACAGCCCATTGGCTTTGGGAGTTTTAGAAATCTGTGTGATCCGCCAACCCTTGCCTTCAACCCTTGCGAACGACAAGCGTACTCACTACACGTAAATAGGGAAACCACCAGTGGGAATGCTGCCACTCTGGATTTGCCCAACGTTTCTGATTTAGCCAGATTAGTTGTAAAAAAATAAAGTTAATGTAATGTTTTTGTACAGTCATTGTTGACCGGGCTGATACCATCAACTCCCTACACTTGAGATCCCAGATTAATCACAGCCGGCCAAAACCCAGATTTGAACCAAACATCTCAGCGTTGCCGGCTGAATTCTCTGGCCCCTAAGCCAACAAAATGTATTTGACATCACAAGTCAAACTCCATTGTATTTATACACAAACTACACCAGCAGCAGAATCTCGGGACATGACAGTTGCATCGTTTTGTTCCAGGCGCCATAAACTGGCATTGAGGCCCCAATGCTGCCAGTTTATGGCGCCTGTTCAGTTTTTTTTTTCAACACAAATCATCGTCTCCCGTGGCCAAAAGCTACCAGGGCTGTGCAACAACACGCTTCAAAAGTGTCTCGCCTTTTAGTTTTGTTTACTCTGCGGTATTTGATATGTATTACTGAATGCGTTGACCAAAGGGCATTTTAACTTTGCTTACTACACAGAGCTGAAATAAGCTTTACAAATAGCGACAACATTATTTAAGAAATGCTCCATTTTACCTGAGATAAAGCACACGCATACTCAACTACCAGAAAAGATCCACCACCTTCCTGAACCATACTTGTGCAATGCCAGCAGCAGAGGGCTTAGGAGTGCCAAGTGAATGGTGAATATCGTCTAACTCCGGTATTTAATCTTATGGGTGAATCCAGTTATTTATGGGGGCCCGGGGAGCCACAATCCTTCCTGCCAGACGCAACCACTAAGAGTTAAGAGACAAGTTTGATTACAGATAAAACATTTCAGACTGAAAGAGGAACACGTTGATGAGTGAACATGTGCAGGCTAAGACCATAATTAGAAGTGCTAATAATAATTAGAAGTGTTAATAATAATAATCAGAAGTGCTAATAATAATTAGAAGTGTTAATAATAATAATCAGAAGTGCTAATAATAATTAGAAATGTTAATAATAATTAGAAGTGCTAACAATAATTAGAAGTGCTAACAATAATCAGAAGTGCTAATAATAATTAGAAGTGCTAACAATAATTAGAAGTGCTAATAATAATTAGAAGTGCTAATAATAATTAGAAGTGTTAATAATAATAATCAGAAGTGCTAATAATAATCAGAAGTGTTAATAATAATTAGAAGTGCTAACAATAATTAGAAGTGCTAACAAGCGTGAGTGGGACTTGGGCTGGAAGGGACAATTGCTGACGGCAGCGGAAGCCAAGGGGTGAAACGCATCCAAGAGAACGCCCACTGAGGAGATGCAGCGATGAAATCGGCTCGTGTGCAGGTGCTGGGTGGATTAATACATCGCAGGATCACGAGAGATACCGACGGCTTAGAAAAACCTTTATCCAGCAGTGGATTGACCACGGCTAATGATGATAATGATGATGAAAAACCTCACCGCAGCCACAGTGAAGCTTCCACGCTTCGGTGTAGATTCTCTGCGATTCCAAGAAGTATTCGAAAGCAGACTTATAAACTAGTTAAAACTCATCTATTTCTATTAAGCTAGGGGAGCACGACCGTGGTTTAACTCTCCCGCAGACTCGCCACTGAGTGTGGCGTGCACACGAGGAGCCAGGTAACGCCACCCGCAGATCCCTCACCACCACCACGCACAGATCCCTCACCACCACGCACAGATCCCTCACCACCACGCACAGATCCCTCACCACCACGCACAGATCCCTCACCACCACGCACAGATCCCTCGCCACCACGCAGATCCCTCACCACCACTCACAGATCCCTCACCACCACTCACAGATCCCTCACCACCACCACGCACAGATCCCTCACCACCACGCACAGATCCCTCACCACCACTCACAGATCCCTCACCACCACTCACAGATCCCTCGCCACCACGCACAGATCCCTCACCACCACGCACAGATCCCTCACCACCACGCACAGATCCCTCACCACCACGCACAGATCCCTCACCACCACGCACAGATCCCTCGCCACCACGCACAGATCCCTCACCACCACCACGCACAGATCCCTCACCACCAGGCACAGATCCCTCACCACCACGCACAGATCCCTCGCCACCACGCACAGATCCCTCGCCACCACGCACAGATCCCTCGCCACCACGCACAGATCCCTCGCCACCACGCACAGATCCCTCACCACCACGCACAGATCCCTCGCCACCACGCACAGATCCCTCACCACCACGCACAGATCCCTCGCCACCACGCACAGATCCCTCACCACCACCACGCACAGATCCCTCACCACCACCACGCACAGATCCCTCACCACCACCACGCACAGATCCCTCACCACCACGCACAGATCCCTCACCACCACTCACAGATCCCTCACCACCACGCACAGATCCCTCACCACCACGCACAGATCCCTCGCCACCACGCACAGATCCCTCACCACCACGCACAGATCCCTCACCACCACGCACAGATCCCTCACCACCACGCACAGATCCCTCACCACCACCACGCACAGATCCCTCACCACCACGCACAGATCCCTCACCACCACGCACAGATCCCTCACCACCACGCACAGATCCCTCACCACCACGCACAGATCCCTCACCACCACCACGCACAGATCCCTCACCACCACGCACAGATCCCTCACCACCACACACAGATCCCTCACCACCACGCACAGATCCCTCACCACCACGCACAGATCCCTCACCACCACGCACAGATCCCTCACCACCACGCACAGATCCCTCACCACCACCACGCACAGATCCCTCACCACCACGCACAGATCCCTCACCACCACGCACAGATCCCTCACCACCACCACGCACAGATCCCTCACCACCACGCACAGATCCCTCACCACCACGCGCAGATCCCTCACCACCACGCGCAGATCCCTCACCACCACGCACAGATCCCTCACCACCACGCACAGATCCCTCGCCACCACGCACAGATCCCTCACCACCACGCACAGATCCCTCACCACCACCACTCACAGATCCCTCGCCACCACGCACAGATCCCTCACCACCACGCACAGATCCCTCACCACCACCACGCACAGATCCCTCACCACCACGCACAGATCCCTCACCACCACGCGCAGATCCCTCACCACCACGCGCAGATCCCTCACCACCACGCACAGATCCCTCACCACCACGCACAGATCCCTCACCACCACGCGCAGATCCCTCACCACCACGCACAGATCCCTCACCACCACCCGCAGATCCCTCACCACCACCCGCAGATCCCTCACCACCACGCACAGATCCCTCACCACCACACACAGATCCCTCACCACCACGCACAGATCCCTCACCACCACGCGCAGATCCCTCACCACCACGTATAGATCCCTCACCACCCACAGATCCCTCACCACCACGCACAGATCCCTCACCACGCGGGCTTTCATTCGGTCAGGGTAGATATGTGATGGACGACGAAGTGGCGTTGTGCTGTGTTAAAAAAAAAAAAACCTATTGCGTGCACAACGTTTGTGAACGTTGACTGCACGTTAGATTTCTTCCCACTTTGTGCAAACCGTTTTGAGCCAGGAGGGAACGAACGGCAACTCCGCCACAGGGGTTGGAGAGCATCGCAGACTCACCACACTGGGTCCTTATTGACGGCATCATCGAACCACAGTATGTAGAGGCAGAAGAAGCCCACGATCAAGGCGTGCAACGTCGAGACCGTCCTGCACGCCACACGCACACGGGCACACATTTCATATTTGGTCTCCCTCTCATTAACCGACGGTATAATAATAATTTTGCCGGAATTTAAGCATGTATGTTTTCCGCAGCCACTGGTAACCAAAGCGTGGTTTTCTGGGTTAGGCCGCGTATTGAGGATCGCCTTTCGAGGATCGCCGTCTCAAGCTTTTGCCGCGCGCTACTGCTGGCATCTTTTCGAAAGCACGCCCGCGCCGCACACGCACCTGGAATGCCACTCGATCTGTTTGGCCGGAGTGAGGGAGGCAAAAGCCGGGCAGAAGAGGCGAGACAGCGGGGGGCTGACCCAATTGAAGAGCGCCTGGAAGACGCTGAAGCTGATGAAGATGACGAGGCAACAGAACTTGGCATAGCTCTCCATGGCGGCCGGCCCTGCTGGGGTGGAGGTGAGACACAGCACGCACAGAACGCACAGCTCTAAACCAATGCTGCTTTAATTATGCATTATCAGAGGGCAAGGTGGCCAATGGGATTCGTGAAAAATACTATTTTTTTTAAATGGAGGGACATTTAAAAAAATTAGGTGGTGCCAAAATTCGACAAGGGACATTTGTCAACACATGAATCACAGTATGACATACGCGAGTTGCTGTATGATACTCAAGGCACACAAAGAACATTGTGGAATTTACGTTATGACGCAGTCAAGGCACCTGCAAGCGTGTCTAGGGCAGTGGTAACCCCACACTGCTCACCCCACTGTGCACACGCCTGCAGATACAAACCTGCATCGGGTGGAAACATGCATCACAAAACACGGCATTGTGCTCCCCTCTCTGACCTTGGCCTAACTCTGCCACAGCCACGATCAACGTCTGCTTTTTCCCCACCGCGTGTAAAGGGGCGAAATTTGAATCCGGCGTAAAGCGCTGTGGAAACCGTGTGGTTGCCTGGTGGGGAAACTCTCTGCCACTCTTCTTCCACTGGACCTGTTTCCCCATCTGAGCAAAATGGAGCAGGCCCGAGGCGGCACTCCTCAGGGTGGCCCCGTCACAGAAGAGGACTCTCGATGCGCTTCCGTCGCGGTGGGCCGACTGCCGTCCAGCTGGACTGATGGAGTTTGGCGAGAGACCAACGGATTCGACGTAACTGCGACTTTACAAATCGATTGAAGACAAACATGATGCCACACACTGGCAGCACTAGTTTGATTGGCGAGCTTATGATGACATGAGTACTCTGTAGATTGTGTTTATTTCAGATGTGGATTGGAAGCTTGTATAGTTTTTTTTAATATATAAAACTTAAATTACTTCAGCGTAAGGTGAAATGCTCTATATTTATTATTAATTTTATAACATTTATTTAACCAGGAAAGCCTCACACGGAGTCTCTTTTGGCCTCCAGATAATCAGAACGCGGGTTGGGCGGGAGGTGGAGTCCAGCCAATCAAAACGCGGGAAAATGACACTGACAGACGTGTTAGTTTTATGTATAACTTGTATGAACATTGTAAATAACACAACAACTCATAAAGAAATGTTCTCCTTGAGCCAATCAGGATTTGTTCGCTATCACATGCACAGCCTCACGTTTCTGCTGCTAATCATGGGTTTAAAGTAATGCATATTCTAATGATAAATGTAAATACAATGCACGGATTACACTGCCACAAACTAAGACCACGATTGCAAAGCTCCTGTGCACATTTTTCAGGCGATTAAATGAGAGACGTGCAGATTTTAAGCCCGAGCTGGACAAGAACGAGAATAACATTTCCAAGTGCTTGGCCGTATCAATGTGCGTTTGTAATCCATCAAATTCCAAGTAAGCCCTAAAGCCATATTAAAGGAAATATCTTTGGCCGAGTGTACTGTGCACACTGGGACAACGCTGTCCCTCACGTGGCTAATTCTACCGTGTTGATAATTGCAGTTTGAACATACGAAGTCGCTACACGTGAATCTGCTTTCATCTGCAGCGATTCCCCTGGAATTCAAACGCAGAACTGCACACTGTGCCAGTTGAGCGCTCTAACGCAGCATGAGCCACCTGGGCGTCCCAGCCACCGCACTGAACTTATAATGTCATTTATATATTTATATATCCATGAAAGCTTCACACAGAGATTCAGTACTTTTTCAGGAGGGTCCTGAATTTGGACGTTTGGCCAATTCTATTGGAGTGTTTCTACTTGTGGGAGGAAAGTGGAGTAGCGGGAGAAATCACACACGGGACGACGAGACAACACTTAGAAGTCCACAAAGATAGGTCCATGGACTCATTTGTTGCACTGCCATGTCGTGGCCACCTCGTAGCCCAACCACGACACTTGGTGCACTGACCGTTGCCTCCAGAGTGCTGCTACACAGCCGTGAGCCACAATCCCAGGTGCCCCTTGGCCCGCTCCAAAAGAAATACCACTCCTCTGCATGTTTACAAAACACTCTTGTTTACATTCATAACAGCGCTTGGATTAAACTCAACAAATGAAGAGTTAATTTGAAAGCATATTTCTTAACATTGGTGCACAAAATACAAACGATATAACTGGCCAAACCGCATTCCAAACTCTGATAGCCCTTCTTAGAGTCTGCTATGAATATTGCACATCAGCGAAATTCCAAATTAATCAGGTTTAAAAAAAACAACAAGTATTGTTTTTGTCATGTAATCAGTGGTGCCTACTTGACAGATGCACATACATGCATCACCTTACAGCCGAGGTCTGCAAGACCTTCTACCACCACCACCAGCTGTTTAACATTCCTTGCATAAGTCACATTCCCTGCATCTGTCCAATAAGCCATCAAATTAGCTAAGCTCCCATTTGTTCAGTACACAGCAAGCCCAGCGCTGCTGTGCATAAAGCACCAAATGTATCCATTCACCGTTGCTCTCCACCGATAACACAACTCTCTTCTCTCCGGCCTGGCAAGCCCCTGAAGAGTGGAGAATACAGCTGCTGCTGCTGCTGTTGTTAAAAAGCTCTGGAAATTGGGAGGACCCAAATGCTCGATCCACAAACACCTTCCATCCACCTGCACATTACCCTTGACATTTCCCGTTGCCCTATTCAAGACCCTTGATGCAAGCATCAAACTTACTGCTCTGTCCACCCATCACCCTCAGTCACCTCCTACACACGACTCGCTGCAGCCACCGCTCCCCACCGCGCTCTCCAGTGCGGCATAGCGGCGCGTTGCGTGGCGACGATCGCGGCGGCGTGGTTAGATTACACTTGGTGGTTATCCCGTTCCGTGTCCCACGCTGGCATTCTGTTATTTTGGAATTCACCGTGCTCGACTGTAATGCTGGATACGTGCACAAAATACACAGAACCAGGCTTCCCTTCAAAAACAGACTCTGAATGGGAATAGAATCATGACCGGTTATAAATAAAGGTAATCTTTCTAATGGCGGAGCAGTTAGCACACACTGTGCTATGAACCAGCGAAGTGCATTTCATTCCAGGCTGCGGCTAACATGAGTGGCGAGCGATACCTTGACTGGACCAGGGCGGTTCCCTTCACAGGGCCGTGAAATACGGTCAACAGACCCCAGGAAGCAACACGGCGAAGGAGGGCCTTCAACCAACGATGGGTTAACAAAGAGCCATAAAACATTAGCTATTTTACATCATGTGTAATAAATATATGATCACATAAATAACTATAGTATATCTATATAGTATATTTAAGTTACATCTCAAAAACATAACATAAGCGAGCTAGTTTTAAATTGCTAACAAATGCACATCAGGAGCTGCTTTTGAGCAGAGCAAAGACGATCTTCATTTGGATGAAACGTGTAAACGTCTACTCTGTGTTCAATGAGAGTGTGCACGTGTATCATTGCTACAGGATTACCTCTCGGGAATTTTTATAACCCAGCATGCAGTCGGCCCAACCGTATATATATTCAAATTTAAAAAAATCCGAATGCAACATACTATGCGCTGAAAGTATAATAAGTTTTGCCAAATATTGCGAAAGCCAAAACATTGAAAGGTGATGGAATTGAGAAACTCTCTTGATCACGAACCGCAGCTTAACTGTTGTCACCTTAAACACCACAACAGGATTTTTAGTAAAGCGCTTCGGGATATATATTTTTTTACATGAACATCATCAGGAGAATATCATCAGTATATTTTTTTTCTTGACAGCTTACTTTATAATACATCTGGAGCACTGCCTCCAAAAAGGTTCCCACATTGCAGCAAAGAAACGGGGTCAATAACGTAGCCTTGATGAGTGGAGGCCTCTGTGGGGTAGGTGCTGTGCAGCTCATGGGAATGATTTCTACTGAGAAGCATAAATGTCCGTATGTTGAACTTCTTTCGCACTGTACGTAGCCAACCGTGCAATCGGAGGTGCGGGGGAAGGACAACAAAAGCATCGTCAGCCGTGATCAATCCACGGCTGGAAGAAGGCGCTCCAGAAACTATCGCCAGCTCTAATGTAACCCATCGTCGGAGCTTGCAGGTTGGCACAACGTGTCTGCATTGTTATTTTTAATTAGGCTCCTGTGTAAGCGCCCATGTGGATAACATTTTCACACCCCTGCTGGCCAACGGCGATCTGAAACGTATACCCGTGGAGCAGGTGTTGACGAGGGGACGAACGCTGGGTCACTTCAGCAGAGCAGTCTGGCTGGAGTGAGCAACCGTCGCGGTGAGCCGCTCCGTGCCAGTGGAGAGCCCGAGCACCCAGGCCGCAACCTGCAACGCAATCCACATGCAGCTGCATCAGCGTTGACGCGTTCACACAAAGACAAAGGTCCCCCGTATAGCCTGTAACAGAACGTTGGGGCAAGTGCTGTTAGCGAGCAACTATGAAGGCCGGCACGGCACACGAGCGGGTGGGTGGCCAACACCACGCCCGGCTGCCTTTGTCTCCCCAGTGGCGATGTTTACACACCGCACCAGGTCTTCCTTTGAGGCCGAGTAGACCTCGGGGAGCCCCAGGACCGGTTTAAATAATCGTCACTGATGTTGGCCGTGAGCGGGAATCAAACTCGGGTCACTGGATTTGTAGCGTGGCACGCTAACCGCTACAATACCGCTCCCCACACACACACACGTTCATGTCCATGTCCCATGTTGGTAGTATACGTGTCCATGTTAGCCATTGTGTATCGAAATGTCGTTCCCCCATATGTACACTTTTTTTATTCCGGTTGCCGAGGCATAGGCCAGCGGCAAACAGTCGTATGAAAGTTGTAATGGATAATAGTTCACAGGATTTTTCATTGATTGTTGGTTCGACGTGGTCTTCACGTGGTCTGACCAAACAATAAATTATGAAACGTAATGATGAAAATCGTCCCATGTATATGAATCGTATATTGGCTACGAGAAACCACGTGGTAAGTGTAAACACATTCTTACAATAAGCAGATTGCAAGAGCTTGTGGAGAAAAAGAGACGGTGATGGGAGGAGGGAAATCCAAAGTGGAGGAGTGCGAGGGAAGAAGCAGAAAGAGAAGTGAGGTGATCTGCGGTGCAATGAGTGGGTGGGTGAGTGCGTGGGTTAATGAGTGAGCGAGTGTGTTGTTGTGACATCCAGTGTGGTGGTTGAACAGTGTAGATGAGACAAGGCAGTCAGTCCCGTAGACCAAGTCCTGCAACATTGAACCAATGCTTGAGCATCACGGGAGTAGTTAGTCTAATAGTCAAACAAAAGAAGTGTGTGCTTGTGCGTAGATGAGAGCACATGCTCTCGGATGAGCCTCCATCATCACTATGAATGAAGGCACGTTACCCTTATTGACACGAAGTGGAGGTTTCATACATTGCTGAACAGAAGCGGTACCCCTAAGTCAGAGCCTCATCGTCACATTGTACTGTGTTGTTGAGCGTTTAGTTTGTCCTTCCCCGACAACTCCGATTAGTGCGGTTGGCTACGTGCGGTGCCAAAGAAGCTCAACATACACATCCATACCTGGGGTCAAAGTTTGACTGGCCAGTGTACAAGAGCCAATGCGGACCTTCTCCAGTCCGCATTGGCCAGTGTGGGGAAGTCTGGTCAAATAATGCCCACAACCGGCCATGGAATGAGAAAATGGGCTGTCTGTGTACAACGGTGGCTATTAAACACTAAATTAGACAACTGTGTCAGGTAACACATTGATAATGCGAGTGAAGTTGACAAAAAGAGAGACGCCTCAGGTAGTGTTCAGCTTTTCTCTTGTCTTTATTCCCGTTTGTCGTGTGCGTTGTCCACACCACAATGGTTTTCAACATTGCATTGCTCTGCTATTGCTTTCTTACCAAGTAACCGTCTCAAATTCCCCTTTGTTCTGGCACCTCCCGATCTGGTGCAAGGGAGGCACGGTATCAATAATAAATGACGACAGTGATGATGGCGAATCGTTCCACCTCTATTCAGCATATTTGCCCGTGTCGCTTCCTGCAATTCACCAAATCCCAGGCAAAGCAACCGTGTGGATAAATCACAGCCGAATTTCCGACGGTTGCTCTGCATAAAGCCAATACGGAAACAGGAACCACACAATCTTGTAGAAGGCCACAGATTTCCATTCATTAAATATTTCGCCAGGTCACGGCGGCGCCCGGCTTGCATCGTAAAGCCCCTTGGCGTGCAGGATTAAGCCATGTGACTGCAAGGCTAATGCGCATTCACGTATGGCGAGCACCCGATGAAATCCGTGTCACACGTTGCATGGGTCAACGGCGACCAAGTGGATTTAGTTACTGCAGTGCAATTACGCCGGGGAATTTAAACGCAAGCAGCCTCTATCAGAAACATCGTGCGAGTGTTAATTCTCATAATTCCACCCTATAACGTCCAACATGGGCAAACCAGGCTGGGCCATTAAAAATTACGCTGCACGACGCGTAAACCCAATTGTGACATTCGAGAGCGGCTAAAAGAAAACTGGACGGCGGCGGCGGCGGTGGCGGTTTGAGGCAGACCTGCGGCTATATAGAAATGTGGCCCATCCACTGACGGACACACAAGCAATGCCCAATGTTGGACTCGTCATAACGGCACTCCGAGATTTAACGCCTTGTTAACAACTGAGGGGGAGTGGGGTGGTGGCAGGAGTTAGCGCACTACAATATAAACCTGGTGAACTACGTATTTAATGCGCAGCTACGGATAACACCAGTGGCTTAAGGGTGACGTCCGAACCGGACCTGGGACTGCCCCTATTCACCAATCCACATTGACCAGCGGGGTGAAGTATGGTCAAACAACACGTCATGGGGAGGCCTTCATCCAGCAGTTGGCAAAGGGCTGTAACACATTTGCTATTATTTATCTTAATATTATGCGACGAGCGATAGAATAGTAACGTGGTATATTGAAAACCTTCAGCATTTAGGCGATGCAATTACCAATTGCTTTGCAGTATTCATTTACAAAATTCCATCGACAACATTCAGTATAACCTTGCGAGCCCTGCAAGCGGCAAACTCGAGGGGCAGTTGCTATTTGTTTAAGATCGTGGTGGAGGAGACGTGTAAATGTGTAATTATTTCCGAGCCTCACGTTCAGTCCGCCTCGCGGCACACACAGGTGGAAAAATGCGGCTCAAGGTAAATGATATACATCACCTGCAATAGCCACGATTTCACACTGTACCGCTGTATGGCGGCTGACTGATCCGATAAATGCCGCTTGTCTTCAATGCCCTGAAGGAAAGATGACAACGGGCTGGCGGCCATGGGTTCCCCCGTGGTTCTCCTCATTCACCCCTTAGCTTACAGCATGCGACGGCATCACGGGTGTTGGTCAAACATCCCAATGCAGGACCCTCCTGAAAAAGAGTCTTCAGACTCGGTGTGGCTTCCCTGGGTAAGTTTATTAAATTATTGTTCACTATAAGGAAAGGACGGCATCCGAGAGAGTGCGTCCACCGGGGAGATGGAGCGATGGAATCAGCTGGAGTGCAGGTACGAGGTGGGCTGCTTTGTCGCTGGATCGTGAGCGAGGTGGCGGCGGGTTGGGGAGGCCTGCCCAGGGACGGCCCCGCTCTTTATCTCAATCACTACCTTACGTGTACAATTTTATAATTGCTGTAAAGCACCTTGGAATACGGTCCCCAAAATAAATATAGATAAGATAATGAGAGCTATGTACAGTACTAAACCAGGAGGTCAAGTTGGACACCTTCACACACAGCACCGCAGGGGCCTGGGTGTGTAGAGTTAAGAACAACAGGACGGAAGGGCAATCCAACGATGATCCTCAATGTCATAAACATATTCTGTCAATAATTGACAACATATCTGAAATAGCATCTGCCCAGGCACCCTTTCATCTGCCGAACAAGGGGCACCATCCTTCAGTGGAACCGCAATGACAAAGTCACACGATGTAGCGCCGGTTTCCAATTGCTGAAAAATCAAATTAAATGGCGGCGAATTATTTTTAACAGTGCCGCCCGATCGCCTGCGCGCACCGGCTGCATTTCCACGATGATTTTGCAAGTGGAGGAATGCGTGACGCCAATCTGGAGATATTTTGTTGTTGAGGCTCCAGTTGCTGGTACCACCGTGGTGAGGCCCGGTGCCGGCCTGTGTGCCGAACATTCCCACGGTGTTTCCAAGCAGCACCGCGATATAATTTGATTCTTTTAAAAATAAGATCACGATTGAAGTGCTCGTAATCTCTCAATGTAACAACTTCACAGCTGCATTGTTGTTAAAAACGTTGTCCTTCCCCCGCACCTCCAATTGGCATGGTTAGCTATGTACGGTGCGAAAGAAGTTCAACATACACACAAATATACATGGCTGTAAAATAACAAAACCTTTGCATAGCCTAACGTAACCGATGTTGACGTACACGTAAAAAACTTGATTTTCTTTCACAACCACTTCCTCTCTGGCTGTGGATGGTAGTGAGAGAGAGGGATGACTTGCGGGGGGTGGCACAGGGGGGCTGAGTCCATGGAGCCTCGTGGCTCATGCAGCGTGGCAGCCCGGACCTGGGCCACGATGCCAACCCTGGAATGCAACCGGATTGTTTCTGGGCCGGTGAAAACTGGTTCCCAACGGTCGTGGAAAAGCAGCAAGTTAAGTAGCTCTGTCTTTATAGCTTCCCTTTGCTTGTTAAAGAGGTACAAAAATTACGTACATTACTTTATCATCACACAGGTGAAAGGTGACAAATGCAGCCGATGTAACAATACCCCAGCAGCAGATGTTAAAACGGCATGGCAAGCAGTGTGGCTTCATCACGGAAGGCCTTCTGTAAACGAGCAAGTATCGATTACCGTGCAACCTCGACGCGACCTAGAGGCAAGGGAATTAATAATGCTTTGCAAATGCTTCCTATAACATGGGAGCAGATTAATTTCACTACGCTCTACAATATCATGGCGTGCAATGGATGATTACAAATACCGTAGATGCTGCGTCTTGTGCACAAAGATCTTTAATTGGTAAATGTACTATACCTGGGATGCGTATGCTGCTTTGAAATTTCGTTATGAAAAGCGCTTTATAAAAATCAAGATTGCTACAGGATAATAAAAACTGATCCTCGCTTGGAAGGGCATAGTGAAACAGAAGTAGGAACACACAGATTAGAGAACATATGCTGGTTAATTCGGTAAAGTCACGTAGGTATAAAATAAAATAAATCACGACGTTTCGGGCGCAACACAAGCGTCCATCATCAGGTGGGAAAGCATGGTCTGCTGCTGAGGCAGACTGTTTTAAAAAGTGTTTCAAAACAGTCTGACTGT